TATATATCAGTATATACTTTTTCATTTATCGCTGAAAGCGGGAAAAACTTTACAGGATTTTCTCCCTACTAATTACACCTTTTTACCCGATAAACTAAACGGGTGTAAACTTTTTACTGCAAAGTACCCAATAATCGTTGACCAAAAGAATTGAATCTATATACTGTATAAATGAGAAAGAAAGAGAAAGAGGGGGAGGGAGAGGCAGAGAGAGAGAGAGAGAGAGAGAGAGAGAGAGAGATTTGAATAAAAAATAAACAAAAATCTGAAGTATTTCTTGTCTTTTTTTTTTAAAAAAAAATGGAAATATAATTAAAAAAATACAGATTCCAATTTTTTCCTTATTATTTGTACAATTAACTTTTCACGCCAAAAATTAACGTAAAACGTCGCAATAATTCGTAGTAAATTGACTTTTTTCATTGTTTATCATCTGCTTAATGGAATTAAAGGCTTTTAAGCCTTCTACACTAATTGTATGAAGAAAAAGGAATAGCATCGTATAAATTGTCTATATTATAATTCAAAGAAAAGGAGAGAGAGAGAGAGAGTTAGTCATTGCGTGTAAAAAACGAATTACCTCTCTTTTGGCATTATAGGATTAATTTTTATATAGTTTTATTTAATGTATGTAGGAATGACATACTGTGGTTATAAATTTATATAAACATATATTCTGTATATAATACGAAATGCTGTACAAGAAAAAATTGTATTAGATAATAAAATAATAATGAAAAAGAAACAAGGTATATTTTTGTATTTGAAATAAAATGAAAAGGTAGAAAGGGATGAAAAGACTAGGAAATCAATGAGGAAAATTGTGTTTTTCCCTATTGATTGACGGAATGGTGAGCACAAGTTGAAAATAAAAAAAAAATGCACTAAAAACTATATAAAAGTGAATTGGAATTGGTAAACAGTGCATAACAAACAAGGTTTTAAATGGCCCTAATTTTCTTTCTGAACGATGAGATACTTTACATGTTTGTTTGCCCCGTTTGTCGGAACTTTTTACTATATTTCATTTGTTTAATGGAAACAAGGAAGGTGAAATTTGAAAGAAGATTTTCGATCGTTGAGGCGAGAAGTTTATTTAACGCTAGGTGGCACTCTTCAACCCCTTGTGATAAACGAGATTTATTTAGAATGATAATGATTTATTGTCGTAAGAAACTGTTTATTATTTTTGTTGTTTTTTTTAATACCTTGTCTTGATATTCATGGCGTAACATTGTTGTTTATTATGATTTATATTTATCTTATAAATTGCAATAACAATAACAACAAACAAACGACAATATACATAGACATTCGACGACTATGAAGACAAACAACAATTGATATGTAAAAAAGAACAAAAAGAAAAATATTTCATGAGTAAATTTAATCATGTATGACAAAACCTTTCAATAAAACTTTGATGTGTTTATGTAGCTATGATTATATACGCCTATTAAAAATGTACTACTTTATACATTTTTATACATTTATGAGCAGATCAGATGAAAGTTAAATGCATTATTACGACTATTATCATTATTGTTACAATATTTTTTTTCGTTTTTAATTCCTTCTCTCTCTCTGTCTGTCTCTCTTCCTCTTGTCTCTTTTATTTTTTCTTCTCTGTTTCTCTGTTTCTTTCTCTCTCTCTTTCTCTCTCTCTCTCTCATCTGCCTCCCTACCTTCCTCTCTCTCTCTTTTTCATCTGCCTCCCTCCCTTCCTCTCTCTCTCTCTCTCTCTCTCTCATCTACCCCCTCCCTTCCTCTCTCTCTCTCCCTCTCTCTATCTCCCTATCTATATCTTTAAAAACCTAAAACTAAATTGAATTAGCAAATTTCCTACCCATTTTCTTTATTCATAAAAATTTGTTAATTTTATTAAGAGAATTAATATAATGAGAATAATCCAATTTGTACCAAAAATAAGAATATAATATCCCATTGAAAGGTTTAATAGCTATTGAAATCCTTTTGGGTACAACAAATCTATATTTGGGGAGATAGTTAGGTTTCAAATTTCCTATAAATTCTTAACCGATTGCTTTAGTGGGATTTGCGTCGCAGTATAAGGCTTAAGTTGACGCTAACTACTTAATTTCAATGCTCGAATCATTCCGCCTTCTTTTCCTGAAGACTATTGGTGGAATAACCGATCATTGTAAATCAATATATTTCTTGCAATAAGTGTTTTGTTCAGTTTAAAAGAGAAAATTCGTTAAGATATTCTACTGATATTTATGAACAATATATTACAATATTTAGAATACACATCTATACATATATACATATATAGATATATATAAAAAATTGGGCCATTATTTAAATATTCCATCCGGTGTTGTCAACACCAACTTTTCTAAAAGAAATTTATTATTCATAGTAGTTAAACACCGCTACGCAAACCATACTAATAGCAAGTTAGATCAATGAATATTTATATAGTTAAATAGCTATAAGTTTGCATATAACGTTCTCAATAGACTATCTCCTTATTATTTAATACATTCTACCGGTTGCTTAACCTTGCTACTTTTATGAGCCTATGCATAGGCAATTCCTATATACTGTAGATCTTTTGCATATTTTTCCTATAAACAGGCAAAAAACTCTTTCCGGTTGTTTTTTTTTTTTCATTTTCTTTCACTCTATCCTGCTTAGTTATTCTTCCAATCCCATTTCGGTAAAGGAAAGAACAGTTATAACTTATTGATAGAGTAGGAAACATTCGTTCCCAGATTCATTTTAAGGGATTACCTTGTTAATCTCTTATATTCCCTCTATACCTAATTAATCTTTATTGTTTTCTTAACGTAAAAAACTGTTGACGTCGCCGAATAGAATTAAGAAAAATGCCCGAAAACTAACGCTTTTAAATATTGTACAGTTTAGTATGGATTTATCAGCCTTAAAGCTTTTCCCATAGATTTTACTGCATAATTAATAAACGTAATATTTTAGACAATTTACTCTCATCGTTACAGCTTCATGCTTAATTCGCAGTCTCAGATGTTAATTAATTTGCGTTCGTTAGCCCCTCTTTCGCTTGAATATCACCAATTAACTGACAAAGCGGTTTCATAAAGAAACGTTACCCCCTAATGATTACTCGTTCAGATGGCGCCACTTTACAAACGAGTCAATTACAACTAATTGTTGAGGTAATCGACCGCATATTGTCTCCTTTTTTGTTAACGGTAAAAAAATATAAAATAATTATCAGATGCAATGTCGGTGAAATCTATAAATTAGTTATATTACGTAATACGTGACATCCTGTACTAATGTCCTAATTATAGAGACACACCAAGAAAGGGAAGAAAAACAGGTATAATTAAAAAAAGTTATAAATCTAGAGAGAGGGAGAGAGAGAGAGAGAGTGAGAGGGAGAGGGAGGGAGAGAGGGAGATACCTTGACATATAAATACAACTCAAACTAACATGTATTCTTTTCTTATCTGGCTATTTAAACTCTCCCTCCTCTCTCTCCTTGCTTTTTACCATCAGCAAAATAGAGACTACATACTACGTACATACTACAGTATAAGAAAGATGACAGCTTATAAACTTATCGTTAAACAAGTAGGTGGCGCTATCAGAAATTTTTTTACTTGCAGTAGACAAATGGTAGTGACGTATATGAAGTACATTATTTCTATACAGATATATTTTAAAGATTACGTAATCTTAGTATATTTTATCATTAAAAGATGAAAAGAAAATATAATGTTTCCACTCTGCTCTTCCTATCATCTTTCAACGTCATTGAATGGGAATAATTGAATTGTTTCGATATTCGAAGGAGACTTTTCGAATGATAGTAATTTCCAAATGAAAATTAATAAAAAATACTTAAAATATATAGAAACTAAACTATAGAGATTTGAGGATAATCCATTATTTTATACATTGAAAGCAAAACGAATGAATATGGTACAAACTTTCAATAATGCTAGTATTGATAGAGCAATGTAGAGCGAAGAGAATATTTGTTTATATTTTCTATTGTTCGACATAACCGACAACTAAAAAGGTATATTATCTATTGGCTTTTTTAAATGTTCACCATAGAGGAAATCAATTTGAACTATGACAAACGATAGAGGAATAAACATTCTTAAAATAAGTTTTATTGAATGACTGAACGAAGAAAGTTTGAAGTTTAGCTTGCTTATGTAAAAAGTTTAATATGAATAAAATTGAATAACATTTCGAAAGGGAAAGGATAATCTCTTTTTCGTCCATGAACAGACCACTCTTTTGCTAGTGTATTAAACAAATTATTTTCTTCAGTTTCCAACGAAATACGTAAACATAGATTTTATTACAGCTCCTTTTCTTATTGCTAGCCTTTACACAGAACAGTAAGATATTGGCTTTCTATTCTTTCAAGAAATTATTTATGTCATTTGCTGTATAGGAAGAGGATTGTTGCTGTTGGACAAAAGTTTATTTAGTCATTTGCAATACGATAGCTGTAAGAATGAAATTGAATATGTTGTCTTTACTGCAGTCGGTGTTGGTATTAGGCGTAATGGTCTAGGATTTAGAGAATACAATCCTTACATGCGTACCATAACATTTGGAAATACCTAGAACTGTAGGAATTACGAGGAAAAAGAAAGATGATATTCATTTCAAGATAAATATAATTAGACCTCGAAGTAGACCAAATAGGTCGCTAAACTACAAATTTGCTGTAAGATTTGTATAGTACTTTTAAATAGTACAAAAAACATGTATTTTTCGTTCCATTAGCATACGCTTCCCCTAGTATCAATAGACGAAAGCTCCGTTTTAAAACACTAGATGGCCTCGCTGCCAAGTCTCATATAATATTGTATGCGAAAGCTTTAAAGGATTTTCGATTTACTGTTCAAGCAGGGTTCACTTTTATATGCATCTAGCATTTTGTTTTTAAACCATTTTGAAATCTCTCGGGTTATTAACTAGGAAGGTTAATTAACTTATAAAAGGATTACTTTGATTATATATAAAGGAATGTGTAGCTTAGCCACCTTTCATTCAACGATTAATAGTAGCTTTATATTGGTGAGTATTACTAAAAGAAATAAATATATAAAAAGAATGTAAAAATATAAACTTTCTTGGTATCATTGAATGCTATCTCCTTCTCTTGTTAGAATAGCTCTTCTCTCCGCACACCACCCCCTAACCTACATATACAATATTTCTATTTCTTTATAGGTTTAATATGCTAAAGTTGTTTGTATTACTCGGTAGTCGTGTCTTGCCAAAGCAATTAATAGCTATATTTATATTTAAATAGTCTCCCATTCTATAGCCCCTTTCCTTAAAAATATTCATATTGTCACACTCTTACCTTACAGAAATTAGTCTCATCGCTTATTGGACTATTAGTCTGCTTTCTCTTATATTCTAATTTACAACTAAGAAATGATTTTCAATACGGTGAAAATAGCCATAATTCAGATATTGAAATATTTTCGGTCGATGAAGATGTAAAGCTTGAACAACAAGAAAGAGATCAATTCAATGACACTGCTCCTGTATGGAGAAAAATAAATAATGAACATTTGTACATTTATTCGGCCTATTATGATGATAGAAATTCGCTAGGTTCATGGCCTCAAATCCAGATTATTGTTGTCGGTCAAAAGTCAACGATGGAAGGTAGCACCCAATTCTGTCGTCTGCAATACGATAGCGGAAAGTTGGACATTGTAGATGCTCTTGTTAATCCAGCCGGTATTGGTATTGGTCACGATGGTGTATGGCTTAGAGAATATGTCCTTACATGCCAACTGAAACATTTCGAAATACCTAGAACGGTAGGAATTACGAGAAACAAGGCAGATGTGGTTGATTTAAAGATTAATATAATTAAACCTAATAAACCAAAAGTTAAAAAGGTAATGGCACAAACCTACGGTTCTTATGTGTTTACTTTCATGTAAAGAGATACACTCTTTCTTTTCTCTTTTTCTAGGATTTTGGTCTGTGCATTATATGTGCTTTTTGGAATATAGAGCCGTTAAGGATAATTCAATATGTAGAACTTTACAGATTACTAGGAGTTTCGAAGATCTTTGTTTATAATAATAATTTATACAAAGATTCTTTAGCAACTTTTAAAAAGTATGAAAAGATTGGATTAGTTAATGTAAGAGACTTTAAGACAGGATATTTTGTGCATCAAGATCCTGATAGACCGGAAAGCGGATATAAATCTCAGGCTTCCGGAGCGGTGAACGATTGTATTTTAAGAAATATGCACGTGTTTAAAAAGTTAATAATCGTCGATCTTGACGAAATAATTCTACCTCATCAGCATGATAATTTTAAAGATCTGATTAACTATATGGACGATCAATTCCCGACCAGCCATCCTGGTAGAAGTTACGTTTTTCGTAATGCATATTTCTTTACAGACTTTCAACAGAACGAAGAATTTCCGCCTGAATTAACAGTTCTAAGAACTCAAACCCGGGCTAAAGTTAGTAATAAGGGATACTCCGTTAAATCGATAATCGATCCGCAAAGCTGTGAAGCCATGCACAATCATATTTGTTGGAAATACACAAAATTACACGATATATCAGGTAGAAGTGTTGAAGTTCCACCAAATATTGGATTGATGCATCATTATAAAAAATGCCATTTTACCATCTCAAAATGTGGGAAAATGTTAGCACTTCCGGTAAGTGATGATACCATATTAAGATTTAAAGATAAACTAATAAAAAGTGTTCAAAGAAGAGCCAGAGAATTTGATATTAAATTCTAATTGAAACATTAAAAAAAAGGAAAGTAAAAATGGGGTCTCAATTACTTTATATTGAATATATTTTTTGTAATAAGCATCTCAAACAGTGAAAATATAAATTATCTATTTTATTGTGATGTGCAAGATATTTAATAAATTCTCTAATTTGAATGAGTTTCCCCTCTTTTTGAATAAATCCTTAGGTAATCTATCACATACTTTGACATTTGCTTATTATTATTCGACTGACTTTTTGAGATATAATAGAGGATAGTATTAGAAATACTTTTCATCCCCTTTATAAACTAGTACACTCTTATTCGAACAGCTATTTGTATTCATATATTCATATTGGAAGGAATTTTTGTATTGAACACTAGGCCTAGCTGACATTGCTCATTGTAGTTCAAGGTTGAACACTAGAAGCTTTATTAATCAGGAAAGATGGTTTACATGAGTCGTTTTGTGCTCTTGTCGCTTTTATGCATAGCTTCCACTCATTGTAAACTTTACGTAGCGTTTGGTGGAAACGGATTTATAGGCACAGCCTGCATATCTAAATTAATTGATTCAGATCACAAAATTGTGATTGTTAGCAGAGGAAACTGGTATTTTGACTCTGACAATATTATAAAGCCTAATGTAAGGCAAATTAAATGTAATAGAAGAGAGGAATTATCAAGGTTAATAGCAAATTTATCAATATATTAGTTACTAATTGCTAACCGATTTAGATGCGAAGAATTAATGAAATTTATAGATGAAACGGAAAAGATTGACGCTGTCTTAGATTTCTCTGGAATATCCGACTTTCATTCTGCTCAAGTTTTGAAGCACTTTAATAGAACAAATGTCGAATTTCACCTACATATAAGTACCGATTCTCTATATGATATTAGTAAACTAAAAGAAAGTGACAGATACTCAAAAGAATCAGATTCAATTAGACCCAAGAATGAAAAAGAAAAACAGAAAATTGCAGCTTTTAATGATGCCGACTGGATGTATAAAAATCCCGTTTATCTACCAGATTTTAAAGGTTGAAAGTTCAATTAGTTTATCACCTGGCTTAATCTTTAAACAAGTTCTACAGAATGTATAACAATAATAATAACAATAACAACAACTTTTATTTTTCAGTTGAATTGACTGGAGATGACTTAGATTCCTACGGTGATCTTAAATTAGCTGCCGAAGAGGTTATTGTAAAATCATTCGACGAAGGCAACGCTCCTAACTATATATTTCTAAGACTTCCAGCTGTTGTTGGTAGTAGAGATACCACTTATAGATGGTGGCTGTATCAACTATGGATAAGAATGTCTCAACATATACCAGAAAATCCTGTACCTTTACCAAAAGCCATTAAAGTGAGTTTTACTTTAAATCTAATTTAGGACCCTGTTTGATAATTTATTTACATGATTAATGAGAGTATTTTATTTTGAATATTTTGTATGAACGTCATTATTGAAAGGCATAGCCTTATTCTCTCTTTGAAACTTTTGAACAGTTTTGCAATGTATGAGTTGTTGAAATGTTTTCCAATTCTTAGATCATCTACGTTTGTATATGGATGTTTACCTACCCTTCTTTTCAAGTAGAACCGAAGGTTTTCAATTGGATTTAGGTCAGTATTCTGGGCTGGCCAGTCTCGAGAGTAGTTTATTTTCTTCTACCTTAAATATTTTAAGATGCTCTTAGACGTATGTCAGGTAGTTCCATCTTACATTAGAACATTGTACCTTTTACAGGAATTTCTTGATATTTAATATCAATGTTCAATTGATTGATTGATGTACTTGTAGGATAGACGCCTTCTGACGAACTTTGTTGCTACATAGCCTCTTAAAGTATCCTTTCTTAGTATACTCTTACAGGTGGAAAATGATCTAACTGGTCCAAAGTCAGATGCTGCTAAGATTAGACATAATAATCTTTCATCCCACTTACTCAATTGTGCCATATTTCTTGAACTCTTTCCAAATCCTTTGGCCCCCACTCCCAGATATTTTCAACATCTCTGCAATTTTATTCAGTTATAGCCCTTCTTATATATATAGTTGCAGTTGCAGTATACCAATTACTAATTGTTTGCCTCCCAAAAAACAGGATAGACCCATGAGTGTTGTTTACGTTGAAGATGTTGCTACTGTAGTTGAGAACGTTCTAGCTAACCCGAGAGCCTACAACAAGCCTTATAATTTAGCCATTGAGGAGACGCCAACTCTGACTGAATTCTTAAAAGAAATAGAAGCTAATTTAGGCGTTCGTAAAGCTAATTACAAAGTGGTTGAGGAAGGCATCTACGCATATCCAGATGTTAGAAGAGGACCTGTAGATATATCTAGGGCAAAAGAAGAATTGCAGTTTAAGCCAACATCCCTCAAAGAGGTCGTAAGGAGAACAATCAAATATTACGAAGATGCTATGAGTAAACTACCGAAAACAAGAGATGAGTTTCTTAAAATTTTAATTAAAGAAGTATTCAATAATCAAAAGGAGAAGTTTATTGATAAAGTCGGAGCTTTATACAATATCAATTTGGATCAACTCAAAGTGAATGTTAAAGAAGAATTATAGAAACATTATGATTTGATTAGCATAGTTTTTTTAATCGTGCGCGAAGCTTGTTTATAGATTGTAATGAGTAGTGAAACTTCTAAGAAGTCGAAATTACATTCTGTGCGAGATAAAACAACTGCTTGACTACTCAATTACACCTGTCAAGTTTCTATTGCTAGATATTAATACAACGCAATTAAGTTTAACCAAACTTAAACCTAATTCTTATATAAACCAGCTTAATATCTTAGTGTAAGCAAATATTAAGTATACGAAAGAGTCAATGCCTCGACAGGAAGCTGTTTACTCATATTATTTTCGTATTATTTATTTATCTTGATAACGTATTTTCACAAAATATTAAATTTTACATTTACTTATTATTTAAATCTTTATTAAAAAATTTCATCTTTTATTGAGCTAAAAAGAAAAATATATATTCGGTGCGGGTCTCTTGGTAACAAAAGACGGGCGCCTAGCGATTGGATCTTGAACAGCATAGTTACAAATTTGAACTAAATAAAAAGTGAAAGAATGGAAAAATATCCAACCGTTCCAGAATTTGACCATCAAACTTCAGGGGAAAATGAGATTTGGAAGGAAATTGATATAATTACTAAACGCCCCCGTACCCCTAACTATCCGTATACAGATTTAAACGACAAGATGATTGCCAATATTCAAAAAGTAAGCTTTGTAGTTAAACTAGAGTAAGGAGTTTTTTTTGCATGTTTGTTAGTATAGAAATCCAGATCTGCACCATTTTTTATGCCACCAAAATTGGAGAACCTGGAAAAACCAGAGCCTGGAAAAGACGTAAGAACCTTATCTAGATATATGTATATACTGTATATATTAATATCTATTGTACATTGCACTAGTCTTACTACTTTTAATTAAGTTGGTAAAAGAACCAAAACCTGCATAATATATATGTTAATTATAGATCTAGTTAATTCCTTTTTGAGTATTAGTAATAGTTAAATAGTTAAAATAGACGCTAAAGAAGGAAAATCTCTCTGTTTCAATCTCTTTTCTATCATTGTTGAAAATAAAATGAATTTGATTTATAATCTTTTTTTTTTTTAAAAAAAAACAATAAACAGAAGCAAAATCCATCTTGCCTTTTTAACAAAGAACTTGATGAGAATCTTATAACAAGAGAAACGGCCTATAGACAGAAGCGCTTCGCCAAACCACATCATACGAATTCTGTAAACAGGAATCTCGTTAGGATTGAAACTACAGCACCGTTTTGTTTTATAAAAGAGCAAAAGTCAAAGGATTACGATAATTGCCGAGGCTTAGCCTCTGTAAAATGGGGACCAAACAGAACTGGTGAAGCGACTAGAAGTCATACTTTTGGTGAGGATGTAGAAAGGTATACAATGATTGACATGCAGAGGAGAAACCCAACAAACTATTCAGGTCGGGTTGTAATGGATTGCGGTAGACCGGGAGATGGTTATTATGCTGAAAAGTTTCCCTGTAAGTTTTTGTAATTAACTTTTTTCTTTTTTTCTCTCTCTCTCTGGCTCTCGCTTTTTGTTTTATTAGATTTTCTTTTTCAGCAAGAACAACTTGGTTTGGTTCTAGCGTTCCATTAAATAGGCATTTTGTTCTGCCATCGGTTTACCCAAAGACGGCTGCAGAGTATGACAAGGATCATATGAATGAAAGAATCTTTAGAGAGAGGTCATCGGAGAGCTGGCCTCATATGACCGAATATACAGACAGATACCTGTTGTATGGTAGGACCGGATGTCCATTATCAGGATAAATCTCTCTCATAGTTGTAAGAAAGCGGAGGAAATTATTTATGATCATTGTTTAATAATACAATACAATTCAATATCCGACTCCCATTCTTTTTCTATCGCGTAAACAAAAGATGGCGAGACGGTTAGACGCCACTAACGTCCTCTGTCATCAAAAAAACATAAATGCAGACGGTTTAATTGCATTATATGTTTACCGAGTTGCAACTTTTTAAGTCAGTGTAAATAAATCAAAGAGTTTAGGAACAAACAAGAAGTCATTAGAGGACAGACGTTGTATGTAGTTTGAAGAATTAACGAAACAGATTTCTCGGTAGTAAATAGATATATTGTAAATAAAAGTATATATCGAAACCATAGAAACCTAATAATACATCAATTGCCCAACTTATTTGTAAATTCATTTGTACTTGCTTTGTTTTTTTATTAAATCTATAGCCGATTTTTTCTCTTTTATATTAATATATAACGTAAATTTTTATTTGAACACAAGGACTTTTGTTGTAACACGTTTTTTCCCCCCTCTGCAATTCACAATTACTGCAATTTTGTTTTTATATATACTGTATATATATATATATATATATATATATACGTTATCTTTAATCACCGTCACATCTTTTAAATTTATAATATAATTGTTCAATTTAATTTTTTACGACTATGTTACAGTAGTCATTAAAAGTACATGAAAATTCAAAATGAATAAATGGAAAATTAGTCTTAAATAAACAAATAACAGAGAGAGAGAGAGCGAGAGAGAGAGAGAGAGAGAATGAGAAAGAAGGAAAATACAGAAGAACGTACCAAAGGGACGTTGATGATGATGGTAAGGGATGGAAAGTTGTCGATTAGTAGTGAATAACAAACTTGATTAATAATTGAATAATATAGAGCAAAATTGATAAAAAGTTGGAGGAAGAGGGAATATGGTCGGGGAAGATTAGAGTAAAACTATGCGGTTAGTATAAAAAGGAAAACAACAAGTAAAACGCAATCTACAGCAAAATATAATATATCCAAAACAAAGATCGCGAATGAATGAATGAATGAATAAATAAATGATTGAACGAACGAACGAACGAATGAATGAATGTAATATATATATATATATATATATATATATATAGAAAATACACAAGGGAAGGTTTGAGAGTAAAGAAAATAGATAACTGACCGGATTCAAACTCTAAAAGCCTCTTTTCCTTCTCTGGTTGTCTATCTATCTATCTGTTTTTGCTTCTGCCTCTCTCTCTCTCTCTCTTATTCACCCTCTCTTGCCATGTGACTTTCTCCAGAACGTTTCTATTATAATTTTATTATTCCCTAACATAAATATGTAAAAAAAAAAGAAAAAAAAAGAAAAATTTACCCTAAAAAGGGTGTTTTTAAAAAAAAGACTGCAGTTTTTACAAGGCACAATTAAATGTCAAAGCCTCATCATAAGTAGGAGGTAATTCATCATTCGATATCGAAATTGTATCATCAGTAATCGATCTCTGCATTAAATTCCGATTCCTTTTTTCTACAATATTAGAAGTTGTTAATCTTTGTTGTACTACATAATGTCGTAATCTAGTATCCCTTCTTCTTCGACAACAACAATATAGAGCCAGAATTAAGCAGAAAGCTACCCAGAATATGACCGTAAAACTCATAAGGAACACAGCTGTGATCATCCCGCCTTCTGAGTAAATCATATCTTCATTCATTTTCGTTCAGTTTCCTATCCTTACTATAATTCGAGATCATTTGCCAATTTAGACGTTGCATCTAGTGCAGTATGGCTTCTGAATTGCAGATGAAAAGAACGTCGAGGTGGGAATCGATATATATAAAACTATCGCTAGATGGCACTTCAAAAGGTCTTTTTTCATGAAGACGGATGATTTTTTTCGTTTTTTATTTTTTGTACAAGTAGCTATTTTACAAAAGATAAACGAGAAAAAAAAAGAGAATAGGAAGAGAAGTAACGAAAGATGAAGAAGAAGACAAAAATCAGAGCAGAAGGATACTTTTCTGACTTTCCGATAAAAACGTTTTAGTTATGACTAAGTTTGAGTAAACAGTTTTATGAAAATGACTAATAAATCTAATAATAATTATTATTATAAAAAAAAAGACCGGAAAGATGTAAAAGGAGAAAAAAGGAAAAACTATAAATTATACTAAAACAACTAAAGCGGAACTACTTGTAGTCGGAACGACAATTTTCAAAGGATTGAGAATTCTTATAAATAAGAAAAACGACTTTCAGGTTACAGGATTGGCAATTGAATACCATGATAAAAAAATATTTTCAAGGGGGGGGGGGAGAGGTGGCAGAAGGAAGGTAGTGGCAGTAGGGGAGGGATTGAGCAAAACGAATGTGAAGGGCGTAGTGATAAAAGAAAGAACAAGTTAGGGGGGCATTGAGTAGAAATCTTTTACAGCTTAGAATTTCTTTCTACTATAGAAAATAGGCCTGCAAATAGATTAGAGTCTTTTCTTTATATCAACGATTATTATTTCTTTAATTACTGTACTAGTAATGAGAGTGAAAGAGTAGGTAAGAGAAAAATTTTATGTTGATAACTTAAGATGTAGAAAAGAAAAGAGAGAAAGAGAATTAGAAAGGGAGAGAGAGAGAGAGATTAGTAGTATAATTATATTTAGTTTTATAGATCAAATTATTATGTCTATAGCATTATAAATCTATGTTGCTAAGAATCAATGTAAATTGATTAGATATTACGTTTCATCCATATTTCGGAAATAATTAAGTTTATAAATAAAAATACTATATGTACAAAGTAACTTGTGAATTTATCTTGTAAATTTACTTATTTATATAACACCTTATTTAATAATTTATGTTATATTTTTATGCATGCTTGTAACAGTTTTATCTATTTGAATATATAGTATATTGCAGTACTGCAATATTTACATCTACTAGTTAAGTAACTAAGTTTGTTGTAAGAATTAACCCATTCTTAAATAGTGTAGTTTTATTTTATGGTAACTATTTATCAATCTATCTATCCATTCATCTATTCATCCATCCATCCCAGCTATCTGTCTATCTATCACACACACACACATATATATATATATATATATATATATATTTACACACATACATGCATAATCACTAACTCTATCTTTCCTTTTCTTCGTTATATAAGAAAAAAATTCAATAAAATTGGATAGAAAAGAGAAAAACAGTAATAATTGTTTCGAAAACGTCTACGGTAAATAGCCTTAAGTAAATTCACACCAAACAACTGCTATAGTGGAAAACCTATAAAATTTGAGAAATTGCACCATGTGAAAAAGAAAAATAGAAGAAATATACTGTATACACCTCACCTACGTTTTTTTCCATTCTTTTTTTCCACTTCCCTTCTGTTACCCTTACACCCTCCTCCCGCCCTCCTCTCCTATTCCCTACTTTTTCAATTGCCTCTTCTCTCTTCCCTTCCTTTGGGGTTTATAATGTTATACAAAAAATTCAATATATTATATATACAATGTAAATATAGATTATTATATGAAATTTTACTTTTAAATCATGTATATGCATGCATAAATTAATTTAATTATTCAAGAAATAAAAGAAAACACGTATACAGTATATGTGATTATTGTTATTATACATGTTATTAGATACATTATTTGTTTGCAAAAGATATATATGAAATGTTTATAAATTAGAATTTCATTCATAAAATAACAGAGTGGAAAGAGAAAAAAAAACAATTGTCCTAATTTTTATTTATACAAGGTTGAATGAACTAATTTTCAGTCAATAACCTGTTTTAGAAAGAAGATGAATGATAGAATGGAACAGGATATTCTAAGATCTTTTTCTTACTCTTTATGCCAATATACTGTATATATACTGGATATATGGCTATCTTTTATACTTTTCACGAATTTTTGCAGGCAATTCATACAAAATACAGTATTTTTCTTTACTTCAATCAGTCTTTTATTGCGTCCACCGAGTGTAGCAATTAACGATGTAAAAATCCGTAAAAATCCATTTTGATTAAAAAATCCCTATTGGTTAGATTGTTATTTAGTCGGAAAGTTCCTTTATATACTATTTAATAAACTAATTTTTTTCTTATTAATCTTATTCAAATGAAAATTGGGAGAAAACTAGGATAAAAATATAAAATGAATAGAAAAAAGTGTGTTTTCTTTTTAAAAACTGCAGAAAAAATTCGTCTAAAAGCAGGTTAATGTTATCATTTAATTAAATTTATACTGCTTGTAAATTCTTAACGACATTGTACAGAAGTTAATAACTAACAACGTTCCAGTCTTTTTTTTTTTTTTGCATTTTAGGAAAAAGTCAGGAGAATGGAAAGAGAAAGAGCTTTAGAGTTTGTGTTTTGTATGTGGCTGTGTGTTGTGTTTGTGTGTGTGTGAGAGAGAGGGAGAGAGAGGGAAAGAGATGAAAAAAGATATATAAACCGTGTTGTAAGGAATTGAAGAAGATTAAGAAGTATGTAGAAGATTACAGCGCATAAAATAGAAAAAGAAGAAAGATAAATCAGTTTAAAAGTCTTTTAGGTCTTGTTTTGTTTTTCAAAAGAAAGATTAGTAAATAAATAGTAAGGAAAAGGTGGAAATTTCAATCATTAAGAAACTAATCGCATTTATTTTAATCTAAAGATGTAAATGCAGTAACAAAGAAGGCAAACAAAGTTAATTTGATACCTGAATAAATGAATAACTTAATATTTAAACAACATTTTAAATTGGACAAATCTAAATAAAAAGTCGTTCTATTATAATTATTGTTATTATTACTATGATATACAATATGTTAAATATACCCTACAACAACTTAGGTTCAAAGAACGAAATAGTCTTTGAATTATTATTAACTTGTCAGAAATTCTTTCTTTTCTTCATCTACCGTCCATTTCGCCTATCTCGTCTACCCCTCTCCCCAATACTCATCTCTTAATCGGTCCAGCTATCCATCTCTCTTGTATGTAGTAGGTCTATTATAAGTGAGACATAAAGATAAAATATTGCTCTACTTATAAATAAATAAATATAGCATAAGAGTTAATTCTTAAAACTTTTATAAACAAGTTTTGTACTGCTTAAGATGAATCTCTCTCTTATAATTATTCATTAGCGTACTCTATTTTCTGTCTTGTATACACAATGTGTACTAAAGATAAAGTATACAATCATAAATGCTACATGTAGACAGTTCATCCTTTTATCTTTCTTAATTATAATATTAGTTTAAAATTATTGTTCTTTAAACAGTAAATATAAAAAACAAGGGTATTTTCTATTATTGGCCTAATAATGAACTCTATTCAGTTTATATACAATAACTTATCCGCATTATAATAAACCAAAAAGGTTAAATACTTAAGGAATATTAGCTTATAAAAGGTTTTTTAGATAGTTTATTATACAGCATTTACTGAATATATAATTTATACTATATATCGAATGAAATATACTGCAATATGCTTATCTGGAAATGGAACGAATCGGGTGAGAAAGTGTCAAGCTTGCTAAAGAGTCTAACGACAAACAATCCATACCAAGCAGTAGTTTTAAGCGTAATAGACGCCTCTCACATTCCAATTGGAATTAATTTCTTTGAAAAGTCGGTGAATAAAGTTCTCTTTTTTTTTTAAACTGCAATCTCTTATTTGCTTTTTACTAGAAAAATAAATAAGTCAATAAACATAACTGAGGTTAAACAAGAAATACTAACACCTTTTTTGTATAAGGAAAACAAGTAAGCAAACAAACAAACAAACAAACAAACACATAACATACGTACTTAAAAACGAATGTTTCTATATTTGATATTTATTAATAAAAGTGTTTTGTTACTGTTCCTGTGGTTGTTCTCTTTTAACGAATCTATTAGACGGTTTTCGTATATGTCATATATGCTTCCATACTACTAATTCTATTCGCAATGCCCTTTTTAAAACTATAGCAAAAGCCGTCTCTACTCTATTGACGTCTCCCGGAAAAGCTGCAAGTTTCGTTAAGATTCGATAACATATAACAACCGAGCCATGTATATCTTAAGGAATGAAATACAATTATTTAAGCTAAACCTGTCCAACCGTGTCTTAACCTTGAAGAATACTTAATCAAGTTGAGATTTAAAATAGTATAGATTTATACAAATTATCGTTATATTTCTAAAAATTCCTATATAGGTGTGGTGATTTCACGCCCTTGCTTCTCTTTAGCTTCATCTCCCCTCTTGAAGATGTTTTATCAAGTATAATGGATAAAATCTTTATACAAAATAATATTTTTAGGATATTGAACAATAGGATAATCACCTTCCTTATCCCTTCCACCCACTCCTTCTCTGTGTTTTGTTAACTTTCCTATATAAGACTCTTTAGACTGTAAAAATATAGTGAAAATAATATAATTGCAAATTGTTATCTCAAAGGAAAGAGATATAGTCTTTAGCAAGGATAATGCAAAAGAAGTCCTCATTAAAGATGGTAGTTTATACTATTATAAGCCCAAGATACATAGACTATTGATATTTATAAAATATCTAATTAGTCATACGGACAAAGCTAAAAAAGAGAAACGGCAAATGAAATCAATATTTTCAAATAAAAATCAATAAAGATGAGCAAGTGTATTTTTAAACTATATGAATAAATATAAATACAAAGTAAATATAGATTGGGAAAGCGAGAAAAAGAAGGGAAAGAGTAAAATAAACAAAAAGAAAAAAAAAAGTAGTTGAAGGCCTATATGACAAACTAAAAAGTTGAAAAAAAAAACTGGATGAAATAGTGTATGTGTCAGCAAATATATATATATATATACATAATATACAGTTGGTATTCTATTACAACATGTTCATATATACTTTACTTAAAGTTTTAATAATAAAATACTGGTAAACTTCAACTCTTTTTCAATACTCTGTAAAGGTATTTTATAGTCTTGTATACAACCAACCCTACCTCTTTTCTTTGCTTAGTGAATATATTCGATAACATTCAATATATAATTTACAATTGAAAATGTCTTAAATATATATTATTGCCGTGGATTTACCTTAATGATTACGAATTCTACAACACGAATAATCGCATTAATTAGTAAACCTTTTGCCTTTATGATAGGCCTATCTACAATAGATGGCGCTCGTAGAGTTCAGAGTGCCATCTATAAGTGTCCCTCACGATAACTTTACGTTTAGAGAGCGAATTTGCTTTCGCTGTTAATAACATATTTCATGGAAGTTGGCTTTTAGAACAAAGCGAAAAGCGTTTAAAATAACGCCGAAAGGTGATTTATAACGAAACATTCAAGAAAAACAAAGAAAACTAGAAATTAAACTTGAATATTGGAAGTAGGAAACTTTTTCCAAATGGGTAAATCTCATAACATCAATAAACTGGATTTGAGTGGAATTTCGGAAAAGGAATCAGAAGCTATTTTAAGAGTAATACAAAGGGATTTCGAATTAAGAGAAGCTGAACAGTCTAGAATAGGGTAAACTGTTATTTTTTATACTAATATTTTTTTTATACTGGTCTATAGGACTACGTTTTCTCTATTGAACTATTAGAAACATTAATATGGGGAAGGATACATAGATGATATTAGTAATAATTGAATATATTAGAATATATAGCAAAAAAAGAGAGTTATGTACAATGAATAAATAGTACCTTGACAATTAAAGGTGATATTAGTTATTGATATTATTACCAAGTATAACGTATTTAGTTAAATAAATCAATAAAATAATACTTTTTTTATTTATCATTGAAAAGATAAAGAAATATATAGAAAAAAAGAAATTTCTATTTCTTATCTTGCTTTTTCAATGAACATATTCAATTAATCTTTAATATACTCTACATACTTTAAATATTATTATATCCCTTATTAGCATAATTTATGAATAATTAACTCTTTAATTAATTCATTTTTTCTTTTATTTATTTGCTACGGTGTAATGTTTAATTGTGCAATCTATACTACTATATTTATATCTGTAATATTCAATTGATACAGATAGTAGTAATAAGGGTATAGGTTTGTTATAAGTACAAGTATACACATACTATATATATATATATATATATATATGTGTGTGTGTGTGCGTGTGAAAAGAGTCTATCAACATTATGTCTGATAATAAGCCCGTACAAGATCCATCTAATACTGAAAAATGTTATATATAGTATATTAACACTATATAAAAAGAAACGATTGTAGAGAGGGGCAGAGAGAGTAAGAGTTAAAAAAATGGTTCAGAGAATACTGTTTTTAAAGCCAACTTTACCATATGACGGCTCATATACTGGTTCAAGTTTTATATATACTGTATATACTGTATATAGCATACAGGAAAAAGTCATATATTAAATATAATATCGTCAAAGCCCATTCTGTAAACTATTTAAGCTATATTACATTGGCCTATTTTCACAATTGGTATCTATTTGAGTTGTTTATTAACCTCTTCTAAATGAAAAAAAAATGTCTATGTAATTAATGTTAATAGGGAAATGAACATGGCATATGTTACTTTACACATAGTTTGTGAAACTATTTTGGTTTATAGGCCTATCTCTTTATAATTGACAATACTATTTCGCTTTTTATATCTTTATACTTTATAGTATGAAAAAAGTTAAGTTTGAAAAAAAAAATTGAATAAAAATTCTTTTATATCAAAGAAAGAAAAAAAATGAAAAGAAAAAGAAACTAGTATTTTCTTTAGATTTTTTTCTTTCTTTTTTTAACTCCCTCTCTTTCTCTCTCTTCTGTTTTCTTACTCTGGAAAGTATTATGACTCTTTCTGTTATTTTCCTTTTACTATTAATTGTTTATTCTATGAATGTTGTTAAAAATAAAAATGTATACAGTGACAGATGGATGTAAAATTATCCAATATATACGTATATTGAGTATAAAGCTTCTGACGTAATATCATATTTAATACAATATTAAATGGGAATGGGAGGACATGTGTATTTGTGTGGGTGGGGTAAATTGGCTGATATAGATTCGATTTATAAAAAGGAAACATGCAAACATTAACAAGTATTGAATAGTTTATAGATTTTCTCTTTTTAAACATAGACAAAAAGAAGTTGAAATTACAAAAGAAAGTTCAAGAGCGGAAATCTTAGCTCAACAACCAAACTTTAACGAAAATTGCTGTATGAAATGCTGTAAAAAGCTAGTATTATTTATTTAATAAATTAATATATACTGTATATAATAATAATAATATTAATAATAATTTCTCTCTATTCAAAAACAAAATGCAGGTTTATTATTCTCTTTAATCCTAAAGTTAAATGCTCTTCCTGCGAATTCAATTATTGTAAAAGTTGTTGCATTTTCATTAAAAAGAAATCTGCATACATATGCAAAACTTGTGATAATGACAAACAGTTAAGTGCCTCCACCTGTTCGTGGTTTTACGACGGTGTTAAAAAGAAGTAAGTTTTGTACTAAACTTTTATAAAACATGCTATATACAGTATAATTATTCGTCTTTAATAGATTTAGAAGATTTGGTAGTGCTAAAATAGTGAGAACTTTAATACAAGCTCGTTCACTGTCCGATGAAGAAGGTATATATAAATACAGTATATATATATACAGTATATTAGTGTATATAGGTATATAGTCTATTCAAAAAATGACTAATTAGCATATTTTATATAAAAATGTTATTTAATATCATTTTAATTGAAAATGAATGAAATAAAGAGTAAGAGAAGAGAGAGAGAGAGAGGGAAAAGAGAAATTATGTTTAGATAAGATAAAAAGAAAATATACTATAAATTCTCTTCTCTTATTATTTTATTACCATTTGAACTCTATAATCGATTTTTTAAAACATGTCAAGTTTTTTTTATTAAGAAAGCTATAAAAAATAAGATATTTAGCATATTTTTTTATATTAGGCCTATATTTAACTATTTTTTTCTTTCTTCTTTAACATTGCTATCTATTTATCTATTTATCATATTACTTTGTTCTATAGCTTTTTTTTTTCTCTTTTTCACGTTACTCTCTTGATTCCTCGTTACTCTCTCTTTATCACTTTATCGCTATTTCTTCGCATGAGCATGCTATAACTGTGTTTTTAGTTAAACGTCTTCTTTATCGCATTTTGTCCAGATTGCCAACGACATGCTAGTGACGACGAAAGACAGCGGCCAAGATATGGGCCTACAACAAGCGTTCAAGGTTTATTCGATAAAATGATATATTTGAAGCATTCAGGTAGCCGATATGAGTGTAGTGATTACCATTTTCATTCTAGTATTCCTTTCAATTTTTGCGGTGATTCTAATTGTCTTTCGTGTGAAAAAAATTAGAGTAGTTGGTTGGTTATTTTATAAACGAAGGGATGATTTATACTTTCATTTTCTATATTTGATTTTATATATTGGTGACCTCAATTGCTAAAAGGAAAGGCAACAGTATGCCTTTTTTATATATAATTAAATAAATAATATTCATATCTTCATTCAAGTCAACTCGATTACAATTTAACCTTTAAAGCAAAACAGAAGTAAAATTCAAGTTTTATCATCAAATTATATGAAACTATATTGAAAAATAAATATGAAATGACTTTTTTTCTTTATTATTAAATGATATAGAAAAGAGAAAAAGCCATTTTTTTTTGATTTCTTTATCTTATATGATTTATCTGCTACTTGAATGCTAATATAATTCAAACAACTTGAAATAAAAAATATTTAACAACTGTACACTATAGCAGATCTGAAAGAGAGCATCGACACGTTGAGAGAATCGTTACAGTCCGCTGAAAAACGTCTATTCTCCGAATTAGACAATGACACCAATGAAGTTCGATCTCTAGAAGTCTGTAAATGTTCAATAGATGACGCCTGCAAAACCTTTCTCCAATCGAACGCTAATTCATCGGCAGCAAGGCAGGAACTACAACGTCAATTGTGTATATTCGCTGGAGAAGACGAGTTGGACCAAAGCACTTCAGATTACGGTTCGGATATTCGAACGGATTCAAGCGAATCTTTAATAAATTCGCTATACAAGCGTTACCGAGAACGTCAAGAGAGGTTTGTTCTTAGGGCTCTGGAGAAATTATATAACGATTGCGTAATCGCACACCTGATGAACAGAATCAAGGAAGACGCTAGCACCACGGATTTTCGGTCACTTTCTTCTTTAGAAAGAGACGAATCGGTAAGCGAAGAAATTCAATCAACAGTCGTTCAACTAAATAGTCAAGTTCCCGACTCCGATCTAACAACCAAGGAGGATATAAGCCATTTGAAGACTATTGATGTGTCTCAACAAAGCCCCAAAAGCTTCTTGGATCCCTCCGCTGAACAGGATGAAGACGTTGACCTAGAAGAATTAGAATCGTTTTGTTCAGCTAAAGAAACTTCGCTACCTCACTTTAATACAACAATTTCAAGTCTAACGGAAACTGATCCTGATTTGCTACAAATGTCATTAATTGACTACGAAGCTTTGGATACTCTCAAAGAACAGAGAGAATTAGAAGAAAATGGGAAAATAGAAGAAAGGAAAGTTGGAGAAGGAAAAGATGGCGAAGACGAAGAAGAAGAAGAAGAAGAAGATTTTGACATTGACGATGACGTAAATATGGAAGAGGAAGTATCATTGCGTTCAAAACCAGAATATAATTTCCGACCTCCAACTGAAAATGTTTTCAGTCCTTACAAAAATATGAAAAATTCAACAATCATTGGCGAAGATAACTTTTTAATGTACACTCCCGAAGGTGACAACTCCCAACAAGAAGTGTTGTCGGACGACGACAACCTTCCAAGCGATATTGATAGATTCTCAATAGATAGCGAAGAAGAGGATAAACTAGAGAATTTAGACGAAAGCTATCTGGATTCACCATCCAAAATCGATATAGACGAAGGTTAGTAGAAGAATTTCTGACAACTTTTGACATATGTAATTTTTATTGCGTGCAATAAATATATTAGGAATTTCAAAAGGATAGAAATACTATACAAGTATATATAAAACAGGTAGCCCGTGTTTTGTTGTCTCTCCTCCAAAGAAAACGACAATAAATCTGGGAGATATGGCATCAATAACCTGTACAATTGAAGGCTCGTTACCAATTACTGTACAATGGTTCTCATCACAAACCCAACTAGAATCGGACGAAAAGTACGAAATTGGCCAAGTTGATAGCGATATTCACTCCTTAGATATTTATAACTGTAAAGCCATCGATAGTGGAACTTATAGAATATTATTAACCAATGAAAAGGGATCTGCAGAGAAGAAATTTGACGTAATTGTCAAAGAGGATAGTATATCAGGAGGTTCGTACTCTTCTTTATCTTTAAATGGCTTTGGTAGGTAGGTCGCTAGTACATAGAGTCTATCTAAACAAATAACAGATTAAAATTAAATATAAAAAGATAATCGATTATCCTTAGAAAATTGAAGAGATTTCATTTTGTGTTCTTTAGGTATGAAGCCTCGTTTAATAGAAGGTTTAAGGAAGACTTATAGCGTAAGGAGCGGTGACGACGCTTTCTTCTTTTTCTCAATCACAGCTTTTCCAATTCCAAGAGTTGCTTGGTACATCGACTCTCAATTAGTAAATGCAACAAACTTTCCAAATGCACAATCCACTAAATATAAAAAAGACTATTCACTCTATATAAAACAAGTAACAAAATCATCGATAATAACAGTAAAAGCGTTTAACTTCTTAGGAGAAATTGAAAGCAGCTGCTCGTTAAAAGTATTGGATGAAAATGCTAATGAAAATGAATCTATTTATCCATCCGAGGAAGATTTAAATCAAATTGCATCGATAATGTCCGATAAAACTGATAAGGTATGTAGAAAGAAAAGAGAAAGAAGCGTACTATTTTTCTCTTTATCGTCGTAAAGTTCAATATATCTCGTATATTAGTTTTGAACAGGGAATACTAGAACTTTTACGCTTTGAACGGTATTATTTTGTTGCTTTTTTTTGTATTGAATATCTCCTCGTAGGGAAAATTGAATAAATTGGTTGCAAAGTGCAATTCTTTAAGGGAGGAATATAATATGGAATCGAAGTATATGAAAGAATGGGTAACAATAAGCTTATTGAGCTTAAAAATAAAAATATTCCAGGCCTATAAAGAATGTTTATACATAGTTGAATATTAGTAAATAGAATGCATGATATATATATATATAGATATATATATTAGATGGTATTATACGCATCCTATTGTCTTAAATAGATTTTCATGAATATGCTAATTTCCCTTTATTTACATATTTTAAATTAAATTTTACTCTTATCATTCGTGCAGAGGAACGATGTTGAAAACTTTGAGAATTCAATCAATTCTGTTGATTCTAAACTTGAAAATTTGGATACGGATGTTCAACTGTTAACTCCTCAACCGCAAGATAGCTTTTTCGATGTTGATTTAGAGCTTAGGAATGTTAATATATGCGTAAGGAGTTTACGAGAAATAAATAAGAAACCTAGATTGTTCAGGCAAATGTCATCCGCCTTAGACGCTATTCATCAAACTCTTACGGACATTGAAAGGAGCCAGAGCGTAAGGGAAAGACGGTTGAGTGAACCTTCCCAAAATGTTGTATCTCTACGCCATCATTTTATTGAGGAAGAGGACATTGAAGATTTTACGGAAAAGGTCGAGTTGTATTTACCGTTCGACGATTATGAAACTCTTTACATTTATAAGCTGATAGACCGTACGATTTTAAGGCAGGCATTTATTACTGAACGCCAGATGGCGTCCGTAAAAAAAGTTTTAATAGCGCTTCCGAGTTTAAAAGAGAAATTAGCCATGGAAGATAAGACAATTTTACTACCAGATATATCTGAAATGGATGGAAATTTGGTTCTCAATTGTGGATTGAAACGCGTTAATTCTAAACGTTACAAACGTGATTATAATATTAATAGATCAGGTCAAAAAGGTCAACCAGAAGTAAAACCCTTTATAAAAGAGGAAAGTCAAGGTCAAAAAGCTAAAAGTATTCTCAAGCAACCGAATGATACATTAGCCAAAGCAACTCTTGTCCTAGTCGATGAGAGACCGGAACTAGCCCAGGTAATGTAATAATAAATATCGGAGCGCGTGGGTTAACCATAATCATAAGACAATTTAGTAGATTTACAAAAAGTCTTAATACTTTTTCTCTATTTTATTAACAAAACTAACCACCGATTTAATTAACAAATAAGTATTAATAGATTAGTTAAGAATTGAATCTAGGTTAGAACGGTAAATACAATCGCAGCTTTAATTAAAAACTTCTCATTAGTATTATAATAATAACAACAACAACCCGTGCAAAAGTTAACCTATTATAATGGCAATTTTAATTATAAACCATACGAAAACAAAATACCAAATGTCTAAAAGTTAATTGGTCAACTATATTAAATACTGTAATAGTCTTTTTCTTCGGTAAGTCGCATGAATAAAGAAAGCACAATCTGCAAAAGCTATAATTTAATACTTTATTATATACATTTACATAAAATTGCGCATGTATTCACAGCTAAAAGCTTTATTGCATATATTTCTTAATATTACATAAAGTTGAATTATTGCTGTAATAGAAGTTTCTTTATAGTTTTCTTTGTTGTATAGAATCCTGCAAGTAAACCAGAAGAGTCATCTGATTTAAAAGATTCGTTTTGTTGAAAAAGGAAAGAAGAAAATTGAAAACAATAGAAATAATATATGATAAATATGAATAAAAGTACCAAAATTAACTCTTTCCTATCCTGTGTCTATCTCTTTTTTGTTGTTTTTATACATCGGCCAATAGCTGTAAAATTTAGCCATATAATATAAAAATATGAATATATACAGTATATCTATAATTTAAATCCTTTTTGTTTTCTAATTAAAATATTAAAAATTAAAAAAATATACAAACTATGCAAACGTCAATGTTTCTTCTTCGTGGATATTAAATACAAAGATAAACAATTAAAAATCATTCCAAGCTTTGTTTGTTGTTAATTATTTTATTAAAAGAATGTTATATTTAATATAAAATTTGTCTATTCAAAAAGAAAAGGTAAAGAAAAAAGGGAAAAATAAACAATTCTATAGGAAATATTTCGAAAACGAAAATAATTATGCAAATTAGAAACAATATACGAAAGATAAGAAAATTCTTTCTTTTCTTAATTCCTTAGTCCTTTAAATTTAATTATTGGATTCTGTAAAAGGCTTTGTTTTAACGTTGGTCTTCCTTTATCATCCAATGGATCTTCATTCTTGAATTTTCTGGCATAGATTTCCGGATAACTTGTCTTGAACTATTGAAATATATATATATATATATATAATTATTAAATTGTATATTCGTCTAATCTACCTCTTTCAATCTCTTCTTCTTTTCCTTGTCAGTCATATTTTCATTCTTTGTAATAGTATCCAATAGATCACGTAGTGCTTGTTGCGATGAACTTAACTTTTGATTTTCGAATTCTTGAACGGATATTTGACTGCAGTAAACTTTGTCCGCCCAATCATTTTTCAACTGTAAATTTATGGTTTTTTTTCTCTTTTAATAATTTAACATTTTAATGATCTTCATTTTACATAAAGATTTTTATTATCTTCTCTAATTACTCAAAATTATTTTAATGGAAATAATGCAATCACAACATGCTAATACACACTGATATTTATATAAAAAGGAAAATTAATACAAGTTATATATATTGATTCATTCTCTTGATTTTGATAAGCGAAAGAGAGATTAATATTTTGATAAGATTTTTTTCTGTAATATTCTTTTTAGCATGCAAAAAATAGAAACGAAAAACAAAAAAGTCTATTAATTCAATTTACTTTTGATTGTTTTCCTTGAATTTTTCGTTTCTTTTAAAAAATAAACAAAAAAAAGTTGCTTATCTTATGATTAAATTAAAGCTGATTTTTTACTATTACTATCATTGTTTTAGACAGAATTTAGCTTGTTTTCTTTTGTTTTTTTTTGTTCTTTTAGCTTTTTTTTTAAAAAGTCATGCAAAAAAAATCTTACCACAACCGATTCCAAAGACTGAAAACAGTAACATAAATATATAAAAAAAATTCTTCCTTATCATAATCAACTTTTGCATTTTAAATATATGAAATATATTAATTTTATGGTTGATTTTTGATTTCATTTTTTTAATAAATTCAAATTTGTAAATTCAATTTGGATGGTTCACTTCTATGGAATTTTGAAATTGAACATTTTACCTTTGCTCTTCTCAATGAAATGATTCTTTCTTCTATTTGATCTTTTAAAGTTTCTGGGATGGATAAAACCGCTTGATAATTATCTAATAATAAAGATACTAAATGGGCGTCTGCTATTTCCAAATCTTCTACTTTCTTCTTCTCTGGCCTTATAATACAAATGGTAAACGTAGAAATGACCTAGAAAAAATAAAAAATATAATAATCAATCCGAATCGTGTTGGAAATATATTTTCTACTCACAAAGTCTCTATTAGATTCTCCTGAAACAAGTTTGAGTTTGCGATTACTTATCATTTTCGACATTAATCTCAAAAGTAAGTGCAATTTCCTTCTGTTTCCTGGAGGAAGTAATAAAAGTGCTGTTTGTAACGCTTCAATCATTTTGTTCTTCTTCAACGGAGTAACAATGCCTGTGTTGGATTACATTATGAAAATTAATTAATTATGCTGATGCGAGAAAATGTAAAAGGGAAAGAAACTTACACGGCGAACTAATGCTTCTGCTTAAAGTTTTACAAGGTTTTTCCGGCGTTTTATAATCTTCGACTTTTAAGTTCGATGCAATTTCGTTATTTATTTCCTCCTGACAGACGAATACCGAAGTCTTCTTCATATATGGGGGTGGAGGTACATAGGGGGGTGGGCTCGGTTGACGTCGTCTCCAATCTTTTTTACTCTCAAGATTATCCAAGTATCTTGGACTCATCCTATAAGGAGCGTGAGAAGTTGGACTAGCAATAGCTTTACTAACAACTGATCTGTAACCGAAGATGTTAAGGTTAGGAAGGATTTGACACGAACTCCAGAATAAGAAAATACTAACCTAATGTCATTTTCGACGGTTGTCCAATTGTATAGAACATTGCTTTGATTGCCACGAAGCGTTTCGCAAAATCTTTTATTCTCCCTCACGTCGTTCATCGAATAGAACATTTTATCATCTTTCGGCAAGCAGAGAGATTTCGTTTCCATCTGCCCAATACTTGTAATAGACGCATATTGGACCGGATAGCGTCTATAACCAGATTCACCGTATCTTCTCGATGGAGTCGGCGGTTCAGCGCACAAAGAATCAGATCTAGCGGCACATTGATGCTTTTCAGAGTTTAAGGAAGTGGAAGAAGAAAAAGCTTTCAGTTTCTTCATCATAGAAGTTTTCGCCCTTCTTTCAGCAGGACGGTAAGGTTTTTCCTCCACTTCCGGAAAAGTTTCAGATGAAGCATTAGAGTCATCAACATGACTGGATTCAGTTGAATTTGAAGAGGTTAGAAAATCTATTGAGTATTTACATATACGTTGGTTAGTTATAGATTTCTTACAAGAGTCATTCCATTAAAAAATTTACCTTGAATAAAAGCGAAAATTTCATAAAATTGGCAAGTTAGCAGAGGTTCTTCATGATTATAGAAATAGTCTTTAACAACATTCAAAACATCTCTTTCGAATCCTTCGTAGCTGGGAAGGTCTTTGTCTACTTTGTCTGGCCAGTGAGCTAAGCATCTCATTGCCGATAATACCCAATGAGGTAATTGATCTAATAGTTACGAGTGGATTAATCATTGTCGTCCGAAATATATAGTTTAAACGTAAAATCTTACCAGATTTTGGTATATTTGTAACAACACCGTTCTTACTGACATGAGAAACATTATGTATAATATATTCGGGATTTACGCTGTCAATTTGAATTAAATCTGAGAGTTTATTCAAGCCTAAAACTCTTTGAAGTCTATAAAATAAATATTTTAATGTTAATTAGTTTATAATTTAATTAACAAAAAGAAACAATTCTCTAGTACTTATTTATAACCATATTCTTCCAAATTCCATCAGTCTCCTCCTTCGATATTCGTGTACTGCTCATAGCAACCAATTCGCATTCCTTTTTCATCTCTTCTTTCTTGGAAGTTTTCTGAGACCTTGTAAGAATTAATAATAAACTTATAGCTAATCTATAGATTATGATCAATTTATCATTTGACAAACTAATCATATATCGCACTTAAAAACTAACGATTCATTAATGAATTAATAATAAGTTAATTATTATTTGTAAGTTTACTAATAGAAATATCAATAAATTACCTAGATAAAATTGGTAAATTCATTAAACTTGTTCGGCTAGACAAGGGCACTCTGCCACTCTTAGAGGACGATAGATCTTTCAAGGACTTTCCATTCTCATCCGATATTCCTGTTACTGTATGACGTCTTTGATTTCTTGGTGTTATTTTCAATCTATGAAAATGGTAAATCATTAAACGAGCTATTATTTAATTTTAATTTCTCACTCATTTACCTGTAGAGTTTGTTATTATCCTCAAATAATTCCTTATTATGCTTTTTACCTCGAACATCTTCAAATATATTAGAAGCCTGTAGCTTTCTGAGCAGTTGAACAGCTTGAAATCTTCAAGAAAAACAATAATTAAATTCCTATATTTACCTAATTTCGAGTGGATTAATTTACCTGGTTACTCCCGAATATTCATTCTTGTTAGTTAAAAATTGATGAACCCAATCTACAGCCTCAGATGCTACAAAACAATCATCGAAGGTTTTCATATGCCTTCTATGTCTTCCTAACTTGATATTTTCATTAAAATTATTTACTATTTCATTCCACTGTTACAAAAATAGAACGCTGTTAGAAAGTTTTATTCGGCTAAATATTTTTACTTACTAATTGTGTTGCTTTATATGGTCCGATTGGTGTGGAAAGTTGAGTAGTAGACGTAGAAGAAGAAAACATTGCTATAAAAAAGAATTAAATCTCTAGCCTAAATAAATAGAAATGATTTTTCAGTTTTTTTCAGGATATAAAATTCATAATATGCGTTAAATATGAAACGAAAGCTGATTGGCTAGTCCTCACCAGTGTGATTGTTAATCCATATAATTAAAACAAATGGTAGCTTCTAGTATTTATATGCTCCGCCATTTTGAAAAACCGTTTAAGGAGCACTTAACTGTGTATGTAAACACGGAGAGCTACTCTGTCAGCTAGGGAATAAAGTAAAATAAAGCAAATAACTTAGTCGAGTTTGGAAAATGGCGCTTATAGAAATCTAACCCGCGCCATTTTGTTTATTTCTAATTGTCATTGGACTTTAACTTATATCGGCCATGTCGCTAGGTTGTACCGTGCCAGATTGAATTAAGTAACTAACTCGGCGAGTAACAACCAGTGAAGACACGATTTATTCTTTAAAAAATTTCAAATTTTGTAATAAAACTAGCTAGAGAATTATCACTGTAAAAATTATTTAGTTTGGAGCATATTTTTTACATTTAAGGCTAAATATATGTTCTTGACTTAGTCCTGTTTTGACCAAATGATATATCCAACATGGTGGTATGACGCCGTTGACTGGGACTATTTCTATTCAAGCATCAGCAGATTCTGTTGCATTTTAAAAAACTAGAACCACTAAAAGTTAGAAAAATCTAATTTTATTAAATTAATATAAAAATTCATCAGAGTTTATATAAATAACTAGTTGTAAAATATGTTACGGAGCGAACTATTTTACAGGCGCAGGACTACACTGCAACAGTTGCCCTAGAAATAAACACCATAGTCACCATCACTCTTGGCGACTGTTACCAAACTACATCAGGTCAGTAATTGTTTACATTTTGTTTTCACTATGCAACTATCACTATAAATAAGAAAGCTATCACATCAAAAGCGCCGCCCTTATCTCTAGCTTCTCAGATTAGCTGATTTTTACCGTTGTGTTTATACCCTCTTTGTTTTATATGGCGGCCTGTCTATTTTGTGGAAAGCTTATAAAGTTTTCACAGCTCTTTTCTATAACTGCTATACGTTTAGAAAAAAACAGCGAAAATTGTATGGAATAAGTAAAAAAAAGTGCCGAGACGTCTTGTCAGGACTTGAACATTCAATCGATTCTTGTTTGTTCTCGTTCCCGTTCGTTTTTTCTTTTAAAATAGTGCATTTTTGATACTTTATATGTAGGAAATTGTAACTTTTGTTCGTTTATTATTATTGTACTTTGAATGTATATATATATTATATAAGGAAGTTACAACTAACGAACGGGTTTGTTTAAACGCTGTTTCCATAGTTACCGATAAACAAACGCCACTCTTATCAGGTATTTGTAATAAGCGGGACGGAAAGTTTTATACAAAAGGCGATCGATGGCTACCTCCTCCTGTTTAACTTATATTTATTCTAATGAATTTTCACTATTAAATTATGTAAAATTCATAATATCAGTATTAAAATCAATGTTTCCTGCAAAAGCTTTGCTTATTCTAAATCTCCATAGAATAAGAAGCTCGTAACCTTTAGACATATAATTTTGTAAAGTTAATTAAATAATTTTCAAACTATTCCCTCGTATTTAGATATTATTAATAACAAAGAATATAATACTTTTTTTATACTATTTTCTAAGCTAATCTCGTTCAACAATTTACTATTATTTATTGTTCTGCCTGAACATGTTGAAACTAGACTGCCACTTTTTTAATCTATTTCCTAAAAAAAGAACGCTACGTTTTTGTGTTCTTTTTTACATTTCGAATATCTCGAAGAAAGCGTTCTAAATTCTATTCTATTCCATAATTTTTTTAATGACGTCATTCTAAACCTATTGCGATAAAATATAAAAAATAGAACGAACAAATACACTCGATTATTTTAATTTTACAATGAATTAAAAATGCTTATGATTTTTGGTTTAAAAATAAGGATAACACTTTTTTATCCTTATTAAAGTCTTTACAGGAAATATTGTAGAGATATTGTTTTCATATTTCGCTAATGTTTCTTTCCTTTTTTTTATGGCCTATGAAGTCTTGTGGAAACGTTTCCCTTAGACTGTGACCTCTTGAAATCGACTATCCGTCCCAGGCGCTATTATGTTCCTCTCCTTCTTTCTTCGAATATCTTTTAATAAAAGCCTAATAAATCATCAAGTTGCCTTATAATTAAATTTTATTAGACGTTCCCCGTCGTTACCATTGACAACTTTTACTTTTGGTGAATACACTCTCTTCTATATTATATGTATATATATATTTATTTATTACTTTTTAGGCGAATGCCGACTAGTGAAATGAATGTTCAAGGTCAAGGTCAGTCGACGGCGTCTAAAACGCCGACGTCTACAATTCTTCAGCAGACTACGGCCAACGCTCAGCAATTTATCGTCACGAGTAAGTTTTTGTAAGCGGTGTTTACATAGTTTCTATGGTAGCATGAGAAGGGGAAGCCAGAGGGTGTATGATACTTTTATGCTATTAATTAGAAAGAGTCAATAGGTATAAAAGTTTTCCGGTGACAATTTCTGTTTTAGGATTGAAATTATTAATTAGGGATTCCGTTACCTTTTTCTTTTGTGTGAAATCATCAAACCGGTAATGAAAATTGTAATGATAATTACAATTAATGCATATATTACTGTATGCATGTATGTAATTATACATGCATATGTATATATAAATGCATTTATATATTATTGTTAAAATTACAGATATACGGATATTCTATTTTCTTTATAAAGCTAATAGTATGTCAGTTAGCGTTTGTCAAAATGAACAGCTATCCTCATAAAATTAACTTGTAAACACACGAACTTACTAAATAAAACTTCGCAATCGGTTATGTGTCAGGAAAAAAATGATGATTGATTGGAACATAGTAATTAATTTACATAATACACTGTTTCATCTTTAAATGAGGATATGAATTACAATGCTAGGCCATTTTATTAATTGAACGAAAAAACAGTACATATATATATATATATACAGTATATATATAATTATTAAATCTTCGTTTGCCAATTTAGCTGCTTTAGCTATTTTAAGTCAATGGAATATTAAACGTAATGAAACTTTTCGACTATAAAACTGATTGGCCTTTAGCTGACAATTGTTTAACTGACTATTCACTAAATTAAGATTAATTAGCTATAATTAATTATGGAAAATGAAGTTTTTAATGTGCCTTTTTTTAGTTACTAATCCGTCATCGAATAACAATGGATCTTCTGGAGAGTCAAATTCTGATGAAGGGACAACTGTTCAATTGCAGAGCGGAAATGGACCTCAAATGATCTACCAATCCAACAATCAATCTCAACCACAGTACGTTGACTCCTTAAGCGACTCCGGCGATGCCGTATCCTATCAGTCTGCATCGGCTGCGGAAAATGAAACAACTTTACCTACCGCAATATTACGGTAGGGAAAAAGATGGATTTTGTCGTTTCACTTTTAACTGTTTTCTTAGGACCACTGCTACCGATCCTTAGCATAAAAATATTTCAATGATATCATTCCTTTGATGTCGCAATTTGTAATCTTAATCGCGCCATCTAGATGTAAAAAAATACCATATTTCGACTTGCTTACGCTATGTAGTTGCACCAACTCCCAACAAAATATTTAAAGATAGAGTTTAAGAAAGTCGTAAACAAACCGAAGGTAATTAAGAATTTAATGCTAGAGCATTGGAGAAATATTATAGAACTATTAAGACATGTATACGCAGAATATCGGTAGTAGTGGGTATCAATTTGTTTGTTCAAACACTTATTTCTTTTCTCACCTTCTAATATTCGAGAGCCATCTAACGTTTGTTGTCTACAAAACTTACACTTTTCCATTGGGCACTGGGCAGACTGAATTGATGATGGCATCATCGGTTTCCTTTCCCAAAGTTTGCAATACTTTGTTTGTTTTGATTTTCATTTACCTCACTTTCTTTTCAAAATAAACAACGTTTGCATAAAATTGTTTTACTAGAGGGAAAAAGGTTATTAAAGAAGTGAAGAATGAAATCGAATTGCAAGAAATAGATCTTGTCGTGGACGGAAATGTTTGCAGGTTCTCATTTAGGCAGTATTGACGGCAATTTATGCAGCTTTCATCATTACTACTCCATATAATTACAATATCATTAAATGATACACGTAAAACTAATAATAATAATATGAAATTATATACATGTATATAAACAATATATATATATTTATATATTTATATTAATTTGTATATATATATATATATATATATATATATATTAATTATGCTGCATAGAAATTGTTGTTTTGGCAAAGCTTTTTATCTTGGTGGTTGCATAATTTCTTTACGGTTTATTTATTATTATTTTTATATTTTGCATGCTTTATACAACACTGTCGATCATATTTCTATTTTTAACGATTGTCTTTTTTTTTTTACAGACAATATACAGAATATAATTCCAGTGGAGGCATGTACACTCCAGTAACTGGAGCTACCTACTATCAAACACAAAGTGGTCATGTTCAGGTATGCAAATGGTTCACCGTTTATATAAGAATTCTTAGAAGAGCTTATGTAAAATACAATAATAGTGAAAATTATTTCAAATACTTTTCATATTTATTCTTTTGTATTTACTTCAATAGACTGCGTCAACTGGCCAAATTATCAACCATGGAGGAAGCATGTTCCTTGTACAAGGTACTAACGTTACTACTGATGGAGGAATAGGTAATCATACGACAAGAGCCTCTCCTGTTACGGTAAATATTAAAAAACTGTTTATGGGTAACAAATTTTTAAATGGTCACATGATGAATTTTTTTGTTTATTGTAAATTTCTTTTATAACCTACAAATGGAATACTGTATTATCTCTGAATAATCTTTACATTTAAAAATTCAATTAACGTATTTTCTCACCATTTTATTTTTTTCACGTGTAACTTTTCAGTTAATTAAAAAAAAAACAAAGAAAGAGTAACTACTTTATTTAGGTAAACTATTTAAAAATCAGTCAGTTTAACGTTTGGCTAAGAATAATATTTCTCTTTCTAATTTAAAAACAATACTGTCTATTTAATTGAATTAATTTATTATTTACTTCTCGAGTTAACTAGAAACGTACTTAATGGTGAAGAAACGCGATAAGCATAAACAATACTAGATTGTTAATTTCCACTAACACATATTTGTAGGTTTTTATTTTGGAGGAGGAAAGAATAAGCATAATTTTGTCTAGTGAAAGTTTTTTTATTTAATTTTTCTTTTCAATTAATTGATAATATATTTGATTAAACTGAAAAAAAAAGAAAAAATGGAAAAATTGTAAAGGCAACGTGAAGCAGACCACATAATAAAAAAAGAATTTTTTTTTTTAATATTTTTATTTTTTCAAAATAGATTCTCTTTTCAGTTTTATGTGTAGACTTCTTTTCTAACATTCGCAGGAACAGAACGGATCTTCTTCTTGCCCTCGAACGGCCAACTTCGATGCCAAATCGTGGCAAAGAGAAGTGAGTGTTCGGTTTACAAAAAAAACAAAAAAAATGCCTTTCCTGGCCGGGTCTGCATGTTCACGTTGTCTCTAGCATGTCTAACAATATCATTTTTTGTATTGTATTTAATATCACGTGATGAAGCTTGTTCACTGTTTCTTCAGCGCGAATTGTCGTTGCTTGTCGCCTTATCGCTGTTAAATTACACTTTGCTTGCTAAAACAGAATTAGTATTTTTTTTAAAGGTTAGACGTAGAACGTTTACTTTCTAAGGTTTAGTCCAAGTAAATATTCAGTTTTACATCCGTATGCATATATTTGGTAGCAAAACGATAAAACCATATATGTATATGAGGATGTAAATTAACTAATAACTGAAAATGAGAATACTTTTCGTGTTTCGTCTGAAACGTATACTTTGATATAGCATGTGACCTTCGCTATAGAGAGCAACAATGAGAAAAATAAGAGTCAATGGGTATCATTATTACATTTATTAGTTAAAACTGTAATCACAACTTTAAATTAAACATTTTATTTTTTATAAAGTAATACTTTTACTATTCAGTTCTCTTTATTGAAGACTGTCTATTTTTCTACAGTATACTATAATAGATTCAAAATATTTCCATTAGATTTTTCTTTTCTCTATTCTATTTTCTATCGTCTATCTAGTATTTTCTCTGTTGCTCTCTTTTATTATTCAGATACTTGTGTTTCTGTATAACTTACGTATAATAATATTTAAAGACAGAATTTTATACCCGAACGTAGATTATATGAAATTATTGTTAATTGGTTGTGTACTAAAATTTCAGGTTCAATGGCTGTTGGATAACTACGAAACAGCGGAAGGCGTCTCTCTACCCCGATCAACTTTATACAATCACTATTTACAACACTGCAATGAGCATAAGATTGATCCTATGAATCCCGCTTCGTTTGGAAAGTTGATTCGATCAGTATTTTTGGGACTAAGAACAAGGCGCTTGGGTACCAGAGGCAATTCAAAATATCATTATTACGGCATAAGGATTAAGGCGTCTTCTAATCTGCATCAATTTCCCGACGAGCAAACAATGGCCATGAGACAAACTCCGATGACTCAGGCTGGTAAAAAATTTAAGGGGGCTGGAGCTGGCGGAGTTGTTGGATCAGGAGCGGATTTGAATCCTGATAATGTGATATCTGGTATTGATGGACAACACCAACAGTACTTGGGCGATCATTCAGCAGGATTATCGCCATTTGAAAGCATCAAAGTTGAAAATCTTGTATTGCCTGAAGGTGTTACTATCCACCACGTTCATGCTCTTGAAGAATTGTATAAAGAGCATGCGGAAGCTATTTTAGACGTGGTAGTTAATTTACAGTTTGCTTTAGTTGAAAGATTATGGCAACAATTTTGGAGGAATGTACCACCGAATCAACCACCCACCGTAGATTCGGACGACGATGAAGAAAGATTACCAAAGAGTACCTTATACGCTTTGTGTAAGCTTGAGCCTGTTCAAAAATTTGTTAAGTCGGCTGACTATAATTTCTATCAAGTTCTCGTCGAAGTACTTATACCCGATGTTCTTAGACCTATTCCATCATCTTTGACACAGGCTATAAGAAATTTTGCCAAAAACCTTGAAGGTTGGTTGAGGGAATCAATGACTGGTGTAAACGAAGGTATGACTAGTATTCGTTGTGCCGCCGTTAGTGCTTTAGCTCAAACCCTGAGGCGTTACACCTCCTTAAATCATTTGGCTCAAGCAGCACGAGCGGTTTTACAAAATACTCAACAAATTCAGCAAATGTTAAGCGATCTAAATAGAGTAGATTTGAATAACGTCCAAGAACAGGCATCATGGGTGTGTATGTGCCCTGATACTGTCGTTGAAAGGCTGCATCTCGATTTTAAAAATACACTGCAACAGAATCGAACACTAGAAGAGTGGGCTCAATGGCTAGAAAATGTAGTTAGACAACAACTGCATCCATATGACAATAGCGGAAATGCCGATCAATTGGCCAAAGTTGCTCGGCATCTTCTCCTCAAATGGAGTTTTTATTCTTCAATGATCATACGGGATTTGACTTTGAGATCGGCTGCCAGTTTCGGAAGTTTTCACCTAATAAGACTTCTTTATGATGAATATATGTTCTACTTGGTTGAGCACAGAGTGGCTCAAGCTTTGGGGGATACTCCAATAGCTGTGATGGCCGAATTAAAAGCTAATCAGACGAGTAAAAGCAGTGTAGTAGGAGCAACGCCTCCGTCGAAACGAATAAAAGTTTGTCAGCAGTAAAGGGAAATATTCTCCCTGTTCGTTTATCTGCTCATTAAAGGTTCTTTTCAAAAAAAAATTTGGTTAGTATTCGGTTTGTAGGAGAAAAGATTTTGCTTTTTTTTTCTTCTTATACTTTAAACTACTATCTACATTGAAAAAAGAAAACGTCTTAGTTTTTTCTTATTAAATGAACCCTAACATTTTTATTTTTTTCTCTTTTTGTTTTTCATTTAATTAATATTTTCTACATTTCATTAAATTGCTACTTACTCATTAATTTAACATAAAAAGGACCATTTATTCGTTATAAGGATCAAAAGTTAAAAATCAAAAACACAATGACTAAAATCCTTTCTATAAATAATCAAAGTTCTTCGAAAGTCTAATTAAAGCTTTATTATAATATTGATATTTTAACAACTGTATACTAAAGCAAAGGACAATTTATTTTTGACCCAAATGCGAATGAGCAGTCCATATTTCATATATATATATATATATATATATATATGAAATATCTGTATATCTGATAATTTGGCTGCTGATACGTATACTTCTTTGAACCTTTCACGAAAAGTACTTTCTTGAATGTTTGTCTATTTCCAATGGTTTGTGTTCATACTTTTTATCATGTTTGTTGAGTTTTTCTTGTGTTTTTTTTTTTTTTGCTTCTGTAAATAAGCTTTATTGTACAGCAAAATTATTTTGTACAGTACAAGTGCAGTTGTTATAAAAGAAAACTAATTTTACTTTTTTGGTAATAAAGTTGTCACGTTTGAATGTTGAAAGCTTTTTCTTAAGAAATCGTTATATGAGATGAAATGGATCTATGATTTTAGATTCGTTAAATATGTTTAAAATTGTCACAATTTTTTGAAAAATAATCTTGTTAAAGTTTTATTTCTCCACTTTCCCTTAATTTTCCACTTAACTTTTATACTTTGTATCGTATTTTACACTCTAAATTCCCTCCTCTCCTTCCCTTCCACTCCAATTATTCAGCATACTAAAGTTTCTTCAAATTTCTTTGCTAAAGATACAAAAGACAATCCCTCTCCAATTATCTTTTTCCTATTGTCTTTCTCAAAGCCTATTTACCTTTATTGTATGAAAAGTAACAGATAAGTGAACTATGTGTACTCCTTATGCAAAATATTCTGTCTTTAAAAACTATTATGCACATGTATAATAATTAATTATGTGAAATATACGTAAAGCGTATTTGTTACATATTTATGATGCGTAATTGAAGTTTTTCTGTGTGCACGTCTGGGTCACTCAATTATCAACGTTTTGATAAGAATGTGTATTGTTTCACAAGGATAAAAATTATGCAATGAATTAATCAATCTTCTATCGAATAATAAAAGGAAAAGCGATTGTTTGTTGAATATTCTCTTACATTTACTGTATATTTTATATATGTATATGTATAATCTAGGCCTAAATTTTGTAAAGATGAAAAATGGTGTATTAATACGAATAAGAACACTTTGCGTATATTGTATAGAAAGGTTTATATGTACATTTCTATTCATTTACTCTTTTCTCTTTTGCATTATTTCTTTATTCGCCAGATTATTCACAAAAAAAAATAGTTATTTCGCTTTGATGATAAGAAAGTCAGCAAATAATGATGGTGAGATCACGTTGCGCTCAGTCAGTCGTTTACGATTTCACTGGTATTTTCCTGTTTATGCCATAGTCGATTTATGTAAAATTTGCATATACTGCATATATAATCTAATGCTTTAAATGCAATATATACAATGTATATACACTCTATATGCTCTTATATTTATATTCATTTAAATATAAACCTTCTGAGATGGATAGAGAAGAGTAATTTCTTCGAACAAGCTTTATTAACATTGATAAAATCGTTACCTGATTATGTAATCAATCTTCCAGTAATTTCAAATTCTCATGTATATTATTAGGATCTTTTATCGATAATTCTATTCCACGCTGAATATTTGGGAAACTTAGGAATTTCTCTTACATATTTAAGCCATCTTTCTCATTTCTCTTTGGACTATAAAATCTGATTTCATACCCTTTGTTGGAGGCATTTATTGATTAACTCAACTTTTAAGTTATATCCTTAATGTTTTTTTTTTATTCCTTTACATCTTCTTCTCCTCCTCCTCCTCTCTCCTTAAATCTCTCTATTCCTCTCCTTTCTCTGTCGCCCTTCTCTTCTTCACTTTCTCCTCATTTTTATCTAATCAATTAGATATAATAAAGATTTGTAAAAGGAAAACCGTTACAAATAGCAGTGTGTTGTTGCAGTGATACAAATGAAACCTGGGAAGGAAACTATGTAATATAAATCCTAATTGATAAATTTAGTAATCGAGAGGCCAAGTAAAATATTCTCACTTTATCTCTCTTTATTAGATAAGCTTATGGGATAAAAACACAGTAAATAGTCTAAAAATGGAAATATACAATGACAACTGAACAATTATAGATTGTCTTACAAACGTAAAAGATTCTGGCTAGATAAACGGACGAGAGGAGAGAGGAGAAGAGATAGAGATAGAGAGAAAGATAGATAGATAGACGGAAAAATAACTCCACCCCAAGTTAGAATTCGTCTGCTTCTAGGTTATTACTATTAATATTATTATTATTATTACTATTAAGTTTAAAATTAATTACGGCTTATTAACGTCATTGGCGTATTTTGCAGAAGAATGACGAATAAAGAGATAATTGTATCTTCACCTATAGCGGATCTTGAAATACCTGACAATGTGAATTTTTCTTCGTATATTCTGCGAGAGGCGGAAAAGTATTCAAATAATACATGCCTGGTTTGTTTATTAGATATCCTATTATAAATACCTTCGAATGGGTGCTTGTAACCGCTAATTTCTGTCCAGATAAATACGGCCTATACTAGGGAGGAATTAACGTACAAGGACTTTATAGAATTGGTTTATAACTTTGCCCTAAATTTACAAAAACGTTTCAAAAAAGGCGATAGAATAATGACATGTTTGTCAAACTCTTTTCACGTTCCTATAATTGCGCATGCTTCCATGCTATCCGGAATGATATTCTGTCCTGTCAGTCCATCTTATTCAACAAGTATAGAATTGCTTTTAGTTACAAACTGCAATTATTACATATTGAATTTGCAGTCGAACTGGAACATGCTGTCAAAATTATCAATCCTCACTGCATATTTGCGGGAAATTCGACTATTGAAAAATTGAAGAAGATGGCATTAGAAAAAATTTGCAATGTATTTAAAGAATAAATTTAAATTTCTTTTCGCCTTTATGATGTTGACAAATATTTCTAGGTCATAAGTAATATTTACGAGATAGATGACTCTGGTAGTGTTGGATCATTTTGTGGATTTTTAAAGGAGAAAACTAGTATAAAACCTACTTTGGAAACGTGTAACGGGAGAGAACAAGTAGCAGCCATTTTGCTATCGAGTGGTACTACTGGTCTTCAAAAGGCAGTTCAAATAACCCATACAAACTTTATAGCTCAGAATTACGCTGTCAGGTGTTTAATATAAATTGTTTCCTAACAATTAATACTTTTATATATATTATTTGATGGTAAAAACTACTATAAATCCATAAATAATGTATGCTATTACGTTTACATAGGCATCCCTATTATGACGATGGACAACACGGTCAAGAGACTGTTATTGCTACTGTGCCTCTGTTTCATGTTTTTGGAATAGTTGCTTTTCTATCTAATGCTCTCTTTAAAGGTAACTGATAGGATTAGCTATAAATCCTTCTATTTTACAAACCCTTTTGTTCGCTCTGTCCCCCTTTAGCTACTGTATATATCCATTATTTCGCCCCCAGGTTATACCATTGTTTTAATGCCTAGATTTCAACTTGAAAAGTATATTGATACTGTTTACAAATACAAGGTAGGACTATTCCAAAAGAAGAGAAACTCTATACTCTTCTTTTTATTTTAGCCTTCAAACGTCAACTGTTTATTTATATCATTTATTCAGGCGACAATTCTTCACGTTCCTCCAAAGATTGTTGGCCTTTTGGCAACAAATCTCCACATCAATCCAAATCATTTGAAGAGCGTTAAGGAACTTCGAGTAGGCTCCTCAGCTTTAACAGTGTTAGTAAAATGTCCAGTTCCTTTTTATTCAATTTCTATATATTTCTTAAAAATTCATTTATTAACAGGACTTTGGTAGAGAAAATTAAGTCCAAGTATCCCTTTATAAAGTGTATTAAACAAGGTTATGGCCTAACAGAATGTACAGCAGTATGCCATATGCAAACTCCAGTTTATGGAAAGCATTGCGTTATTGGATCAGTTGGATGTTTAGTACCGAATGTGAGGGCAAAGGTTGTCGATATAGATACTAGGAAAAGTCTAGAGGCAAACAAACCTGGAGAAATTTTAATTCAGGGACTCGTTGTTACTAAAGGTTATTTTAACAATGACGAAGCTACAAGGAATACTATGGAGGGTAATTGGTTAAAAACTGGCGATATAGGCTATTACGACAATAAAGGGAATTTTTACGTAATTGATAGATTAAAGGAATTAATCAAATGTAACGGATTCCAGGTAATTTCAATATATATATATATATATATATATATATATATATATTGGGAAAGGATAGAAGGTAGACGATCTCCTATTTTTGTAGGTTTCACCCACCGAACTCGAAAACCTTCTGATATCTCTTAATGGTATTGCGGACGTAGCAGTCGTAGGTATTCCAGACGATCTATCGGGAGAATTACCACACGCCTTTATCGTTAAAAACTCTAAGCTTACTCTAACAAAGAGAGAAATTATCAATTACATTAACGGTATAATGAACGCTTTTTATACCAGTTTACTTTATATATTTTTACTAATTAACATACGATTTCCCTTTATCAATATAGACAAAGTATCGTCCTACAAAAGGTTGAGAGGAGTAACGTTCTTGGACGCTATTCCTAGAAATTCAGTTGGAAAAATCCTAAGAAGAGAATTAAAGAAAATCGACACTAATGAAAAATTTTATGCAAAACTATAAACTTGATTATGCAGAATTACGTAATAAAATATGTAATTATTCGTCTAATTAACAAACATACATGTGAATGTATAGTGTCTTCTTCTAATACTCTGTAAGCAATAATTTACTAGTTGATTATTAAATATTAACTACTATGTTAAAACAATAGATTTCATTCATTAGGCCTATATAATACGATAGAGTAAGCAACTGTAATAAAACAATTCACATTGTGTGCAGGTAATTTGATGAAATTGTATTATCGCTCAGTTAAAATTTGTATTTTAACCGCTTAATTAATTATAATAAAAAGAGATTAATTTAATTTTTATAAAAAAAACTATTAAACCTTGTTTATTTGTGTAAAATTAGAAGGAAATATGGAAAAACGATAAAAATCGAACACTAGGTAACGACCAGATAAAAGTTAAAAAGTTTTGATTAAAATACATCATATAAGTATAAGAGGGAAGAGCTGTTCAAGTTGATTAGACATAAAGAACGACAGTGAAAGAAAAAACCAGTATCTCCAGTCTATAGAAGAAAGATGTCGACCGAAGATTATAAGTTTACCCTTGAAGCTAAATACTTGAAAAAGGCGAAAGATGAATTGAACGAAAATGATAGCGATAGAATGGATGCAATAGAGGCATTGAAAAATTGGATAAACGAACAAAAACATCTTAAATATCCAACTGGCAAGTATTGTTTGTTGTTCTATTACACTAATAATTATATTTAATATTTAATGTATTGTATTACATATACAATATACAATACTTGGAATTGTTAATTATGTAATTAATGAAGCTATTTTAAACATAGATACAATCAATCTTCTAAGAATTCTAAGATACGCAAAATTCAGTCAAATAAAGGCTAGACAAACTATTGAAAATGTTATTCAGTTTGCTTTTAAATATCCCGATATTTTCTTTAATATCGATACAACTGATGAAACTTTCTTAAAGATTGCTAAAACTGGGTAAAGTATATACATTCTTTTGTTTTTACGACGTCACTAATCACGTGATGTATATCTTTTTTTATTTTCTTTCATTTATTAATTTATCTTTAGGCATTGCATCCCTCTACCCGGCTACGATGACGAAGGACGAAAAGTTTTATTGTTTAGATCATGTATAATTTCTTACTATTGATAATTTTTTAAAGTTATTATACTAACCCTGCAATTTACCTTTCATACAGCCGCCCTTCCTTTTGAACATGCTTTAAAAGAATACGGCATAGACGCCTATATGAGGTCATTTCGCGGTTGTTTTCTATCTTTATTTCAAGATGAAATGACTCAAATTAACGGTGTAGTACTGATTTTGGATATGACTGGTCTATCATTAAGATCAATGACTAAAATGAACGATCCTAAATTTAAATCGATTGAAAAAGACTCTCAAGTAAATTTCATAATATTCATATTTCATATATTAATAATTTAAAAATAAACAACAAACATAGGAAGCCATTATCGGAAGACTTAAATCCTTTCATTTCTATAATATTGGAGGACTTTTTGAGGCGTTCTTCACTCTTTGTAAAGCTGTTATGAAAAAGAAGCTTATCGAGAGGGTATAATTTATCTCTATTCAAACAGGTACTCTACTTTAATTGTTGTTGAAAAACAGGTCAAGGTTCACGTTAATCTTGAAACCATGTATAGTTCTATACCTAAAAGGATGCTTCCGGATGAATATTTATCAGATGATTATACTGGACCATCGGCTGGTTCAATTCAACATCTCATTGGTAAATAATTTCAAAATCAATAGAATTGCAACTTGAATAAGAATTTATTTAATTATAAATAGATTTGGAGGTAAAGCGATTAACATCGGAAAAATGTAGAAATTATGTTCAACAGCAATTCAAAAGAGAAAGATACTTTTACGATCCAAATTTAAAACCAAGAGAATCTACAGTCGTTCAACATTTTCGTAAATTGAACGTAGATTAATAGAAATGCAAACTTTATATATATACTGTATATATAAAGTACTTGAACACTATATTCCTTTTGAAGGATGGAGTGGGTTTAAACGAATGGAATACTGTTGAAATTGTTGAATAAACGATTTTTTTTGTTCAATGGCGCATTTTCTCAATCGATTTATTTATAATTAGAGAAATAAAATGTTGCTTTTATACCTTAAATGAAATTGTGTGATTGTTACCTAAAATAGCATCTCTTCTCTCTCTCTCTCTCTCTCCAGTCCCCACTCCCCTTCCTCCACCCTCCTATTTTTTTCCAACTATTTGATACTGGTGTTAATTTAATAATAAATCAATTATTTTATAAATAAAACGTACCGTAAACAATGATTTTATCTTTTCTAGTACGCTAACCAGTTATCGCATAGATCTATCTATTCACTACTTGTTATATTCATTATTTATTTATTATTCTCATTTAAATTGATAAAATCTATATTATCGCTCATCTAAATGCATTATATTAACAATAACAATATACACCAATTAAAACGATTACATAATAAAATACTCGGAATCGATTAAAAGAAGTATATTATTAATATCATTAATATTTCTATTAGTAATTTATTATTAAGAAGCGGCGTTTTTCTCCTTGTTAATTTGAGAGATTATTGAGATGTAAAGACAATGTTTAGTAATCAGCTGTTTCTAATATTAGCATTACTATTAATGCATCGTTATTTCTTGCTTGTTATACATTTTTATATGAAAACGAGGTCTGTTGGACTGTCAATAATGCTCAGCTTGTAGGTATATTGATCAAGGTAAAATACCGACTGAATACAGAATTCAAGCACAATTCATATCTTTTCGTAATGGTAAATTATCGCTCACAGGGAATATAGTCTTTTACTATTACTGATTTGTATAAAATATTGATAAATATTATTTAAAATGATCTTTTATATAAGATACTAATGACGTAAACTTAAATATGGAATATGGGGTATTGGTTGAAAGTAGTACATTGGAACAGGCTGGGGAGAAGATATATACTACCCTAGAATTACATATATAAATATATAAACGAAATACCTTTGTGCGTCCAGTGTCTGCGTTTGAATTGCGGTAGTTGGACGATATCACATACGCAATTCGAATATTTGCATATCTCTCTTCCTTAAATCGTAAAATTAAGAAAGGATAACCATAGAGAAAAGATGTCGAATGACGATTATAAATTTACTTTGGAAGCTAAATACTTGAAAAAGGCTAAAGATGAATTGAACGAAAATGATAGCGATAGAATGGCCGCTGTTGAAGCTTTGAGAAAATGGTTAAATGAGCAAAAACATCTTAAACATCCAAGTGGTAGGAGTCTAATTTAAATCGAGATACATACTGTATTTCAATATTCATTGCATATTTTACCTATTATATAGCATATGTTAATTAAGTGATTATTCTAATTATAATAAATAGAGACTGAACATCTCCTAAGAGTTCTCAGACATGCAAAATTCAGTCAGATCAAGGCAAGAGAAACTCTGGAAAACGTTGCCGAATTTGCAATGAAACATTCAGATACATTCCACGATCTCAATCTTGCAGATAAAACCTTTTTAGATATTATTAAAACAGGGTAATTACAATAACGATATTAGTAATAAACAATAAATTACAGTACTAGTATCTATGCAAGCATTCTTATGCAAAATATTCCCCATTCAGTCAGATGCTCTATCTTCCTGGCTACGACGACGAAGGAAGAAAAGTCTGCGTCTACAGACTAAGTAAAGTTTAATTTATTTCATATTTTTAGAACGATAGATTTATTAAACGTTCCTTCTCACCCCCTCTGCATTTAGACGCCTATCCAATCGAAAAAGCTATGAAGGAAGTTGGTGTACAGAATATCATCAAGTCTTGGAATGCCTCCATGATGTCTTTCTTTTACGACGAAATGATACAAATTAATGGACTAGTTTTCATTTTAGATATGACTGGTTTATCGTTATCAGTAATCTCAAAAATGAGTGATCCTAAAATAAAGAAATACGAAAAGGATAGCATGGTAGACAATCAACCAATCAATAAAATCAATCTAATTCAATAGACTACTAACAATAACCTATATATGTATTTTTCTCTTTTTATAGAAAGCTTTGGTTGGTAGAATGAAAGCTTTTCATTATTATAACGTTGGAACCCTTTTCGAAGCTTTTTTTGCTTTTTACAAGACCATTATGAAAAAGAAGCTTATCGATAGAGTAAATATCAAAAAAAATCCTCTGTATACAAATTGCATAACATCATTTTTCAATAGGTTAAAGTGCACGATTCATTGGAATCTTTATACACTCATGTACCTAAAAGAATGCTTCCGGTTGAATATTTACCAGACGATTATGATGGACCGTCGGCAGGCACAATACAAGATCTCATTGGTAATTAATTATTCCTTGAATATAATTATAGATAAATGAAATAACAATTAATTATTTAATTAATTAATTAGATGAGGAATTGCAACGATTACAATCCGATGTTTGTAAGAATTTCGCAAAGTCCTACTTCAGTAAGGAAAAGTACATGTACGATGAAACTTTAAAAGAAAAATCAACTGAACCGATTCAACACTTTCGAAAATTGAATGTTGATTAAAAGCATTTAGTCATTTTGTCTTGCAACCAGGTCACTAGGAATTTTTCGTTTATCTTCTCTAGTTAGTTTTTCTTTCTGCCACAGTTTATTATCATTAAAGTACACTGCATGCATTATTGCTATTATTACTATTATGCACAAAAAATTTACTATGGAAACGAGATTTTTTCTCTGTGTTTGGTGTGTTCAAAATATAGCAGAAAGGAAATTGCTTACCTTGTTATCAGTTTATTTAACAAACAACGAAGCATTTTTAGTCTTATTCTTTTCAATTTTTGAACAAATACAAAATAGCAAAAAAGTATTTAATCGTTTTCTATTACCGGTTTTCTATATTCAGAAGAAAGAACTAGGCCTCATCTCATCTCTTTCTCTCTGTCTCTCTCTCTCACTCTCTTCTATTAAAATCTATCCTTTATTATACAATAATCACATTTATAAGAGGCATTCTACCGATAGCTTAAACTAGAACATAGCGTAACCTAACCTTGATAAGGGCTTTGAATATTGATGTCGGATGATTTTAAACACTTCACCTTTGAAACATTTGACGCCAAACACATTCATATATACAATATACTGTAAAAAATAATATATATATACAGTATATATAATATCTCTCACGGTACTGGTTACATCTACCATAGATAGGCCAAATTACATAGAATTTGATAAGGTTTTTATCGGTAAAAAATGAGATAAGGGCTTATATGGTAATTATTATTGAAATTTAACTCTGTTCTGATTTACCGTTGAAACTGGAATAGACTACTAATCTATCCGAATATGAACAGTCCACCAAACGAAGAATACGTTTGCACGTTAGATGGCAAATACCTAAAGAAGGCGAAAGATGAACTGAATGAAAACGAATCCGATAGAAAGGCAGCCGTAGAAGCTTTGAGAGAATGGTTAATTAAACAAAAATACCTAAAATTTCATACAGGTTCTTGTTTGTCTGTCTGCTATTCCTTACTTGTTTTACACGAAATTAACAAGTTAATTTTCTCTTAGACACTCCAAACCTTCTTAGAATATTGAGACATACGAAATTTAGTCAAATTAAGGCGAGGGAAACTATTGAATTGGTTGTTCAAACTGCGTTGAAAAATCCTGAAATATCGTTCAATTTGGATACTGCCGATGAAAAGTTTATTAGTTTCATTAAACTTGGGTAATACGTTTAGTTTTCATATTTCATTTATATTCATTCGTTTTACTACTCCATTCTAGGCCATTGTTCTTTCTTCCGGGTCACGATGACTTTGGCCGAAAAGTTCTAGTTTACAAACAAAGTAATTACTTCATTAAACTTAATCAATAGGGCGTTTCTTTATTTGCATATCTATTTCTATTAAATTAGACGCTTATCCTTTGGATGAATTAATGAAAAAGTATCCATTCCTTGATTTGATTAAGTATTGGAGGACATTTTTCTTATCTTACGTGAACGACGATATGTTTCAAGTTAACGGTCTTGTAATGATTATCGATATGACGGATTGTTCATTAAAAACAATGGCAAGCTTACGTAACCCTGACCTTATTAAATGGCAAAAAGAGAATCAGGTAGACGTCAGAAAGATGATAATATTGAATAAAACATTTACTTTCTCCATTCAAAACAGAACGTTCAAATAGCAAGATTGAAAAATTTTCATTATTATAATATTGGAACATTTTTTGAGGCGCTTTTTTCAATTTATAAAACGTTCCTAAAGAAGAAGTTTATCGATAGGGTAAGGTTGAGTAACCGCAATATACAGTTGATATACTGTATATATACAATATATATAGTATATACACAAACTAACAACACACATACATGCGAATATTATCCTCTTATTTAATTATTGTTTTGTTATTTTATACGATCATTAGATTCGCGTTCACGATACTTTAGAATCAGTGTACGATAGCGTACCGAAAAGGATGCTACCGTTAGAGTACTTACCTGACGATTACAGTGGGCCATCTGGTGGTACTATTAAAGAAATTATAGGTAATCAATTATTTGTTGAATTTATTCAATTAATATACAAACTTTTCAATTGTGTATAGACGAGAATATTGAAAGATTGAAAAGTGAAAAATGCCGTACTAATTTATTAAAATATTCCGATAAAAGTAAATACTATTACGACAAAACGAAGAAGGAAAAAGATTCAATACCCGTTCAACATTTTCGTAAATTGAATGTCGAATAATAGATAATAATACACAATATATACAAACGAAAATAATAATTAATAATTTCGATTGGTTTTAATATTAAATATGAATTATTAATCGTTTATTTCATTGCTCTTTTAAGAGTTTAATTAAGAAAATATATCTATTATACGTCTTATCAATTATCTATTATCATAAAACGGAATTTGTTGAGTAGTATTGACGTTTTTAGGCAACGTTTATTTATGTTTGTATAAAAAGGAAGAAGAGATATTTAAAGAAATTAGGCTACGAATGTTAAAAAAAGCGGTAAAAAGTAATTAAATACAAGAGGAATACAAGTAAACTTTTCCCTGTTAGTTTATTTATCATTTATTCTTGTTGATAAAGCACTTTCTATTTTGTATTCAAAGGAAACATTTCATCTGCAAAACGTATGCTGCAGTTTTTGCAGATGTCGCTAACCCTGACAAGAATGCCACCTATTTGAATAAATAGTAACTAATTATATTATGCAGGCCTCTATCAAATTTAACCTTTCTGGTGCGTAAATATTTGGAGCAGATTAAATTATCAGATTGTATTACATTTTGTAGAAGAGGGGCTTCGAAAATATAAATATAAAAACACTTGCTTAGCCTGAGTCTACGTGCGAGAAATGGCAAAAGAAAATTCACTTAACTAAGTAATTCAATTCCTCAAGAAATATTAACTAACTATCCAACTTTTTTAAATAGCCTCTCCTTCATATTTGATTTATTCATCAGTATTATTTGGAATAAACATCACGTTTCTCTCCTTTCAGTCCTTTTTTCATCATTAATTTTTTTCCACTGCTTCCCCTCCTTCCTCGTGCACCCCCTTCTTTTACCTTATCTAAAATCGGTAATATCTTATCAAAGTTCTCTTTTATTTTTTCTATGTTTTATGTTACAATTAGGATAAAAAAATTCAGATATTTCAGAACATATATATATAAACTGTATATACATATATTAGAGCAAGTTTCTTTATTCTCACAAGTTTTCTTTCAAATATGACACAATATCTTCATCTTTATTCAACATGTTTTCCTCCTCCACGCCTCCCTTCCCCTTTATTCTCTAATCTTTCCATTCTAATGTAATGATTAAGTAAAATGAAAAACAAATAGATTGACAATAAAATTAAGAGAAGGCGTTACTTTTTACTCTTTGGATTATATTTTTTTTCGGTTTTTTTCTTTGATTTTTAAGCCAAAATCAAAATATTAAAAAAATATGAAATAAAATAGAAAATATATAAAAAAAAACACATTTCCTTTTCTTTGTTCTTTTAAAGAATAAAATCTAACAAAATATATCTGCATTCATTTAGCTTTCCTTCCCTGCCCCTCCTTCCCTTCCTTCCTCTCTCTCTCTCTCTCTCTCGCTCGCTCTCATTTCATTTTGTTCAAGTTTTTGAACAGAAAAAGATTAAAATATTTACAAAAAAAGTATAAAAACGTTCAACGTTTTCTGGGATTTTTCTTTATATTTTGTGAATTTTTTCCTTAATTTGTCTTTGTTTTTCCGCGCAGAGAAAAGAATTTGTTTAATAAAGATTTCAGATTTTTAAAAAAAATAGTAAAATTAAAAAAAATTCTTGATTAGTTAATTAATTAAAAAAAAAAAATAACCATAATAATTTCTTTTTAATTAATTAACTAATCCTATGATACAATACATTTTCTATGTTTTTTCTTCTTCGTAGGTCTTTGTGTAAAAGATTCAGATTGCACGTATGATATTTTTGGCCTGTAGGCAGAATAGTCAAATTCACTTTCGGATGAAGAGCAGGATGAACAATCGTCGGGTTCGGGCACATCAAATTTTACAGTTTTTCTCTCCGACAAATCAGGCATTGAAGAAAGTCTGGAAATTTGCATAAAATCCGATCGTCCTAGACTAGACGTTCTTTTTAGACGCATTTCCGATACGGAATGTTGCATAGCATTTTCCTGACTTATAATAAAATAGTCCTCAGCCCTTATCGGTGCAGAACAAGAGGAAGAGCAGTAAATGCCATCAGCGCGTCCGACAAAAGGCTTCCCCAAAAGGGAACATTTGCAGCTTTTACATCGGAAACATTCGGGCGTAGCGTGCCAATGGAATGTTCCGTATTTCATGTGACCTTGTTCTATAGCAATTGGACATCGGCAGGTTTCGCAGTGATCCGAGAATTTTATCTAAGGCGTATAAAGAAAATATAAGAGTAAATGGCATAAGAAAGAAGAAGAAAAGTAAATAGCAAGAAGATAGAAAAAAGGATTTAACACTAATGATGAACGCAATAAAGAGATTCATATGCGAGGCAGATGTTTCCAATCTCTTATCTTACCGAAATTCAAATCCGGCTACGGGGATATTTTCAAGTTTACAGCAGCAATGAGTAACAAATGATTATTGGTAGCAGTATCAGGTAAATAAATACTGAACGTTATATATCTTTAGTTAGGTCTTAAGAAATCACGTTCTTATTATAAATCAAGGGGAAAAACTAACAACTACCTGTTTTATCAGATCAATATTATTGTATATATAAAGTTTACTATATATATATATAGTAAAATTTATATATATATATACTGTATATACTATACTGTATACAGATTTATAAGAAACATTGCCTCAATTCTAAAGGTTAATTCATCTTTCATCGTAGCTGAACTATGAAATAAATTATCATTTGACATACCTGAAAACAGGAGCAGCAATAAGGCGTTCCATCTTTCATTAGATAACGCTCTCCGCCGAGACATTTATCGCAATCATGACAGCAAAAATGTCTCATATGCCAACTCCGACCTTCTGCTTCGGTACATTCGTCAGCAAAAATTATCTCGTCGCATGCTGCGCAACGTGGTTTTAAAGTTTCGGCGTGATGACGACCGCAATATAAAGATCCACGCCAAAAGTAGATGAGATCAACCAGTAATTCGCCGCATACGCTACACGTAAAACAAGCGGGATGCCACAGGGCGTTTGGTCCGGCTCTTGATGTTACAACAGCCGAATCCCCTGGGGTAAAAGGTCGCCGACATTTATGGCAAGTTCCACTGACAACCGTTTGAACGTTGCCTCTCCCTAGAGCCTCTTTTTTCCTTCTTGAGCTAAATTGGCGTAGTTCTCTTTTTTCATCTTCACCCAATTCGTGGCAGTATCTGCATAATACAAACATAAAACAGTATAAATCTAATGAATTTGTCCACTCTCAACAAAGTACTAACCGAACTTCATTATCGTGAGGGGGAAGTTGAAAGAGAAGTTGTTTAATCCTATACTTTTCACCGACGCTATTAACATAAGGTATTTTATCGTCCGGTAAACAACTCATATACTTTTGAATTTGCGTAAGATTTAATCCAGCCGGTACCCATGCGTACTCTTCGACAGCGCAACCCGAATCGTCGTCAGAATGATGACACGGAGGAATAATCTCATAAGTTTGATGAAGTCGAAGATGTTGTTGACAATGTCGGCAAATTTTCCTATAAAGAATTTATCGATATTGAACAACACTATACAACAAGTAATAAAATGAAAAAAAATCAATTAAACAATTATTTACATGTCCTAATGCTTAAGCTAAGAGTCTCGAAAGCTAAAGATAGCGGTTTCCTCATACATTTCAAAGCCTCTAATCCTCTCCTCGTACGGTCTACGTAAATAAAGGTGGGGCATCTTTACTAATTAAAATAGTCATCCTAATAAAAGACTACTTTGTAGTAAGGACCAACGGAAAGAGAGAGAGAGAGAGAGAGAAAGAGACGGAGAGTAAAAAAATTGTTAAAGGTGAAAGGGTTAACAAATAAAATAGAGATAGTTGAAGAAAAAATAGATAAGGCCTTTCGGAATTTTATATTTTTTCCACTTTACGACTACTTTTACGGTAGAATTAAGGCTATAAAAAGAAACTTTGGCTATTTCTATAGTATGAAAGCAAAGTTGAATAAGGAAATTTTAACGGCAATTTATTATAAAGGACATTTATAAATTGACTGATTTAGTATTCCTCTTTGCTGAACTATTTAGTTATAAGTCAATTTTCAATGACAATCTACTAAGTGGCGAAAAAAGACGGAACAGCTTTTTTTTAAAAAGGTAACGGGAGAACGAGATAAATAGAGAAAGAGATTAGGCAAAATACAAGTAAAGGCAGATAGGGAACTTTTAGATATAGGTGTCAGCACTAGTAGAAAGCGTTTATTAAAAAGACGGTATATTCAAAATTAAATCGCGTATAAACAAGATACTCTGCACAAATTTGTTGGTTGACATATATGTCAAAACTATTCATAAATATCATTATTGCTGTTATTTATAGTATTTAAGAGCAATAAATCAACCTTATCGTATTTCTGAGCTTTTGATGTTAAAAAATCATAGCGTCAGCTGATAAGGCCTGTATGCCCAAACTACTATAGCACCTCGGGCTGTTTAAAAGGTAGTAAAACGAGAAAAAAAATGGGAGGGGACGGGGTAAGCGAGAGAGCAGTAGGGTATGGGATAGGGGGGCCAAAAAGTGGGAGGGAAAGGGGAGGGTAAAAAGAAGTCACATGACTATGGAAGATAAAGGATTTTTGTAAATGTCCCAATAACTAGCATTCTTCTGAATGGTTGTATTAATTCTCAATAGGATTAGATTAAAATTCTTCATATACACAAAAGTTAGCTAAAATAGAAATAATAGAAAGATATATAAATGCATGAAAAAGGAAAGACATTAATAATAAATTAAGAGGCGAAAGAGAAAGAAAGAAAGAAGGAAAGAAAGAAAGAATGAATGAATGAATGAATGAATGAATGCTTCTTAAATCGTAAGAGGATTCTGTAAAATCCCTAAGACAAAAAGATTCTTTAGGCATTTAGATAATTTTAGACCTAAAGAAAAGGAAAATCCTACTTGGTTTATGGTTTAAGTTAGCATGTATAAAGAGGGGAGAAAAGAACGTTGAAATGCTAGTGATTAACTGTCAACTTAGTTTTCCTATTTCGTATTTCAAATTATTTATTTTTACCTTTTTATTCCCTTTTGGATAAAAGGGAAAAAATCTCAATGTAATCACGTGATTTGAAAAGGAAAGGGAGCAGATGTGTAAATTTCTAGGTCAAATGTCGTATTATGACACCCTGGGCGCTTTGTAGATCGTATGTCAAAAAACGACCGCATAACCCGATTATTAATTCGTAAAAGCATAATTTTTGACTTTGTTTTTGCGGTAAAATGAATTATTAAACAATATGGAAGAAAGAGGGGTGGAGGGAGGCGGAGGAGAGGAAAATGGTTAAATAGTATGTTTACAATAACATTTATAAATAATTCCTATTGTTTCTTCCTCAATAATAAAAACAACATAATATTTATTTATATATTAATACAAATATTACTAATTAGCCATTTTAATAATTCCCTCCTTTTAACTTGGTAAGACAATATACAAATCGGTCACGTGACTCATCGCTAATTTCTGGCAGAGAAAGACGAGCCAGAACCTGCTATTCATTTTAGATAGTCATTAATCACGGCTAATAGCCGAGCCAGTACGCGGCGGCGCTGTAAAAATTTGGCAGTTTTATTGGGTAGTTTCAGCATACCGGCTGCACTGCGAAGAAAGAGAGCAGAGAAATCTTAGAACACGTGCAGCAAAACTGATAAAAAACAGGGGAATTTTTGCAGGTGTGGAAAATGTGCGGAATTTCTGGAGAACAAAACCAAATTTGCTATCACGCTTAGCCTATTATTTATTGGACACGGGTCAACAGAGGTCTATAGCTATATTGATAGCTAAAGACTGTATAGCATCATTGACATGATTTGTTTAATAAATTGCTTGATTAGTTGGCTTTTATAAAAAGAGACTTGCTCTTTTCCTCAACAATTTTCTATCTCTTTACGTTTAAACTAAATAGTGAGAAAAGAAAATAAAAAAAGAGCTAAAGAAAACGTTCTAATTTAATGCAAATTCGAATAAAAAGAGTAAATAAACTACAACAGTTGGTTTCTTCTTTTAAAAAGAATGTTTTTTCAAACGTTCTTCTTCCTAAATGTTGAGATGCGAAAGAAATTCTCTTCGGCTAAGACAACACACTTAAAGGTGAATTGAAAAAATCTTCACAGGTGTTTCTCCTAAACTATGAAAGGCTAGCACGCTCCTTTAATACCCCATACGCCGTCGTTCGCTCTTGCCCCCTATCCCCCCACCGCCCGCCCCCCTTTTTTTTACCCCCCTCTTTCCTTCCTGCTTGCTTGCTTGCCTGCCTGCCTGCCGGCCGACTTGCACCTTAAACAAGCCTACTTTTTCTTTCTTATAACAACGTTTCCTAGATAGCAATATTATAAACAGTGTCCAACAAGGCAAAAAACATTCCCTCATCAGCTTTGAGAAATGTCTCATTTCGCGACGTTCCCTCGAGATGCCGTTCGCTAGACGCCCGATTTAATCAGCTGACGCTTTAGACGTCTTAATCCGACATTAATACGGCTCGTGTTAGAAAGAATTTTGTAATCCGTTGTAATACGATTAAAACTAGGCTCTTTTCTATCAGTTTTTCTCTTTAATTTTTGTTTTGACTATAATAGAAATCCCTTCCCTTCCAATGAACATTCAAGATGAAAAGTTCCAGCTGTGTTGTATAAAAAAAAAGAAAAGATCTGCCATCTTGCTATCTGATCTGATCATCTAAATCTTGGTACTTAATCATCAATTCATACTGATTTCCAACCAACTGAATAATATTAATAATAGGAATAGAATGAAGAATAAAATTACGAGTATAGTGAGTAAAAGGAGATAGATAGATAGATTTCCCTTTGGCTTATATTACTGGATAGATTTCTAGCCCTAAGCGATTAATATTCATATAGTGTAGATCAAGTATTAAATATATTCCAAAGCGTTCAGCCGTTTCGGTTAGGTATCGATAAATCGAGTATCTAAGAAGATTAGAAAATATACACTATTGTATAAGCCTATCCAATTTCACAATAGAATGAATAGATATAAAACAAGTTAAAGTGGTTTAGTACAATTGCAAAGTAATAGTATAAATAAAAATTGACAATCGGCTTTATCTTCAGCCAGCTTTTTTTTTTATTATTTCTTTTAGAAAATAATCTTTTCATCGTCTATTAATATCTTAATAAGACATTCTTAACATGTCGTATAAACATACCAAAAGTTAGATTTACAGTCGAGTTAATTAACATAATCACATCTCGCTAATACCGTAATGTAATATAATACTTTATATAAACGTTTTGTTTAACTTATCTTAACTCGAATTTTTTTCTTTTACAAGATTAAAACAACAAAGGAATACTACTATTACTATTAATACTATAATAACAAAAAAATACTACTATTACTACTACTAGAACAACTTGGCAAATAGCAAGCTGAACCGTTGCCCGTTTCTCTTGAAATTATTCAATTAATACTTTCTAGTAAATAACAATTTTATTCAAGTCTTTATCTATATTAAACATATATATATATTGAATAAAGTATAAATTTGGTATTATTATGTCTGTAAATAGACTTTCTTTTCTATTTCTACGATTTTCCATTCACCGCGTAGTAGTAGTTTCAATATTTATTCAAGTTTTTTCTCTACATAGTTATAGAATTAGTAATAGATAGTTAATAAATAATATTTGTATATTAAATAAAAACCAATTATTCTTTAATATTTGAAAGGAAAGGAAATAAAAAATTAGATTTTCAAGTTAAAAACCGATAAAGAGTGAAATGTGGGCGGCGGAGGAGTGGGGAGGAGGGGGGTGGGAAGTGAGAAGGTTAAAAAAGAAAAATTGAAGAGGGAAAAAGTCTATCGTTGACAAGCGCCTTTCAAGAAACTCTATCTTGTTTTTATTTATAAAGATAATACATCGTTTTGATGATTTATTTTCGTTAAAAGAATTATAAATTTGTTTAAGGCAAAAATATAGATATATATATATATATAGAGAGAGATAACGATAAAGAAAAAGGCAAGGATGGAGTGTGTACTTTATTTATAAATAGCCACCCATAACTACCTACATGCCCTATTACTACCACCATGAAAATCTCTTTAGAGGAGCTTAGACCCAATAAGTTGCTCAACTAGAGGAACTTTTTCATCATTTACACGGTAAATAATAGGAATGCAATAGACCTACTGTTAAATAGAACTGTCTAAATATACCAAAACGGTTAACATTTCATTTCCAGCTGTAATTTTGCCTCTAAGATAAATAAATTTCTTATTACATATTCTGATTGTCTACATAGATCTTACGCGCAATTTTTCTCCACCCAATTTCTCCTTATTGATAGAATTGCTTTTAATAGGCCTTTTTTTCTTATTAGCCAACTATTAAGTATTTTCTTCATATTGTACGAAAAGGATTTAGCTACTGTATTTTGTAATAATAAAAAGAGAAGAAACTGTTTTTACCATAATAAATTACGGCAGACAAAATGCAACCCAATATACGAATCAACAAAGGCAGGTGAGCTTAATTACTAACTGAGTATTTACCAATATCTAAAATTTCCAATATCCTCCTCTATTTCTCTTTATCCCCTTATTCCTCTCCTCTCTATCCTATTCTTTTCTTTCGCAGTAATTAACATAATAAATAGAACTGAGGAGAAAGAGAAAGTGGGGGACAGACGGAGAGTTATAGAAAAGGGACTAAACGAGAGAGAGAGAGAGAGAGAAAGAAAAAATAACAACTAAATAAGATGAGGATTTAGAGGATATAGATAAAGGAATCTTAACGGATTTAAGCCTATACAGTGATCATTCGTGCAGAAAGTTTCAAAGTAATTTATCAATGTGCAAAATATAACACTTTATTATGGAAAGCGTTTGATTTGTTTTTTCTATAATACGAGATTAAAACGGCTAAATACGACTCTATTACTTTGAACCAGTTTATTTCTCCCCTCCACTCTCATATCTATTCCTCTCTCTCTTAACTATCTCCTATTCTGATATTAATATTAAACAGATACGAATTTTAAATGGGAAATCTTTCAAAAAGACAATAGAAGGTTCTAACTTTCCAATTTAGAAAAATGTTCACTTTTAATCAAATCCGATAAAAACAAAGTGGAACGCGTAAACACCAATTATCATAAATTACAGTGAAAATAAACAACATTTTCCCCCATATATCACAACCCAGCCACCGGCTATTACGTAATAAAAGGGGAAAGAGCTTGCAAACAACTGTCGGCTTGTAATTGAGATGATTTCTTATTTAGCCTCCTCTCCCTCTTGTTCTTTATCTCATTAAATGGATGAATGCGACAGAACAATTAGAAATTTATGTAAAAACGGCGTCAATGCTATTGTCTAAGAGAACAAAAGGACGCGCCGAAGTTTGCTTATAAATTATACATAAATAACATAAAAAAGAACAAAAATCCCCTCCCCCCTTCCCCTCTTCGTTCGCTTGAACAGATGTTGCGAATAAAGGTAAACACGTTCAAAAACTTAATTCGATAATACGATAGCGCCGTTATTCTAAATTAGCTAATCAATCAAAAATATTCCATTAAAGAAAAAATCAGACCGTATCGGAATCATGAATATTCATCAACACACAGCTGCATTTATCATCCGTCTGCAATAGTACAGCAAATTCTCTACAGACTTCTACACGCGTGCCAAGTGTGTATATCACTGTATCAAATTCAACTTTACAACACATAAATATTTTTACTACAGATTCAGCCTGTAATAAATCAGTGCATTTATATAAGTCTATAAAATAGTTTATTTATTTATTGATCGATTATTAGGCGATAATCTCTTTTTTTTTTCTCCTTCTTTCTTCTTCCTCTTCTCCTTTCTGTCTTTCTCTCTCTGTCTCTGTTTCTCTCTGCTCTCCTAACCCTACCGTCCGCTCTTTATTGACAAGTACATTTCTTATCAAAATTGTAATTGATGCTTGAATTGAACAAACTTTTATTTTTATTCAACCTTGTTCAAGGACGGTCAACAATAGATAAGAGAGAGAGAGAGAGAGACAGAGAGAGAGAGACAGGAGGAAGGGATATAAAAACTAAACAAAGATAGAACTTGCACAATTAAGAGGATTTAATATTGTTTTCCTTTATTTAGGTTAGATTACTCTGCCTCAATCACTGTTTCTACCAATCAATCAATCAATTCCTAAAAATCCTTAATTATTAACGTTTTGCATTGTTGAATGTAAAAAGAGAATAAATTACTAAATATTAATTTTCAAACGTATAAAACAGGCGTCGTATTCAAATTGATATGGTTTTACAATGTATAGAATTAGAAAAGAGAACACTAAGCCGGATGTAGTTAATCCTATAGATTTCATGAATAGAGATGTCCAATTTAATAAAATCGATTAGTGCCTCATGTGAAGCGCTTTATCATCTTATCTTATTCATTAAGAGTACAGAAGAAAGAAAAGATTTCTTGTTCGATACGTTCAAAGATCGGACCTATGAGGCTATAGTATTCTCCTAACTCTGCCCCCTAACCCCCTCGTCCCCTCGACTCCCCTTTCAACTAAATCACACTAACGAAATATACCCAAAAAAAAGAAACTTATAGAAAACGTAAAGAAAGAATCTTATCGATTCGCTAACAAGCTTTAGATGCCGCAAAATCAATCAATTATCGATCATTATAAAATTCTCTTACCTCCAATCCTGAGATTCGTATCCGGGGCAATTTTCTACAGTAATTTTCATATTGTCCTTATTCTCATAGGGTCCTTGTAGTTTCTATAGAAAAGCATAGTACAAGCCACGTTTTGGAAGCGCGCCAAAATCATTTAAAGCTTTTTTAACCCTTTTTTCGATAATTTTCTTTTAAACTTACCGTATTCTCCATCTTTAGTATTAAAAATAACCGTTAGTTAGTCAAAATTTTCACCGTAATGGGCATAGTAATACACCTGTCTACCTCTAGCACCAATATGAGATCTGTACGAAAAAACGTTGAATATGCAAATTGACCACTCTAGATGGCGCAGATAATCTTTTTGTACCTCTGTAATAAAATTATAGATGGCGCTACAGTAGACAAGTTTCTTTTTTTTCCCGAATGAACGATTCATATTTCTAGTTGTTTATCAATAAAGAAAGAAAATTTGATATCGTTAATCTTTTAATCTCTTTCTTGTTGTTTTTATCCTTCTCTCTATCTCTTTCTTGTCTCTCGTTTTTTACAAAAAGCAACAAGAATTCTATAAACTTTTTTTTGGTAATAGAAAAGAAAAAGTTGACTGCCCTCTTTCATCTTTTGTTATCTTTTATTATAAAGAAGAAATGTATGACTAAAAATTGACATTCTGACCTAGAGAATACTAGGGTTTTCTCTTCAATTATATATTAAATATGAAGGAAAGTGCAAGCTTAAAGCTGTTACGACGGGTAATAAATATTCATACATAATACTTTATATAAAAGTAATAGCATCTGGAATTCATTCTTGAATTTTTTTTTCAATAGCTAGAATCCCGAGCGTTAATGGCCCCGAAGAGTCACTTTTCAGAGTGTAAAGTGGCCCCAAAGGGACATTAAGTAAGTCAATTTAAGCGGCAGATGGTGCTGATATCGCTCAATATTGTACTGGGGTTACAATGCTAAGGACGTGAAGGGTAGGGGGTGTACTAGATGGCAGAGGCAGACAATAGGGTAAAAAGAAACATGCACAAGTTTCAAAGGTATTCGACCGGTAAGTTATTTGGCAGCTACAAAAAAAAAGAAATGGAAAAATTGAAAAGGGAAAGAAAGGTTGAATAAGGACAAAAACTACAAAAGCACAAAAATCAAGACTCATCTTTCATTGTGGAAGATAATGTTTATAAATGTTTTTTCTTCTCTATTTTTTGTATTAAATTCCCCAATGCTTTCAATCTCTCTCTCTCTCTCTCTCTCTCTCTCTCTCTCTCGCTCGCTCTCTCTTCCTTTATTCCTTTCTTTCTTTCTTTCTTTCTTTCTTTCTTTTTTAATACACTAACCCCCTTTTCGACTATCTTATTTATGCTCTCCTCTCCCGTAAATGATTATGATTATTCAACAAAATGTCCTTTTTTTCCCATTCAAACAATTTTGTATATTCTAGCTTTCTCTTGGTTCATAAACTAGTTCAATTCCTCATTCAATCTCTTTTTTCCTTCGTTTGTTTCTTTCTCTCTTTTTCTTTCATTCCCCAATTCTTTCTTTCTAATTCTCTTCGGTCCTTTAAAAAAGCGTTTTTCTTCACCTCTAGGCTATTTTGGTGAATAATGACAGCAAGATTTCAAGTAAAACTGAGTAGTAGAGTATATATTTCAAGTGATTTGCAATAGCCAAGTAAAAATAAAAGACATTCTTTGCAAGGGTAACGCCCTGAAGGTCGTCGCAATCCATCGTTATATATGCTAACGATATGCCAAAAAAGGACGAAATGTGTAATATAAAAATCTTTACGTTTAAGGTTGTATTTGCATAATAAAAAAGAAAATGATCTTAGTTTTAGCAGTTTGTTTGAATTGTTTGCTAAGTCTATTGTTATAGTAGTATATAGGTTTTATTAAAGTACATAATAAGATAAGGAAAAGAGAAGATTTTTAGAATAAATTAACTTTTGGAACAATATGGAAACTATATTCGGCAACCGATTGATGTTTAGAGAAAAAAACCTTAATAAACAATAATTATATTATTAATATTCAAAATTCTTTAACGCGTCTATATACTAGTTTTATAGGACTAGTTAAAGTGTAGGTGTCTAACTCATCTATCTCATCATATATTTCTTCTTACTCCCACTGTACACTCCCTTCTGCAATCTCTAGCATTTATTTTGTCTATAACCTCCCACGCATAATTTTATATCTACCCAACAAGCGTCAGTTAGGGTTTCTAATTGTATAGACTCTTAGTAGTCTATATCTATAAAAGCGAAAGTATATTTCGCCCCCTCACCTACCCCCTTCGGCTTTCTATTCCTCCCCTCCACCTCTCCATTATACGTTCAAGCGTGTTTTACTACTACCAGTAGTACTACTAACACCACCACCACCGCCACTCAGCTACCAACAGGTCTGCCACCACCGCTATCACCGCATTACAAATACCGCCGCCACCGTTTCATTTTCAAGCAAAACAAAAAAAAATGTCATTGATTTTCCAGTGACTTTCCAACCGCAAAGTACGTTTCTGTAATTCACTAACCAAAACCAATCATTAAAAGCCACTTACTTTTACAAAAAAAATCCTCAAACAAACCACATAAAACCAGACAAATGAAATCGCTTCCCACATATTGACCTAGACGACTCATGCGAACTACAGGCCCTTAATATAAAATCTTACTATTGTACTAGTAACCCATTTGGTAAAAAAATCTCTTATCGGAATGGTGCGTCAAATATTTAGTGATTCCAATGCAAGAATGCAAGTATTTCTTATCATTGTATTAATTTTTAATTATGATACGATTAACAATAGCTTTGCGTTGCTATGGTTATTAGTAAAAGCTAAATAAGACTATATATATACTAATATATATGCGTATACTGTATATTATTGTTTATTATTATTGTTGTTATTATATTGTTCTGTTTTCTTTTTTTTCGATTGCATTATTCGAGCAGGATGGAAATGGTGTGGCATAGTTGCTTCGATGGATTTTTTACGGAATTCTGGCATAATTACAATCATCATTGGCAACTTCTTCCAACCAGATATCCAATAGATATAGATAAGAATAAAGGGTGGTGTATGTTCAGGGACAGCGCCAAAGTGAGATTTAATTGTCAAAAATGTGGCCATGGGTGGACAAGTATGAAAGGTAGAGTAGTATTTTGGTTTTGGTTAGACCCTATAAGTTATCAACCTATTGACTATTACGGAAGAGCATTTCATTCTGGACTGGTATTTTTTAAACTTTATGGTCAAAAGTGTCAAAAATGTATGGATGAGAAGAGATTCGAAGCTGCAATGTGGTACCCTGAGGAAGTTCAAAAGGTTTCTTTAATTATTAATTATTGTATATAGAATTCAATTTTTGTTGGCAAAGGGAAAAAGTAGGGAGAGAAGATTGGAAGTAGATAAATGTTAACAAGTTAATAGGACTATTAACAGAGAGAGATAGAGAGAGAGAGAGAGAGAGACAGAAAAGCTTGTATAGTAGTATCTAAGAAAAGTAATTCTCCAGGGATAAAGTTTCCTTTAAAATTTTCTTTTTATTTCATAAGAAAAAATAGAACTCTGACGTACATGAGCTTTTTCTTATCTCATTTATTCAAGAAAACCAACTTACGACATCGTTTCTATTAATAAGAACATTTTAAATCCATTATCATTCACTAAAAGGCGAAAAAAACGTAGATCTTTTGAATACTTCGATTGTTCAATTTTTCTTTCCCTGTATAAATAGGCCTAAATCAAAGAAATATGGAAGAGGATTTTGTGAATCATATATATATGATATATTTAAATACTGTAAGAAAAAGTTTGTACTTTTAAGCAAGAATTTCAAACTTGCAAATAAATTAGGAAAGAAATTTTTTCAAATGTTTTGAATAGATTTAATCTAGAATATGCAATAAGTTGAAATATTTAAAATATTTCGCCTAATTTAGGCCTAAAAAAATCATTTTTGAATAGTAAGGATAAAAGAAGGATAAAAAAAGAAGAGAAAAAGTAAAATGAAAAAAAGATTGAAGCGAATTTGGATATGATAGAATTCTTCTATATTTAACTTTTGTACTATTTTACTTCTTTAATCTTTCGAAAATGGAAGAATTGAATCGTCGGCCATGAAAAGAAGTAATTAATAACAAATATTATTTAAGCAATATAGAGTAATATTTCATTGCTAATCACCTAATTGTTCGTCTTTTACAATTATAGGATCATAGATTGTCAAAATAATAATTAAATATCCTATTCTCTCCTTTTCTTTTACCATTTAGATGAGTTTTAAATAAAGAAAGTAAAGATTGAACGATGCGTTAGTCTACATATATGCATATATTGATATATATTTCTTTTATAGGTTCTCCAAAATATCCACCAGAGAGTTGGGCAAAACTATTACGGCTTTCAACAATCTATATTAAGGTTAGACAGAAGGGCGGGTAAACCAAGACAGCAGCATAATTCAAATCTTTGCCAAGCATGTCAAGAAGGAGGCATTTGTTACGAGGGCGCTAACTAAACCAATCGATAGAAAGTTGTCCATAGATAATGTTTTTTTTTTATGACTCTGTAATTTTTTCTTTCCGCTGAATAGGGAAATATGCAGAGTGTTTTAACAGAAATATAGAGAATTGAATATATAGATATATATATATATATTTAAAAAAGTAACCTTATCTTTAATTAATTAATTAGTAATCAATTGAGAAATGAAAGAACAAGGAAAAAAGATGTTTTACATATTTTGTTTCAGTCAAGAAATACTTGAGAAAGAACTTTGGCTATAATTATAATTATATTAATGATGTTGAATGACTAGAGATAACGTTACAACTGTATTCTACAAACCATTAAAACTTTCTTAAAACAATCTTCGTTTGTTTATTTTTCTTTCTTTAACTTTGATTTTTGTCTCTAAAAAAAGTTTTGGTTATTTTTTTTTGTTTTTTTAAAAAAAAAAGGAATGAAAATTTTTTGCAAAAATAAAAAAATAATAAAACATACAGTTGAAAATCAACAATTTCCTTATATGGTAAAATGATTTATTATCTACTTTACCTTTGTTTCTATTCCTCCTTTTTTTCCTATTAAAATAATTGCAAATTCAAATTGGCGCCATCTTTTATCAATTGTAATGTAGAGGGTAGAGTTATATAGAATTTGCTATTTTTTTCTCATATAGCAACTACTCAAAGGCATTGTAATCTCCTTAAAATTTGTAAAGAAGTAATATCTTTATTCTTTCATTAATGTGTTACACAGGCTATATATAAAGAAGAAATAGTTCACGACCGTAAAAATAGTCTTTCATAGGCCAATTATAAAAGTAAATGTTACAATATTAAGATTTCTCTTTATACTAGAGTTCATAAACATTACATATATATATACATATATATTGATATATACTTTTCAAAGAGAAAAGATAGGAAAAGGCAGAAAGAGAGACAGAAAATGAGCAAAATAGAAAAAGAGGCGGTAAGTTTAATCAATACGGAAGTACTGAAAAGTTTGGATAATAGGCGTCAGCACTATAAGTGTATTGCTGTGCTACCACGTGCTGCAATGGTGTAAAGATATGGAAATCAAGTAAAAAAAGAAGAAACATCATAAAAATAGAGAGATTGAGAGAATATTTTCAGTGTATTTAGCGTTTTTTCTCCCTCGATATTTAATATTAAAGCGTCTATTAAATATATTGAAATATTTCATCATACCGATGTGTTTGAACACCTTTATTTCTCAACTTGCTGTTATTCATTTATTTCTTCCGTGATATTGTTGTTGTGTTTTTCATCATTATATATTCTTATTTAAAACGAATATATGAGAAATATGGAGAAAGATTACCATCCACCCGGAAACTGGTTTACTTCGATGAGGTTTCTCGTTGCTTTATTAGGATTTTTTGGCTTTTTTAATATGAATGCAATGAGAGGATCAATGAGCTTTGCTATTGTTTGTATGGTTAAACCAGTTAATTTAAACGTTACCACTTGGTCGAATACTACAAATACGACCTTATACTGTCCTTGGGCCGTTCGGACGGGTAATCATGTAAGTTTTCATCTTTTCCGTTCAATTACGCTAATCTAGAGTCTGTATATATTTATTCTAGAAATTCTTAAAAATAGATGGCGTTAGTAGTTAGTAATAGGAAAAATAGATAAACAGTTAGCTTATTTATATATATATATATATATATATACTTTATACTGTATATAATTGAGGATATTCTATTTATTCAATATTATTCTACTTGTTTTTTTTTGTTTTTTAAAAAAACAAACAACATAATTACAGACAATAGAAGAATCATTTAGTAATGAGTTTGCATGGTCGAAAGAAATACAGAGTTTGATATTAGGTTCATTTTTCTGGGGATACTGCATATCTCAAATACCCGGCGGTTGGTTGGCTGATTCTATCGGTGGTCGTAGAATACTTACCTTCGGTATACTTCTCGCCTCGTTATGCACCCTATTAGCCCCAATTGCTGCAAGGTTTCATTATATAACTCTCATTGTTATAAGATTTCTAACTGGATTAGGGTCTGGAGTTTCTTATCCAGCGATGCACGCTCTTTGGGGAAAATGGGCTCCACCTTCGGAAAGATCGAGATTAACTTCTATAAGTTACGCCGGTAGTATGCTAGGAGTTGTATTAGTAATGCCGATATCAGCGTCCTTCTGCGACTCGAGAATAGATAATGGATGGCCATTAATATTCTATACTTTGGGTGGTTCAAGTTTATTATGGATAATTCTATGGCAATTCTTAGTAAGCGATACACCGGCGGAAAGTAGGAGAATCTCTAGAGCGGAGAAGGATTATATAATAAAATCGTTGAAAGATGTAATAACCTACGATGAAAATAAGGTAAGAAAATAAAACAGCATCTCTATCTATCTGTCTGTCTCTCTATCCTTCTCTCCATCATTCAATTCCTATTCTCTTTTCTAACAGTTGTCCCATTTCTGTTCGGTACCCTGGCTATCATTTGCTAGTTCGATGGCTGTCTGGGCAATAGTTGTTGCAAATATAACATCGGATTGGGGAATGTATACAATAGAAACAAATATGCCTACCTATTTAGCGGAAGTTTTAAAATTTGATGTAAAATCAAATGGCTTCTTCTCAGCAATACCCTATATATACTTTTGGATTAATATCCTAATTAGCGGTCTAATTGCCGATAAACTACGATCGAAGTGCTTAAGTACCAAAAATACAAGAAAGCTCTTGAATACTTTTGGTCAAGCATGTCTCTGTATAAGTTTTATAGCAATATCCTTTATGGATTGTACAAATTGGTTGGTGGCTGTAATAATGCTGGCCATTGGAACAGGAGCTATTGGTTTTTCTTTTAGTGGTTTTTTGGTTAATCACGTTGATATAGCTCCAGCCTATGCAGGCGCATTGATGGGTATTAGTAATTCAGTTGCGGCACTAGTATCTGGTTTTGGCGCACCTTATGTTATAGGAATTTTAACTCCTGATGTAAGTAAACTCTTCCATTCAAGAATTTTTATTCAAATTCACAAAATTAATTAATAATAACAGTAAATTATTCAATTAATTAACATTTTCGCATATTTACAAAGTCTTTTAAATCACACAGTCAACCCCCGAACAATGGAAGACTGTATTTTTTGTCGCGGCAAGTGTTGTAGCTTTTGGGGTCCTAATATATGGAATATTTGCACAAGGAAGTGTTCAAGAATGGGCTAAACCAAAGTCGATGAAAGAAAACAAGGAAATGGTTAAATTAACAGAATTAAATGCTTAAAGCAAGGAGACAAAGGGAAAATAGAAGGTTAATACAACAACAAAAAAAAAACAACACATAACTAGACTTCATTGAGAAAGTTCACCGTTTAACAAAAAAATTGATAATAAAATTACCAAAGAGGTGTTTAATACTATAATAGAGCTATTTTTCATTTTGTTGCCTTTTGGTTAAAGCATCCAAGTTTAGGCTTTTGTCTCACTATCCGAAATTTTACTTTTCCTTCTCTTAGGAGCAATCGGCTTAACGTTGACGTAAGTTTCAACGGAATCCGTTCGATTTCTGATTGGTTCTCGTTCAGTTGAATTTTTACGAATATCTAAATCTTCGATTGATTAATTAATCAATTGATTGATTAAAGAAAAAAGTTTTGAATGAAACAATTGATCTATTATACAGTAGAATAAAATTCAAAACATACTTATTTCCGGTAATGACGCCATTGAGTGGGCGTATGGTCGTCCTTCTCCAACCACTCCACTTCCAGCGCTAATCACAGACATAGTCCTTCTAGACATTACTGCCTCTCTTGTGTTCTTATGAGGTCTAAATATGCATATATATACTTTTGGAGCAAATATACACGATACAGCAATCAATGCATTGACCGTAACTGATAGTGAAATAGCTATAGGCCTTATTGTATAGAATACAAAGAAAGTTGGGAGGAATGCTACCCAAATTACCCATGTAGAATAGGACGTAAAAGCTATGAATTTCGTTTCATTGAATCCATCAGGAGTTTTTCGTGTTCTGATTGCGTAATAAGTACAAGCAAGCATTAGAAGTAGAGGATATATTAGCGGTACCAAGAAGCTAGTATTCGCTAATCCTTTGCAAATTAAAATATTACTATCCCGTGACGGATAAACAAAAGTTGAAGTTGGCTGTAGAGCAACTAACCACGAGATGAGAACGAATACTTCTATAGAAAGCAGGCATAGAACTATGAACATTTGAGACTTTGGACTCGTTAACTTTGTCTTTTTAGTGACTTGTTTCGGCTCAGTTGGAAATAGCCTGTAGACTCGATTCGTCTTTGTGAGTATAGGAGCGTAGAGAGCAGCATAACAAAATCCGACTAGAAATCTGCTCGCTCCACACGTTCCTCTACTAGGTTTCGCTAAAAAGATAAAAGAAGATATGCAACAAAAGGCGCAAGCTCCGAGAAGAAGTGCGCTTAATTCTCTGGAAGACGCCTTTATAACCGGTGTATCTCTGAATCTGAACATGACTATTCCAACTAGTATAATTATTAATAGACCAATCGACGATACAACCAAACTTGCTATTGCAACCGGATGAGTATAATCAATGTATTGAGGTTCCATTGCAATGCAAGACTTTTGTTCATCGTCTGGTTTGGTTCCATTTGGGCAGTCTACACAAGATTCTTGAAATCCAATCGAAAAAACCCTACTCCACACCGGGCATTTAATGCAACTCCAGCAACAAGCCAATCCAATTCCACCACTAAATTTTCTAATTTCACCAACACCGCAATCCTCCGAACATATTGATGAATTATAAAGGGTTGGGATATCTTCATCCACTTGTAGGAAAGTTTGATTTGTATATTCGCCTTCAACTTGAGTATATACACCGACTTTATGCCAACTATCGTCAACCGTATACCTATGTTGCAGAGGAATTAGATATAAATCATAATATATATATATATATATATATCTAAATATAAAAGAAAAGTCATAGAATAATATTTAAAGTTGACGACGGTCTTTTCTTTTCTTTCTTTTATCTTTTATCAGAAACGGTAATAATACTTTTTGATGTTTCTGTGGCAAACACTTGATATTGAGTTGAATTAATTTTTTCGCAGTTGTTAAGTAATAACGGTAATAAGATAAAGAAAAGGATAAAAGAGATAGGTGCAAAATGTTATAGAAATAACGTCCAATAAATTATATGTACCTATAAATTATTATTTTATGTGTCCTGCTAAAAGAACCTATTTCTTCAACTCTAATCGGATAAGATAACTAGACACGTGTTGACCGAATGCTCAAGTTTTGTTTTGACCCAATTACCTTAGAACTGAATATCTTGGTGGTCCATCAATACCGCCTTGAAAATAGAATGGAACGCCGGATATACCAGTAAACGTTGAATTTCTTATATATTTGATCAGCGTTGATCCAGAAATATTCCCAGGTCTCAATTCGCTGCAAAATTCATTTGTAGATCCGCAAATATCCTTATACATTCTAGAAAGAGAGTCGACAAATACTTGAACAGCATCGTATACGTAATGTAGAGATGGTATTTGTTCATAACCATTTTCTGGTCCAATAATAGCATTCTCATCGCAGTAGTTGTCGCTGTTTCTATTTTCGTCGTTAAATGAACAATTAAAGTGATATTCCCAATATTGTTTGAACCATGGATTCCTCGTATTGTTGAATGGTTTCAAGCTGGAAAGGTAAAGCAATATTTAAAAAACCAGCAATTTATTTAAACAATAAGAGAGATTTTGATAAACCTTTGAAAGTATTCGTCAAAGTTAGGTATTCTAAAGGCGTATGGTTGAATTGCTAAAGCGTTATTGACAATTTCTTTATGTTTCTTTACAACCGACATCCTTCCTGCCCAACCGTCGACTCCTAGCCAATAAATTGTTTTATTTAAACCAACTTGATCGGCTGCCTCGAATAGATAATCCGCATTTGTATAATCTAAATAAACTATTACAGCTTTTGCCTTATTTTTATTATCGGTAAGGGCTGAAATAATGGCTTTATACTGTCTTAGTCCAGGCTGGTTGACTCTGACTTGAAGAACTTTTTCAAAGCAAACATCGTATAATGCAGCTATACCGCTTAGCTCGTAAAATCCCCTTGTACCGTAGTTCGAATTCTCGTATACAATCGATACAAACGTCCATTTCATTTTCCTTAACAAACTCAAAATTGCGTTCACTTGAATGCTATCGGAAGGTACTGTTCTCGCTAAATATGGAAATCTAACTACGTTACTAATATCTGACGAAGTTGATTGAGGAGATATTTGTGGAATGTTAAACACTCTGAACATATTGGCAAGGGCCATTGTTACTCCCGATGAAGATGCTCCAACAACTCCGATCATTCTTTGCAGGGCTTTCATATCCGATTTAAGTATTGGTTTTGTATCATTGCTGTATAATTTTTAACAATAAAAATTGAATTATTCAATAAAATAGCTATTTAAATTGAATAATAAAAATATAGTTAAAGTAATAACAATAAGAATTCATGAATATTCATTAAGTGCTTATAAATTTGAATATACAGTATATATTGTATGTAATGAAATTGCGAAACATAAGTGTTTTTGTAATAATTCCTTTTTTTCTTTGACCTATTTCTGGTGTGAATAGAATAGAAAGAGGAGAGTGCTCAAGTACTTACTGGCAGACGTACGGTATTGAATCTGAAGTATCATCTTTTGTCATAAGAATACGTATAACGTTCATTCCTTGTTCTAGAGCATGAGCGTCAGAACTACAACTATCGAATGCTATTCCTCCTAAACTAAATTTAGGCAATCCTGGTAGTTCTTTTCTATTAATTTCATCTAGAGTAAAATGGAAGGCTTCGAGCATTTGTATACCATCTTCTTCGGCTACTGCGCCGCATAGTTGTCGACCGTATAGGCCACTTTCGTGAACCGGAAAGAAGGCTATCAGGAGAATGTCTCCAGTATAATTGGCAAAGTTTGAACACTTTACAGGAACTTGAAACAATAATATAAAAAAAATGAACTTCACAAAGAGCATATTCATGTTACCGAAGTCATGTTTACTGTTGTTTATAACTGTTCAAAGAACGATTCGTAAATGATAATGGATTTACTCGATAATATCTAAAAATCGATATAAAATGTGTCATTTTTAAGTAACAGATAAGATAAGGAATGATTTAAATAATAGAAAAGGTCTAGCCTTATTTATTTTTCATACTAAAAATTCCGTTTAATAGACAGACACAAGTATTACAAAGACATTATGTATTTGTAAATGTAAATTCTTGAAGTTTCCATTCGATTATCACCGATTTTAAATCGGAAAACAAAGAAAACTAATGAATTGGACAACGTCTATAGATTATATAAGAAAACCTTTCATTTATTTTAATAAAAGGAGAAAGGAAGAGGAAGGAAAGCAAGAAAGTTTTCTTAAAGCTATTAAACATAAATCTTGAATTATTTATCCGTATTTTGTGCTATTTAATACAGAATGCATTGTAGGACGAAGTACTATCAGTCTATTCCAGTGTTGTCTAATTTCTTCTTTATAGGAAATGGCTTGACGGTTATGTTGCTGTTTACAGCATCGAAATGGTATTGTATCCGCTGATATCCTTATTGAAGGCAATATTGCTGTAGATTCCAGTTTTTTACATACTTTAGTAGGCACCTTGCAATCGTATGTTGTAAAAGAAGAATTTCTATATTGTATTCGAGGAAATCTCGAAGAAGTTGATTGTTGTACAGGATCTAAAGTTAGATTGACGAGATTTACAGCAGTTTTCATTGCAGTTTGGCTGCTGTTTTTTTTTTGGTATATAATAAAATCAATAAAACTTCCGAAATCGTTTAATTTTAATTGTAATTGATTTTTTTACCATTGATTTAAAATTAATCGGCGTTTACTTTGAACTTTAGACATTTCGCTTTAAGCTCAAATTAGGCCAAATGAGAATGTTGAGTCAGTATCCTCTATTTCGAACGAATAAGAAAACAAACTTGTACTTGAAGATAAAGAAACTTGAATAATTAATAAAAAGATATCATTCTTATGTTATGGAATATTCTCTTCCTTTAAAAACTAAACAACTAACTTGCTATTTGCCGATCAAAAGTCTTCTACGAGGAATAATGAATCACTAACCCTGACCCAGCCCACTTCGTCTCTAGATCTAACAACAAATAGATATTAGTATCGATCTCGTATCGATTCAAACTGAATTAGCTAATGATAAAACATAAAAAAAATGAAATTACTTTTTCAACATTTTCTCGAATGTAACGCCATCTATTGGACGCTCTCTTTCTCTCTGTCCCTTCCTCCTCTCCCGGCTGGAATGTAAGGGAGGAGAGAAGGAAAGAGAGAGTGAGAGAGAGAGTAAATTTTGGAAGTAGATTGAGAAAGAAAAATATACCTGTTTTTAGATGAATTTCAAGGATTGAAACCGATTAAACTTTTAATGGAAAAGGTAGAAAAACTTGAATAAACAAAAGTCGATTAATAGACATAAATGAATACCTGAAAAATTGATGTTCATTTACTTAAAGGAATGTTTTTTTGATAAAAAGGCCAACATGTGGTAAATTGTTATCAAAACTTTTTCAGGTGAAAAAATTCTCTCTTTCTCTCTCCACCTTGATCTTTGTGTATATATGTGTGTGTGTATGTGTATTTGTCTGTTTGTGCGTCTTTCCTTAGTCTCTTTTATTTATTTCTCTATCTCTATCACTTTTCTTTCCTCTTTCTCTCTCTCTGTCTCCCTCTCTGTCTTTTTTTAAGCCTACAAAATGAAGCGACGTAATTCAACCTAATTACAAGCCGTTTGTCATCATTTACCCTAGTTTGCTGAATGTTTTTGACAGTTATTTCGATTGACGTTGCTTTCATTTTTTTTATATTCCAATTTTAAAAAAAAAAGAAAGAATATAAAGAAAACAGTAGCGATTATTTTTTTATCGTAACTTTCAAACTCTACGTTGCAGAGGTCACAGAATGTTAAAACTGGTAGTAATTTGCCGCATAGCTTCCGCATAATTATCCAAGCTGTTAATAATTATTTAAATAAGTTAAATATCGATAAATTAAATGAGAATATTAAAAGTATATATAAATTGTGTAAATTACCTTAATAATAACATTAGATGATGGCCTTTTTTTAAATTTAATTGTTACTTTTCTCTTGTTTGGGAATGCGTTAATGGCCAATCCGGATATTGTAAATATTTGCCTACAGTTGCTTGTAGCTGTTTGCAATTTGATACTCTGTTTCCTAAGATCCTCTTGCAAATACCAAGCATCCGTTGCAAGAAATCAAATGATTTATTTAATAGTAAATAGCTTTACTAATTTCTTTACCAAAAGCCTTTTAGCTATTAGAAAACTTTATTAACGTAAGTTATTTAACTTTACTCTCTGTCTCTCTCTCTCTCTCTCTCTCTTCTTTTTCTTTTATTCCATTCCTCCTTCCTTCCCTATTTCCCTATTATCACTATTCTATTTGTTATATACGTATGGATGGATGGATGGATGGAGAGATATATTCTAGGATTTTTTTTTATCTACGTTTTCCGAGAATACACTATATCGACTAGTAATAGAGATGACGCTGAAGGCGTTGGGCGTCTATTCGAAAATATTCAACCGACTTATTTTTTATACGATAGAAGAAGAAAGAAAGATTCTATTAGATTAGTGTTTTTTTTTCTTTCAAATCGATTATTTTGAAAGAGAGATTTTGTATATATTGCTTGTGACGTCACATAAAAAAATTTTTTTTTCTTTACCAAGCTTGGTTAAGATTAGCTGTGGTAATTGTTTTGATTAGAATCTGTCTATAGCACATTTGTTTTAGTAGCTGTTGGCGTCCGATAGTTACTTTACTTTTCTTATAGAAAACATCTTTAAGAGTAGAGAATAGAAATCTTTAATTTATTTATTGTTTACTAAACAATTAACTAGCTAATTTCAAAAAATTTATTATTTCTAGTATGTTTAATTAACTAATTAACTAATTTACTTAATTAATTAGCAATTAATTTGCATAAAAAAGGTTGTTATTCAATATTGCGTATACTACACAGTACGTAAAATATCTTATCTATTATCTCATTCTTCCTTTATTATATTTGTATATACAGTATATATCTATATCTATGTCTATATATCTAAATAGTGACTTGAGTTAATTCTATCTTTAATGTTTTAATATTGGACGAATATAGGATGATATTTGAAAAAGGTTAGTCCTCTTTTCCATTTCTCTTCTTTCTTCATCTTCTTCTTCTTCATCACAATCTTCTCTCTCTCTCTCTCTCTCTCTCTCTCTCTCTCTCTTTCTGCTCCTTCTCATCTTCAGTTTCTTTCTTAGGGAATGTGAAAGTATGGGTTTATTTCATGTTTGAAAAAAGTAATCCTTCTCAAGTACCGCAATTATATATAATCTTTCAATTTTCCACTCGTAGTTTGTCAATATTACAGTCACTTTCAATGACAATGCAATACGATGTCAACATTTTTGTTACGCTCCTATCTTTGTTATTAATTATTGTTATCTCTCTTTGTTTTATACTGTCGATAAGGAATCGCTGTGTACGTTGTAAAGAGGCTCTTTGTTTAAGATACGATAATGATAAAGTGAAAGAGGAGGCGGAGGATGACGGAAAAAAAAAAGAGGAGGAGGAGGAGGAGGCGGTTTGATAGTAGATACGATTGAACCTCAAATTATGACAAGCCGTGCAGCTATCGTATCCGTTTGGTCTTTCATTATAGTTTTACTTGTATTTCTCACCCTCTTCTTCTGGACTTTACTGAAGAATTCTAGGATTAAAAAAGGATTATCTCAAGATTACGATAATTCGATACCGAAACCACCCAATTACGAGGATATATGCGATAAACCACCGCCCTACGAGCCTGTTATCAACGTGACTTGTTTATAAACATGAAAAAATAGGATGCTCAGGGATAATATTCACCAATATCCTCTTCGGATTGACGGAATTCGGATAATGATGCTAAAATGCACTAATAAACAATTTCTCAACGTGCAAAATAGGCCTCTAAGAATTTAGTTTTTTTTTTGCAGTGTATTCACCTATGCTATTATTAAAATGGCGTGATGTAATAAATCATCCCTTAATTGAATTTTGCATAAAAATTCACCTTCTTTTTTAACTTGCGTCTGACTTATTTATGTAAAATAAATGTGAAATAAAGTCCCTTTTTCTCCTTTCTCTTCGTCTTCCACTTCTTTTCCATTCTTATATCACTTAGTATAAATCTTTCTTTGTTGGTATTCTCTTTCTCTCTCTCTCCCTCTCTTCCAGTTTCCCTTTTTAATCATTGTAAAAAATTCTATCCACCGGGTCATTCAACATTGTCAAAAATTATTGAGAAGGCCTTGAAATATCGGACAGATGGCTCTGATAGTTAGGATTAACGACTTATTGTACTGTCTATTCCCCTATATTTTTTGTTTGTTAATTTTGTTTGCATTAGTCGTAGACATTTATTCTTTTGCAGTAAAAATTCCTAACTGTAAAAATAACTAAAATATTCCTTATTTCGTTTTCTATCCAATAATTGAATTATTACGACTAGTCATTTTATTTTTCTCCTTCTATATTCTTTTATTTGTTTATTTCTCTCCTCTCTCTCTCTCTCTCTCTCTCTCTCTCACATTCGGTTTTATGTATTCGTTTTGTCAATGACTCGTCTTTAAATGTATACAGATACAAGCAGACACGCACAGACAGACACATAGATATTTATATAAATATATAAGTATATTCATATATATGCCATGGGAAAAATGAAAAAAAAGTTGGATTTGTAATATTTAATACCCTGTTCTATATTAATAGAAATGAATGAATAGATGAATACAATAATGATAATTAAAAGAAAAGCAAAAAGAGAAGGAGGTTAAAATAGCAACTAATCTTTTTACATTCTAGTATACTGTATATATATATATATATATATATATATATATGTGTGTGTATACTGCTATATACAGTATTTATACACAGAAAAGGTACTCAATATTATGTACAAACAGCAAACTATAAAGAGCGCTTTTTGTTAATGATTAAAGTGCTTTATTTCTACTTTGTGGACTTACAGAAAAATAGATATGATTATTTATTTAAATAACTACATGCTTAAATTCTGTATATATATATATATATATACATATATATTTATATGTGTGTAGAATAAGATTGCATAAAATTAATTAATACTCTCTCTCTCTCTCTTCCCCTCTGTATGTACGTCTGTCTTCATCACTGTCCAAGAATAATTTCTTCTCTCCAGCACACACACGTAGACTTATTAAAATGTATACATCTACTTAAAAACAATACCTATACATATCACATAATGATGTATTCTATCTACAAATTAGGTTTAAACCATCGTAACCTTACTCTAAAATTGGCCTTGTTTCTAATTATATTTTTATTTAAACAATATTTTCATCCTCTCTGTTTACATGGGCTAATCAAGCGCGTTCTCCTTTAATTAGGTAGGACCCGTACAAAGTGTCCGCTAGGTGACGTTCTAGTAAATTCTTCTTTTCAAATTCGAGGCGTTCGCTGGTTGGACTAGAGGATGTTGGTAATATGTGCGCTTTTTCTGTGCACAAGTAAGTACGATATAAGGATTATAAATATTAATTGCAATGATAGATAGCTTTAAGTAGAACGTCAAGTGTGTAAAAAGCGTCGCTTCTCAATTTACCGCCAACGTTACAGTTTGAATAGGCGAAAAACAAATAGAGATAAAAGCGTCCCCTCTTCCTAAGAGTTTGTCAGACTAGATAATAAAGAGTATATGCTAAAAAGTTGTTTTTCGTTACGTTTATTTTCGAATAGACTACTGAGAAACAAGAAATTTTTCTTCTCTTCCTTTCTTTCCTTAAAATGCTTTGCAGTTGAAAAGTTGAAAAACAAGAGCATCCTAACTAAACGAGATAAAAAAAATTTGTATCTTTTTGTAACTTTTCTTTTTATTTAACCTCAAAAAAAAGAGAGTAGTTATAGAAGAAGTCTAAGAAGAAGTCTAAGAAGAAGAAGAAGAAGAAGAAGAAGAAGAAGAAGAAAGAGAAAGAGAAGTAGAACAAGAACAAGAACAAGAGGAATTGTAATAAAAAATGAAGAATCTGTAATAGAAGAAAAACAAAATAATAATCAACTGTTAGACTTCTTCTTCTTCTTCTTTCTTTTTTTATACCAGTTTCCCTTTTTGTATTAATTAAGGTTTTTATTCAATTAAGAAGAAAATGACATTTTTCCTGTTAAAAAGTATAAAAACCTTTGCTAAACATTTTCTATTAGCTCTTAACATGTATTAAAAGGCTTTTTTTTGGACGGGTGCGGACCGGTTTGAGGTTCGAATGGATTTTACAGTTTTCGATCGAACTTCAACACCTCATGCATAGAAAGTCATATAGGCCTGTTTAAAACCTTTTAGTTATAAATACTTTTCCGATCGAGACAGCTTGTTTTTGCTAACAGCCAAACCTAAAAGCTTCAAAAATACAATTTTATAAGAAAATATTAATATTTATAAAATAAAATCAAAAGATAAAGAGATAGGATTATAGATTGAAAAAAGAGTACAAATTTTTTTTCACTGTGCTCTCTCTCTCTCTCTCTCTCTCTCTCGCTCTCACTTTCCCTCTGTGAGTGTCTATGTGTGTGTGTGTGTGTCTGTCTCTCTCTCTTTCCCTCCCTTCGTCCCTCTTTCAATTTTCCACCCCTTGTCGCTCTCTTACACGCTCCCTCTCTCTTTCTTTCGCTTTACTGTTCAATTATATATCTATCTGTCTGTCTTATTTTCCACACACACACACACATATACACTCACACACTCTCTCTCCTTTCACTAATTCAACTAATAATCTTTTTTATGTTCTTTTCTCTCAATTCTTTTTAGTTTTTTTTTATACACTACAAGTTTTTTCTACGTACATAGGTGTTTGCATTGATTAATCGTGTGCCCGGAGGCAAATTCTACAACTTTAGTGCAAGATAATATTGTGTTTCGTCTAGCTTTCTATGTAAACTAGCTAACGAGTACAACCTTAATTAACGATTGAGTTCTAATCAAATTCTAAGCTATCACTTTGTTACTTTACTTTCTATCCAACAGAAAATGGCTAATTGTTGAATAAGAAAGAACATCTTTAATTGAATTTCCATTTTTTTTTTGAACAATGTAAAAGTACCTTTTTCATCTATTCATTTCCCTTTCGTACTCCTCTTCCCGTCACACCTCTCTCGATCCCCTCTGCAAATGAAAATAGGTTGTGCCTCTTTTCTATGTATTTTTGAAATTCCCCGAGTTATCCTCATTGATCCTTTATCAACTTAAATCTTTTTCCTCTTCCACGTTCTATTCATTTTGCTTTTTTCATCTTTTTAATAGACTAACTAAAATAGGGGAAAAAATAAGACTAAAGGTAAAGTTTATTACGTTTAAAGCTCTATATTAATTAGACTTTGTATAGTAAAAGAAAAACTGGTATTAAAAAATGAAGGGGAAAAAAAGTAGTCTCTTGTCGTTCCTTATCAATAAGTTTGCATATAAGTACTTTAAAGCGTTTTGCCCGCACTAATCCACTTTATTTCGACTGGAAGAATCTACATCAGATTACATAATGTTTCTCCATAGCTATAACTATTAAATATATGATGACAATAACTATGAGGAAGCTAATTTTTAGTTTTGTTACGCCTCAAGAGATTAATGTCTCTCTGCAAATGAATGAGTAAAGAAAGTAGCTTTTTTATGTAACCATTTTAGATAGAAGAGACGAAAAGGAAGTTTATTTGTTATTCCATAATACTTGTCTATAAGTATATACAATATTCTAGTATCTAGTTAATTAACACAACTATTTCTGTCCTAAATCAGTGAGGGGTACATGTATTTCTGTAATTAGTACCTTTTCCCCTTCCTTCCTTTCCTTTCCTCTGACAAAGACGGAGGAAGGATAGAAGAGATAAACTTTATCATCTTTTTCGTTAAAATTTACATTTCTCTTAATTTTTTTCGTGAGCCTAAATAAATGAATGAAATTGAGGAAAAATATCGCCAACAGATGTTTCTTTAAAAAAAAAATACCGAATTTCCACTTTGCGAGCTTCCGATAATTTGTCGTCGATCGGCCGTTTATGGAAATCGTATGTAAATGAGGCTATCGATTTGGGGAGACCGAGTTTTGTATAATTTATCAAAGACGCCGCTTATCTAGGCAACGCTCTAGTTTAATTGACAACCGTTGCAGATTCGATACTCATGCAAGAAACTGGAAAGATTTGTTTTTTTGATTCTTTGGCGAAAATAGATATAACTAACACGGAAAAGGCCTAAACATACGTGTCTCAATTGATAATTCGTTTTCCTTTAAATGTAAATATTGCCAAAGGGGAAAGAAATAGGGATAGGAGTAGGAGGAAGGAGAGGCAAAAAGAACAAAGATGAGTAGTATTAGTAATACTAGCAATAGTATCAATAGTAGGTAGTAGTAGTAGTAGTACTAGTAGTAGTCGTTGTTGTAGAATCAGTAGACAAACGATATTACAAGGAAGAGGAGAAAGTATCAAGGTGATAAAAAAGAGATAGAAAAGAAAGAATGAAAAAAAAAAAACATACGAATTTTCTTGATTTACTAAAATGGTTTATAAAGAATAATTGTTGCACAGTTAAAGAAGTTGTAAAAAGGCGCCAATTTCTTGTTTTTTATTCCCTAAGTAATTCTTTCAATTTGGACAACGTTCATACTATTCTAAAGTTTGTAAAGGGTTTTTACTTGTTATAGAAACCGTCGGTGTTTTTTTTTTAGGGAAAACATTCTGTTTGGGTTAAATAACCTACGTAGAAGATGTCTAGTAATTGATTTCTTAGTCGATAACATGTGTATTCGGTCTTTTTGAAACTTATTAGAAACTTATTGATTTCTTTATTTCGTAGTTGTTTATCAAAGGAGTAAAAAACACAAAAAAAGAGAAAGTAATTAAAAGTTTAGCTTAATGAATAAAGAAAAGGAAAATGTCGGGGATAATGAATATTCAATAAATCTATTAATTTATATATAAATTACAATAAAATCGAAATCTGAGAAGGAAAGAGATGAGTTGATAAAAGGAAATTACTTTTATAGAAAAAATGCATGAGATCTTGGTCGTTCTTAGTATCGCTATTCTTATTATATAATCTAATTCTATAATAAATAAATAAATAAATACGGGGAAGGGTGCAAAGTTCACTCTGCGTTCGACCATTAATCGCCTTTTTCTCTTCACCTCTGTCATCAATCATTCGATTAATGTTCACTTAAATGAGAGAGAAAAAGATGAAAGGAAAGCGACAAAGCACGAGGGAGATATATACTGTATATACATATCTCTTGTCATTCTAAACATTTTTTCAACACTAGCAAACAGTTTGGTTGTTGGTTTAGAATGTTTTTAATTTTGAGCAAAAACCAAAAACCAAAAGGAAAAAAAAAAACCTCAAGATCTTATGATAAAAACTTTCCAACTGCACGCAGCCAGAGGCTGGAACGTCTATCAATAACAATCTCGAATATTTTCTACGAATATAAAAAACCAGCATCCTTTCACGGCGCACCGAACTTGACGCTCTGTATTGAAAAAAACGCCTATTCAACGCCGCCCGGTCGGATGATTATCAATTTATAGTACGGGTTTTTTTTCTCTATCTTTCGTACAGGTATTGCTCGAGCATCTTCACCTACCACTTCCGCTATTTCGACACCTATAACCAGTTTGGACGCCTCGGAGATTATGGAGAATTTCGACAGACCCAGAAGAGCTAGTAGTAGATCAAAACAAAGAAAAAAAGACAAGAAGAGAAACATGCTACCAACTAGAAGCCAAGATGATAATTGTAAACAATCTAAATTGAATAGAACTTACTCAAACGAGTATAAGATAAAAAAAGTTGTATTTGATGGATACGACATAACAACTCGTCCAGTTATGAATGATAGCGTTGCTATGACAGTTGTAATTGGAATGTCATTATATCATATCCTTGATACGGTAAGTTAAACTGTAATAGTTTGTTTTCTTTTCTTTTCAAAACGTATCTCTTTCATTTCTTCTCTAAAAGTGTTCAATCTTTCTCTCTCTCTCTCTCTATTTCCCCATACTTTACCTTCTTTCTCTTTCCTTATTACATAATTGTTAATAGTTAAGACTTCAGCTCTTTTACTATCGTAACCTTGACTCTTATTTGATGATGATCATTAATTTTATAAGGAAAAAGAAAAGAAAAAACAAGAAAAAAACACCCAAAGATTATCCGTAAATTACTTAATAAGCTACTTTTGAAATTATTAAAGAAAAAGTAAATCCTATTATACTAATAATTTTCATTAAAATGAATATAAAAAGAACTCTTCCAGACAGAATTTCTATATAGGAGAAAATTAAAAGAAGTTCATAGGCCTAGATTGTGTACAGTTAATAAAATATTTCATTACATTCTATATTGGTAATAATTGTAATTTGAAGACTCGCGTTAGTTTTTACCAACAGACTCTAAAATAGTGGAAACGCTCTATAGACGCTTTTTAAATAATAAAAAAAAATTCACTTGCGGTAACAGCTTAAGCGGAAAGGTTCTCTTTTATTGGGAGAGAGAGGAGGAAGGGATTTATTGTCAAATATTCCGTTACATCGAAAGAGTGACTTTGGCTTTCCCTATGGGACTTTGTCACTATGTAACCTCTCTCTAACTTTCTCTCCATCTTCTCTCCCAGTCGAAGGAGCCGTGGTAATTAAGTGATAAAAAAAAGCCTGATAAAATCCTCCTCGTAGGAGCTTGACTTTTTCTCTATATGGAGGGAACAAATATCCATCTTAGCTTCTGCATCACTGATGATACTAAATAGTCATAGTAATCACGTCTCTTTTAGACATACCCTATCTCGCTCAGGAAGTGAAAGAAACGATGGCTTTTTTATGAGGTAAAGAGCTTTGGAGAAGGCATATAAGCATCCTAAGCCCTTGAAAAATATTACATGTACCTCAAAAAGGTAGATTGATAGGAAGAGAGAGATGGAACGGATATCTTTAATAAACAACTGAACATACTAGAAGAAATCCTTCCGTTAGCCGTCACATTTTACGGAAAGAGAAGAGACCGAGTCAAAGGCATTTATATTTATATTTGTACTTATAGGATGTCTGATCCACGGTCCAAATCGATATACGAGACGGCTAAACGTCGCTCAAACAACTCTAGGTCTACCTTTTTTTCCCGGTAATCTTATAAAAGATATAGGCCCCGTAATCCTCAAATATCTCTCTACTTATATAAATGTGTATATAAACTATTATAAAAGCAAATTGAATGGTTAAAACCTCGAAAAACTTTGGTTAAAGCTAAAAGAAAAGAAAGAAAGAGAAATTGAGGAGAAAGAGAAAAGGAAAGCTGTTATAATATTTAATATCCTCCTAAAGCCTAAATCCAAAGTAAAATCATGTTTCGAGCTGTTTACGTAAAGGTCTATTGGGGAAATTAGATATTTTTCAAATATCTCTTTCTTACCAAAGATAAAAGAAAGTAAGAAGAATTTCTAATGAAATTCCAGGTTGAATATTTTCTTTTTGGAGATTTCCTCTCTCTCTCTCTCTCTCTCTCTTTAGATATATTAGTATATACAGCATATATATATAAATTCCTTTCTCTTTTCCCTTTTTCATCTCCCCTACGTTCGACCTTCCTCCTACCCTCCCTCTCTAACCCTCCTTTCTCATTCTCTTTATCAAACTACATAGATAAAAGCTATTTCAAAAAGCTATTGCAGTTTTTCCTATTACAGTCGCTTTCATCAAATAGACATTGCTGAACAAATAGAAGAAATTCTATTACCTTCTACAAAATACTTTAAGAGATGACAAGTTTTAAGTTTCGTAAAAGTCATCATAGTTTATGAAAAGACTATAGAAATGACAAGGATTTTCTGAAAATATAACATAAAAGCAATAAACATAAACCCTACCGAAGGCGGTTGAAAAAGACAAACAATCTATTACGTAGACCAATTAATTAAAGGTTGGCCAATTTTGTTACTTTTTTACTCTAATCAACAAACAACAAGAATTTTCTTTGTACATCTAAAAAACTGGATAGTTGGATTGTATTAATTGGACTAATAGGAAACTTTTTGCAGTAGGCAATCCGATATCTCTGATATATAGAGTATTGGCTAAATCTAAACATGTAAATAAAAGCAAACAATCCTCACTATTCTACTACGTGTAAAAAAACCTATGCTCTTATTTTTTTCCATTTTCTTCATCATCATTATCATCCTCTCCCCTTCTTTCTCTCTCTCTCTCTCTAGTATTAATTTATGTGAAAAACTTCCAGATATGGTTTATATTCTAATTTTGTTCTCTTCACGTTTATCTTAATTTTCCCTCTTATCTTTTCTTTATCATTTAGAATGAAAAAATGCAAACTTTATCAGCCCTAATCGCCCTGAGACTGGTGAGTAGATAGAACTAATATTTACAGGGGTAATGGAGATAATAGAGTTAATTAAAGCAGAGATGGACGGATGAGTATTTGGCTTGGAACTCTTCGGAGTACGGCGATATAAAGAAAATTTGGACGCCGGCAAGAGATATTTGGCGACCTGATATAGTAATAAATAACTTGTAAGTAAAAAGTAAACAGAGCATTGAATGATTTATAGAATTTGCATTAATTTAAAATAAATTAAGTAAAGAGAATGACGAAATGGTGATGTAAACGTTTGTAATGTTCTTTTGGACTAAATTACAAACTTTCAGTTGAATAAATCCAATTACGGGCAACAAACAATACAATGGCGTTTGAAGGTAGAAACAAAGTTTTGATGTAGCAAGAAAAAGAAGCGTGTGTATATTAATTTGCCTAAAGCTAATTTAAATTTTTCCCTTACGATCTATCCCTTCCCTTTTCCCCCTCCTCCCCTTCCCCCTAGACAAAGTCTTCCCCTAACCCTTCGCCCCCCTCCTCCTCCTACTCCTCCTCTTCGCTTTTTCTTTCTCTACTTCAACTTTGATAAGCGCATTAGCATTTTTAACAAGAAGAAAGAGATCAATGAGAAAAGGTTATAACTCGCCTCTAAACGCAGTAAATGTATTTATTATACGAAATTTGATTTTTTATTTACCTAAATATAGTTTCTATCTATAGAATTTCACTACAAATTGACACATTGAATAATGTACATCAATCATTAGCACCAATTGTCTAATCATTCCAAAGTAATTTTTAATTTATTCATATTTAATTATTGTTATGAATACATTAAAGTAAGAGGAAAAAGTTCATAGAAGGGCTCATTTAAATAAATAGCTACTATCGTTTAAAGAAAAGGACGAGTTCTATAAACGTGTGGGAGGGGATAGAGAGATAGAGAGAGAGAGAAAAAAGAACACAGAATGTTTCCTCATCAATTTCTAAACTTGTCACACCATATAGAGTGACTTTTCCAAAAATATGGGTAATGTATAGTTTGACCTTTTGGAAGTTAAATAATTAAATGTCGTGAAGCCTTTAATCATATAATTTACAGTTTGGCGATAAGTAAAATATTTCGTAAAATATAAATGAAACAAGATTTAAAAAGTTAATTGCAGAATTGCAGTTGTTAAGCTTTTTCCTTCTTTTCTTTGTAGTTTTATATTTAATACATAAATAAACAAACGGATAAAGCTTAAAAAGTTTAACCTTCACCATTTCGTTTTGTACTTTAATGTTTCTTTTTTCACGCGTCAAAGTCGCCTATGAAAAAGGAAAAAGTACAAAATAACGAATAAACTGTAGCTGCTAGTTTTTACTTAAATGAATTAAATAGATTAAACGCTTCAGCGCCGACGACTCGTTCAAAGATTTCCAGGATACGAACGCTATTATTAGTAGTGATGGTGGTATTCTGTGGATGTTTCCGGCTGTCGTCAAAACCTACTGCACATTGGATGTTCGACATTTTCCATTTGACAAACAAAATTGTGCAATAAAGTTTATCTCTTGGACTTTTAATGGTTTCAAATTGAACGTAAGTTCATTCAATATTTTCATTTTTGTTTGAATTGTTTGGGAAGGTAAAAAGTAAAAAAGTTGTGAAAAATAGCAATTTTTCATACAGCCAATTTCCTGAGTATAAATAACGTTTATTGGCCTAAAATCGATAATTTTTTTATTTCCGTTTAATGTGGCAAGATTAATGCATTTTATTAAAAAAAAATTGAACATTAGCAATTTATTAATAGCAATTCTAATCGCAAATTTCATTGATTTATTGCTTAGTTCAAGAATAGGTTCTGTTGTGATTATTCTTAAGTAAACCCAGCCAATATTGTTATCTAGAACAATACCCGAATCTTTACAATTGAATACAAAACTCCCCAGTCTAATAGTTCTATTTCAATTCCTGATAGATCAATGGCGCCTCCTCATTCTCTCTTTTCTTAGTTTTTATTTTTCTTGGACGTTTTTCTTTATTTAATCCTTTCCTCTCCCTCTCTCTCTCTCTCTCTCTCTCTCTCTCTCTGTGTGTGTGTGTCTTTGTCTCTCTTTCTCTTGACTGAGTTTCTGGAATAGACAAACGTGATTTGAAAAGAATCCAACAGATTACAACCTACTTTTTAATTATGCATTAAGATATTAAGTAAAAAAAAAACAATGGTCGATTACTATCGTCAATAATTACTATTTTAGTAATTGGTATACCTAATATTTATTGAATTTAACTTTACAATGACTGAGCTATCATCTACACAATAACCTTTACAGAAGAAAACTGTAAAAGAGGGGTTAACGCGGGAAAATAGGAGAGAAGGAGAATGATATAGGCTCAGAGGAAGAGAGAGAGAGAGAGATGGGGAAACAGAAAGGCAAAAGAGAAGAGCATCATTCCTTTAAAAAAGGACGCACAATGGTCCCACACAATTTGCCAACAAAAGCAAATGGCTTTTCCATAAGCCTCAGTATATCTCAATCCCAGCAAGACTTTTACAATTTTAATCCTTCCTTCCCTCTTTTAGCCATCTCCTTGAAAAGAGAAATAATTTCTCAGCATTTTCTCAGTTTTTCTCTATATTGACCTCAACTTGTCTGAAGAGACAATGGATTGTTTATCTATCGTATTTGTCTTGTCTAAACGTTTGCGAGAATATTGTAAAATCAGCCCCGATTCCATGGTAATTATAATCAATTATCTCCGCTAACTATTGGACTAATTTGCAGGGGACATTAAGTGAGAGAGAATTGAGTATATACAAATCTTCTGTTATCTCTTAGCCCTACTCCTCTCATGGGTTTTCTTTTGTTCCCATTAGAATGTACTTAATTAAAAAAAGTTTCACTTTTCTAATTCGGACAAGGGAATAAACGATCGTTTAAAGGGAGGCTAATTGATTCCTCTTCTCTTCTCTTCTTTCTCAATCTTTTCTTTTCCATTTCCCTGCTAGATAGCTCGTAGATATCGAATACCAACAATAGGATAGTTTTTCGTTTGCCACTTGATTTTCACTAGACAAACGCCACCTATAGGTGTACACGAAGTGAAGATTATATTAAGTGGTTTTATAGTGAACCACTTAGAACACTTGGCGTACATTTCGAGTTGTTTCTTTTTTTCGTTGTCAATTTATCATGCATGCTTTAATAGCTTCATCTTAAGTAGGAAGAAATTCGACCCTATTACTTTCTCAATACTTTACCTTTCAACTGGCTTTTTATTTCTATCGAATTGTTTTTTGTTTAGTGTAATAAACAGATTTTTCTTCATTTTACCATACGCAGGTCAATTACGACGAATCAGAAAATAATACGGTCTACTATAAGCCAGATAATCAAGAATGGTACGTAAGCAACATTACTACAGAACGAAATGAGCAATTTTACGCCTGCTGTCCGGAACCTTATCCCGATGTTACTTTTACCATTCACATGACCAGAAGGTCATTGTTTTACGTAGTGAATTTGATTTTTCCGTGTTTGCTCATCTACGCCGTAGCCTTCCTGGGCTTTTTTCTACCTGTTGAGAGTGGTGAAAAAGTCAATTTAGAAATTACCATCCTTCTCGCCCTTGTGGTCTTCCTCCTAATTGTTGGGGAAACTCTTCCACCTACTCCAGATGCAATACCAGTTTTAGGTCTACTCTTTGGTACTACAATGTTGATGGTGTCCATAGCATTGGTTATGGCAGTAATAGTAACAAATATCTACTTACGTAAGGATGCCCAGAGGCCAGTTCCTAATTGCTTACGTTATTTGTTTGGCATGGAAAAGTGCAGAAGGAAAATGGAATCTCCAAAAATTCGTGCTGTAGGTGATGCTCGCCCATTACGAGAAATTCGCGACGCTACCATTGAGTTAGATTCATTATCTATAGAACGTAATCATATTTTTGAAAGAAGGAGATCAAGTGACTCACGAGAATCAATTTCACATGATAAAGATTGGCTGATCCTAGCTAAAATTGTTGATAGGATTTGTTTTTGGATTTTTTTATCAGCCAGTGTTACTGCAATATCAGCAATGTATATGTCAATTCCTTCCTTCAATACATCCTAAGTGTTTCATTTCTCCTTTCATACTTTTGACCATCTTTAGACAATTCATTCTGCTCTCTTTCTCTCTTCATCTTTTACAGTTACATATACACACACACACACACACACACACACAGACACACACACACTCTCTCTTTCTATCTCACTGCATATTTGTTTCAATTTAATACGTATTTAAAAGTAACTCTTTATATTATTATTACATTGTTATGTTTCATCTTTGAAAACAAAAACTCTACAATATATAATGTACTCATTTGAATATTCATAAGTTAACAACTAAAATATGAGCATTTTACTTAAAAACCATTGTTTATTTAAACTTTATATTGAGTGATGAACATAATCCGAATAATAACAATAATAATAATAAAGAAAATTGAATGATAATATAATTTGAACGTTGATTTTTTGACTTTTTACCATCTTGCTGTTTCCATTATCTACGACCTGTTTCTTGTTGAGATACAGCTTTAACCGTCTTTCCTCTCAAAGAGGGATGATGAGGTTGCTTCATAAGTCAATGAACTACGTACAATAGGTTAAGGAGGAAAGGTTTCATTAGGTGACAGAGAAAGAGAAGAAAAAATATGCGAATGAATGAATGAATAAATGAATGAACAAATGAGAGAAGAGTAAGTAAAGAGAAAACGTCTGAGAATAAGAAAGAGTACGAAGAAAGGAGAGGAAAATAACAAATTATTTTTTCAGGCAGAAGATATCCGCGTGACTACATTTTCATACAAAGAACGTATACCAAACTGCACTCTTTCGTGCAATTTTTATAATATACTAAATATAGACTACACAAGAATTATAAAAGTCATAATTATTCTTTATATCATTCACACTTTCTCTTCTGGAAAATACAGCTTTTCCTCTTGTTCGTAGCGTCTAAAGAACTAATCGAATTATGCAAACTTTTATCACTTTTGATATGACGTTTTCTTTAAAAAATCATTTAATTTAATATTCTTTATCATGTATTTTTGTAAATCATCACATTGTTTCTTATGTACATCGTTAAATAAAAAAAGAAGCAACCAAAGGCCTATTATATGTGATATGTATACGTCAAATTGACTAGTTCAAAAAAATTATAGGAGAAAATATCTTCTTTTTTAACAAAGCACCAACTCGCGCCAAAGTTTTTTTTATTATTATTAAGTATATCTCTCCGAAAGATGGAATAGGACGAGGAGAGTGGGAGGAGGGGTGGAGGGAGGGAGGGAGAGAGGGAGAGAGAGAGAGAGAGAGAGAGACGAGGGAGAGAGGTGTAAGGCGCTCAGTTTATCGTATGGATGCATGAATCGACTTCATTATGTGTATAGTTGATTTTGTCGTTGTTGAGTGAAAATTGGTGACGCGCCACCTAGCAGGTTATTCACCTTCGCCTTCGATCCTGTTTAATGAGAGATAAAGAAAACTATTAGTTGTTAATTAGTTAAGATATAAAAAATAAACGAGGAGTGTGTCAATTAGTGAAGGATATTTAAAAAGAAAAAGGTGCTATTCTCTGCTAAATTTAATGGTAAAAGAACCAAGAAATTTATCTTTTCTATTTATAGGAAAGCTAATTTTCAAATGATTTTTTTTTCTTTTGTTTTTCTAAGTATTCATTTCTATTTTTAGCAATTGAAAAAAAAGAAAACAAACTAATAATAACACACAAAATAACCCATAAAATATAGAAAAATTACATTGTAATTATAAAAAAGCAAGCTAAAATCGAGTGTATGAAAATAATGATAAAGGTGGCTTCGCATTCTCCTCTCAAAGGGCATTCGAAGATGTGATTTATCATCGGAATGATTAAGAAATAACAAAAAATCTAAATAATAACTATATCTTTCTTTTGTGGGGTTGGTTCAATCAAAGAAAAACCAAAATAATAATAATAATTATGATTGACAACATTGAAATAACAAGATAGTGACGTGCCTAATTGATAAGAGCTTCCCTATAACCGAAGATTTTCAATTCCGTTCCGCAACGCGCTACGGGGACAAGATAAGACGCTTATCCAATACTTATTACCACGCAAAAGAATACTCACCTATATTTGGTGGCGGTCTTCCCGTTCTTTTTATTACTAATTTTAATTTTGAACCTCCGTTTTGAATAAGATCAATTGCTTGGGAGTGAGTCATTCCTGCTGTATGACAGCCGTTTATTTCGCATACTTGATCACCGACCTGTTACGAGAGAATTAACATTAAAAAATTTTGTATGATAAACAAACAACAACAAGTTTCATAGACAATTTTTTTACTCTTCTGTAGAAAGGGGAAGAAAATTCGTTTAATAAATACGCCACCTAATTCTTAATTGCAATGTTTTTACAGCTATAATAAAAAATTAGAATTAAAGAAACCTTTAGTTGTCCATTTAGAGCGGCTGCTCCATCGTCTGCTATTTTCAGTATATAAAGCGGCATTGAATTAAATTCTTGTCCTCCTCTTATACTAAATCCAAATCCTCTACTTCCTCTGTGTAATTCGATTACGTGGAAGGATCCTTCACTTGTCTCTTCGGGAGGCAGCTGTTATTAAAAAGAAGCCATTTCACCGACAGCCAACATTTTCACAGTGAAAACTGTTGTCTTTCGTATATTCATGAATGATTTATGAAAGGGAGTTCCTCTCAAGTGATAAACTTTTCTGTTAGACAATAAAAATCTACACTTGTACACACGCACACACACGTTGAGAACGTATAATGACATTCTCTTCTATTCTCTATCTATCTATTTATCTATCTATCTATCTATCTAAGATCTCACTCAACCTCATTTACAAATTGATACATTAAGTTATCTAAACACTCTTATCTAATTAACTAGAAACATTGAAAGCGGGAGGAAAAAGATGTTAAAAATAATGCCAGCACCTGCTGTACGGAAGAAGCTGCAGAGGACGACGCCAACTGCTCTAACTGACGTTGCCTTACCATTTCTCTATGCCGCTCAACAATTTGTTGCGGAGGATGTCGAGATCCGCTGAGAATAAATATTGAATTAAAATATACAAAATATAAAGAATAACTTGCTATAAGCAGTTATAATAAAAAAGAAAAAAAAAGCCTTATTCTTCAAAATGTTTACTTGTTATATGCTGGTAAATGTTCAGCAGATGCATAGTTATTTAAAGTAGATCCTTGCGAACTCTGAAAATGGAAAGGCGAAGACTATAAATAAAAAAATTGTGTCCTTAATAGTTTCTCAACCTACTTTTTGCGATGTTGATGTCGTACTAGAAGCATCATCTGTAGAGAAGCGAAATGACAAAAATGTATTATAATTACATAATGATATTATGATTTTGAAGAAAACAAATAAAAAAAAACAAAAGAAATAAAACCACAAAATAGGAAAAAGAGACATTTTATCTCTTTAAGTCAAGCTTACAAGTGCAAAACAAGAGAAATATATACAGTATATATTTCTCTAGTATTTCATATTTGAATCATAAATCATCAAAAGATTATAAATTGATATATCTATATGTACAGTATATATATATATATATATATACTGTATATATATATTTGTATGTATGATATAAAATAAAACGTATTGGAACGTTTTACAAACTCCTTTTTTCTTTCCTTTAAAGCTTTTAATCTTTACATTAGTTTAGTTGAGTAGAGAGAAGAAAATGTAAAATAGAAAAGAATTTGTGAGTAACTCTGTAAAAACAGGAAGAAGAAGAAAGAGAGAGGTGTTCAAGAGTAAATAGAGGTTTAAAAAAAAAAGAAAATATCATCAAATTAGTTTAGCATTTTGAATTGATTAATGCTTTATTTTCTTTTTTTTTTTGTTTTGTTTTGTGTGTATAAATTCTATTTTTTATTTCGTTTCTCTCTTTTATAATTTCTAATTTTTTTTTCTCTTTTCAATTGATAAACATTTAAATTGATACAATCGTCTTACATTGTTCAAGTAAAGCCTTTATGACGAGTGGATGGGCTATTGCAAGTGTGATGTTGTTACAAATGTCTTAAATAGTATTCTTTTTTATTTCTTTTTTAAAGAACATATACTGTATGTACAGTATATATACAATCCTATTTATAATAAAAAGAAATTAGCTTACCCATTGGTGCTCCTATGGTGAGTGTTACTGACAGGCCCGACTCTTTGATTAATTGAACAATCTGAAATTGGAAAAAATAAATCATTATCTTTTATGCATCTTTGCAAAAATTCTTCTTAATTAATAGGGAAGCGGTATCTTATTAATTTTAAACCTGAATTTCTTTTTTATTGACTTACGTGTTCGTGGTGCATTCTTCCTATATCCATTCCGTTAACTGCTAAAATTCTATCGCCAACGTGCAATTGTCCCTCTCTTTCTGCCGGACTCCCTTCGATAATTCGACCTAATTAGAAACGGTAAACGTAATTAATTTATTGATAATCGGTTAACCTAAAAGAGGTAAGAAAAACAGATAGCAAAAAAGTATAAAAGTAATATTTTATTAATCAATTCATGCTAAACAAATCAATCTTAAATCTCATTAGTAAATATATTTGGCGCTAATCTCTGTTTAGTCCTCACCAACTACAGCGTACGATCGTTTCCTTGGCATCGTCCAACTATTTCTTCTTAAGCCTTGTATAGCCCTATTTCTACGTACTAAAACATATTTGTTCAAAATAACTTTTGTTCTGATAAATATTTACGAAGAATTTTATTTCTTTTTACTAATCATTTCCCTTTGTTAGTTTCTTTAGAATAAATGCTATATATATATAGTATATAGAGTATATAGATACATGTATATAACATTAAAACAGTATATTCTGCATATATACTGTATATACAGTATATATATATATATATATATATACAGTATATATAATGTACGTATAAAGGGAAAATGGGCTAAGGGTGGGGAACGGTGAGGGAAATTTAAGAGGAAAGGCGAAGACTAGATTTACGTACCAATTGTGCTTCCAGCTCTAGCGACTGAGGAGATAATGACGAATCCAAACCCTTCGTCATGACGTCTTGTTACGGTGACGTCGTACGGATAGTAGTCGTCATTAAATGAGGTTTTGCTTTCTTGCAAGAGTTGTCTTCTCACACCCAAAGCTACCCGTCCAGCTATAGACGCTTGGCTCATTAATTCTACAACTCTTTTGTGAGATGAACCTATTACGTCCACACCGTCAACGTTAACTATTTGATCACCGTGTTGCAATCTAAAAAATTGGAAATATTTCTTTATTGTTAAAACATTTTGTCGCTAAGGAAAGAGTGATTACCTTTGATCGAGATCTGCTGCACCTCCCTGTACTATATGTCCAACAGATACTTGAGACCCTTCTTCTGTTCCACCCACGATTCTAAAGCCGAAACCATTTTCGTTTCTCTTAAGAAACACCGTCAAATCAACGTGCCTTTTCCGTCCATACGTTTGATTTTTATTTCTCAGTAACATTGGCTCTTCCCTTTCGAAAGAAGTAGTCACATGATGATTCATAATACCTCCCATGGACACTGAAGTTTTCAAGTTTGACGGTGTTGGCTCTCTTGAGCGATAGTGCTCAGAAATGGGTCTTTCTTTTCGTTCAAAAGCAGCAGCTGGTATAAAATCTGGAGTGGCGGAAGTAGGTGTTCTGGAACGCATTTGCGAAGGTGTAGGCGTCTTAGACCTTTTTATTTCGTGATCTAAGGCGCTAGTACTTCGAGTAGATTCTGGACCCGGCGTCCTCGATCTCAACGGATGTCGACCATAATTTAAAGAGGACCTAGCGGATCTAGAATGGGAAGATCTAGGCGGAGCAGGAGGTGGAGGGACGTCGTATTTATGAAAGCGGCCTCCAACAGGTATTGCAGGAGCCATATCCGGTTGTTCAGTGATACCTATATAAAATTTTACATATCATTAATTCATCAACTACATTAAATATAAAAAAACAACTGGGAGCGAGTATTCTCAATCTATTATCTATTTAAAAGCTGTAATTGTATACTATTCACCGTATAACACAAATCAAATTGAATAGATAAATAGATAAATAAAGAAAATATATGCATATACTATTATCATATATAGCATATATAAACGACTTGCAAGCTCTCAAATACATCTATATCATATATTATATTATATTATAATGTCACATGACTCAGCGTCGATAGAAATAATCCGAATAGTTTGAGAGCATACTTTCCCTTTCTCCTACTATATAAATAGGCTACTAAACTGAAATATATTATAACGTTCCCTATACGTAAAAATCTAAAAGAAATACTATATACGTCTATATCAAATAGAGTTTACACAGTGAAAACATATACATGTATACATAAAGCAGTCATGCAGTAAATTTCTTCAAAGTGCTAACTAAAATTATCGCATATAGTACATATAATATTCTATATAAGCTTCTACAAAACTAATGTTGTATTACTATTATTAATTTATTGTTGTTTTTAAGGTTTTATTCTATTTTTTTTACCGTTCGATTGCCTAGGAGCTTTAACCTTCTGTTTCTCTTGCCGCTTATCTTCCTCTGTCACAAAATTCCATCTAATAAAAGTTTCCAACAAAAAAAAACGAAAAAAATATTGGCAAATAGCCAATGCGTAACTAAAAATTCCCAACAGTCAACTGTAATTAGTCACAGTAAAATAAATAAGTTCAAGCAGGAATGGGAGAAGATAAACGAATAAAAAAAAACCGGGACTAAATAAACTGTGTATATTGTTTACGGTTTAGAAAGCGCTCTTTCTTTCCCTATTTTTTTTGTTTACTCTTATTCAAAGTAATAAAGAAGGTAATAAATTTTCTTCCTTATATAAATATAATAAATACATTAGATTAGGAAAATATTCTTTTTTTCTTAGTTCGGAAATGTAAACCGGTAGGAAATGGAATATTTTGCTTACCGTTCGAATGATTTCCAGCCGGTGAATGGGGTGAACGAAGCCTTTGAACAACAAAAGTTGTCATTTGTCCCATAGGGCATTCGATTAAAATTCCAACAACATCTGAATGCGTTATATTCTTTACGTTGATTTTATTGACAGCGACTAAAACATCTCCTTCTTTAAGATTTTTGCACCTTCCCGCATCTAAAATTTGTTTAACTCGTTGACCAAGGGGTGAGTCGGCTATCGTAAAACCAAATCCCATAGGTCCTTTGATAATTTTTACGGTTATTACATCATTTTCACTATCGGTTAACGTTCCAACTACATAAGCGTCTCTGTCGTCCGAGTTATTTATATCTGGTATGCATACTTTTACTATTTCCGTATCCGGATCATTAATATTATAGGGAAGAGGATATCCTCTGCAGATATCAAGATGAACAGTTCCATCTAGTCTTTTAAACATACTAACAACATCCTGGTGCGTACATCCCAATACGCAGCTATCGTTGATTTTAACTAAAACATCGCCTTCCCTCAAGCTTCCCTGTCTGTCTGCAGCACCTCTAGGAACGATGAATTTTACCTGGAGAAAGTCTTCGGCGTAATCTCCATCACCTCCAATAATTGTAAAGCCAAATCCTTCATTAGGTGGTTTGGTTAATGTTATTTGAAACCTTTCACCGGTTAATTGGTTAGGATCTCGAGTAAAGAGACGTTTTGGAGGAATTTCTAAAAGAAAAAAAAATCGCAGGATATGAAAAAGAGAATAGGGTCTATGTATAAGAAAGATTGTACCAACCGGGAGTTTCACTCCGGCTATTATTACCATTCATTTCTGGTGGAGGAATTGGAGGAGGTACTGGACGTCGTTCAAGTTTATTGCCTAAATTAGATAAATAAATAAATAACCAAATATAGAAAGAGATAAAAATAAAAAAAAAAAAGATGACAATTTTTATCATTTACCTTTTTCAGCCAAATTTTTTGCAGCTTTTATGGGATTTTCATACTGAGTTCGCTTATTAACGTGGCTATAAACGAGAGCAGAATAAAAAAAAAATGATTAAATGCATTTAGAAAGCATATATATTATTTTATCTGTATAGTATTATTATTATTATTATTAAAATTAGGAAAATACAAAAAAACTTACTCAATATAATAAACACCGTATTGCGGATCAAACACCTTTTCCCATCCGTATGGCAAATCTGGAATAAAAGTTGGAGCTTTGTAAGATAAGAGATAAAAATAAGTTATCTTGGAAAATTTTACACGTGTTCTTAATCATTAGATTAGTTTATCTATATTATTACATTTAAAAAAAATAAAGCCAATTAAAACATTTATATGAAGAGCAAATGTAAAAAGGAGGGAGAGCGACAGACAGATAGTCGAAAAAAAAAAAAAAGAGTTTAGGAGTCTGATAATGGATTATGGATGAATAAGGAAGAAAGAAACCAGGCGTCTTAAATAGGAGTGAGTGAGCTGGAGAGAGACAGGGACAGAGAGGCAGAAAGAGACAGACACAAAGAAGAAGGTACAGGAAAAATAACATACTAAGAGATCGATTAGAAAGATGTGAAAGGACCGTAATAATGATAGCTTTAGGAATACGGGTCCTTTCTCTTTTTTCTTGTCTTTTCATACCAATACTACAATCAGAAAGCGTATTCGAGAGAGAGAGAAATTAAAGGTATTTCTTATTAAAACTTTTCATGTTAGTTTGACAAATTTTAATAAGATTTTCTGTCATCTATATTATTAATATTATTGATATATACTTGTATAATTCACCTAGCGAAACTAACCCTAACTTATCGCTCTCTTCTTCCGATTAACAATAATAATAATCATAATGATAATATAATTTATAGCTACAGAGATAGATAGTAAGAAGAGATTTTATATCGTTTTTTAACGTAATAGACTTGTACACATTTTTAATTAAAGTTTAAAAGAGAAAGAGAAATAAACTATAGTAATAATAATAGTAATAATGATAATAATAATATATCCGCCTTCATCATCCAAAAACATGCATTTGTCTGTATAATCCGAATAACCGCTATCCAAACTAATACCGTTATTTAATTGAACAACTAGACAATTTTCACTCTCTGTTAAGAGTAGGTCGTCCATTTTTTTTTAAAATATAGCACAATTGAACAATATTTTCAGTATTAAACTACTCAAAGATCATCAAACCAATAAAAAGTTCTACCTCTACCATAATACCTCTTTTTCTCTATTGATTTGAATTATTCACGTAGACGGAGAATATCGAACGGTATAATATTTACGTAATATATATATCATTGCCACACCGACAAAAAATGAAGCAAAGTCAGAAAGAAAATGCAGTATTAATCCAAGGGATTTTCGTTGGCTACTACTTTAGGCCTAACAGCTGATAAAGGATTACACCGCTCAAGCTAGAAACGTATACATGTGTAGACAAAATAGAAATAAATAAGGCGATGACTGAACTATAAAATATCATTTTCCCTTTTTGGTACAATTCTATCTTTATCTTTCTCTCTCTTTCTTCTTTCTCTCTCCCCCCTCTCTATTCTCAACCCACCCCTGCAACCTCAAATACATCTATGAATAATTTCCTTTTTTCATATTCTTTTTATGGGTGCTGAAGCACGTGTACAAAGATTAAGAAGACGCGGGGGCGATAGCGGAAACTAATAGTAAATATCTCTTCATTTAATTTAATCAATCAAGGAGCGTTAAATTTTTTTTCTACAACTTATGAAAGCAATCAAGCGAAAATATAGATAAGACAAGCATAGTAGTAGTGGCAACTCCTTTAGAGTGTCACTCACCCTCCTCCGACCGAGCGTCTAGTAGGTCGACGACTTGCCGTCGACTTAAATAACTCATTTCGCGCCAAACTTCATCAATGGTGCCATCTACCGATTATTACTACATTAATACATCTTGCTCATATCCATTCGAATATGATAAATGCTTCTTAATAAAAGAAGATGAAATAAAAGAATGATTTCGAGAGTTGATACAATATTTACATACTGTATATGCAGTGGATAAATATATCCATCTATGTACGCATTAATATGGCATGCGCATATAGATTGATATATACTGTATATATATATATATATTACATACCTTATACTGTATATATATACATATATATATATATATATATATATATATATATATATACATAAACCCAAGTATTGGCATGCATAATTCAGGTACATTCATAAAAGAGATATTTAAATAGGAAAAGAAGAGGAAAAGGAACAAGAAAAAGATGAAAAAACTTTTCAAAAAAGGAAAAATTGTTAAGTAATAAAAATTAATTAGAAAACTACCTGAGTTTTCCTTTTTATTCGTCTGCTTAGCAGATAGACGAGGATCAAGCCAGCTAGTCGTCTGGGTTTCGTGACTGAAATAAAAGAGGTTATATCATGTTAAATATTGCTTTAAGTTTTTTTTTTACTAATTGGACATATCTGATTTTCCATTTTTGATTAATTTACTAACTTACGAATACTTAAGAAATAATATCATATAATAGTATGTATATGAATTGAAGAGATTATCGCTTATTAACTATCGACGTAATTTTCTAGCCTCTCAGTCAATTTAAATTGATTAGCAATGAATTTATTAGGAGAAGAGATTATCTAGAAGATATTCATCCACTTTTATTGTTTGCTATTTTCTTCTCTTCTTTCTACTTGAAAATTATGAATACTTATACTAAAAGCTTCGTTGACTCACTTAATAAAATAAGGATGGCCATCCTGTGTATGAGCAATCTGCCAATTAGATGGTAAAGGCCCTAACTGATCTTTCTCCTGCTGTTCTTCCTCGTCTTCATCCTCGTCTAGACTACGTCCGTGAGCCTTTTCGAGAGATCTTTGTCTCCGTCTAGCATCGCCTTGCCTGGCCCTGGATCTCGCCTGACGATTCGCCGTATCAGCATCCGGTAAAGTCGAAATTAAAGTCGGACCATCGCGGGGTGGTTTAGGTGTTCCATATCGGTTATGATCATAAACACCACTTTCCAAGAGATTTCCTGACGCTTCGAGAGCTAAGAACTCGTCAACCGTCACGAAGTTGTAATGTACACCATTTATTTCCCCAACCTTAGGCGGTCTAGTAGTACCTGAAAAAGCAACTTTAATTAAACTAATGGCTTCGGATATTTTTCGCAACAGTATCAATTTTAACTTGGTCTTTGATGAAAAATCACAGAAGAAAAATTTGGAAAAACTGTACTAAAAGAATTTAAGAATGTCAAACTTATAATTTGTGCATGATTAAGAGGAATAGATGTCGTAATCTTTCTTTTCCTCTTCTACCTAAGGCTATTACCTCCTTAGGGAAACCAAACTTAAGAAGCATTATATAATATCAGATGTAACACGATAAAATAGCGATAAAATAGAATACACTACATAACTTAAACAAATACAATTGGTAAATCTTATGAGCAAATACTTTCCAATATCAGGGTAGGACAATAAGGCCCTATATAGTGTATATAAAAAGAGACAGAGAAAGAGAGAAGGGAGAAGCGTAATCGAATAAATCCGCCAACGTCTAGGTTGGTTGATGAACAATTGAAACTTTGTTATATTTCTATTTGTCTTTCTCCTAAGCTTAAAGTATATATTGGGAAAAGAAAACACTAGTGTAATAATCCACATTCCCATCAATTATCTAAAAAAGGTAGTTAACGCCGTCATGAGTAATTTGCAAGTAGTTAGTAAAGAAATGTAAATAACTATTTGGCTTCAGGGTAGGAAATGCAAATCTAAATTAGTCCTCCGCTATTTAATTGGGAAATTTAGCTTGAAATGCAATCAAGTAACTACCTTTTTAGACCAAAACAAAAAATTACCAGTACTATTTTATTATCAGGTCAAAGTTATTGATTAAGGTATAGCGTTGATAGGAATTTACTGGTAAATTACACACTGAGAGGTCATTTTCTTTTACAAGTGACAAAAAAAAAGTCAGGAGAAAAGGGAAAAACAGATGGCGGAAAAGGGAAGGGCGACGTCTGGGAACTTGCATATAAGAATGAATTGTTCTTTTCTTCTTTCTCTATTGATACTAATATATACAGTAATACACTATATATATATATATATATACTGTATATATATAATAGTTTTTGCGTGCGAGTTATTCGACAAAGAAGTGAAAAGAAGAGGAAAAGAATAAAAAGTGTAGAGAGAATGGATAAAAAAGAAAGAAAGAGAAAAATCGAATAATATCATCTAGTAAATCCCTATCGAACAATTGATTGGAAAAATACAATTCTTTTTTTCCAGTCGTGCACATCATTTTCCACTCAGACCGCTTTTCGCCTTGGAGCTAGTCAAAATCCATAAATTTCGTATGAGATGAAATAAGAATCATCAGCAACACCAAACATTAGAATTGTAATTTTTTCTTTTTTTGATTTCATATATTATAGAGCATGTTGTTCGAAGTTGTACTAGGCATACACTTGGGCTTTTAGAAGCAAATAAGACAGACCTTTCCTAACCCTTAGTGCTTAGTTTCTCAACGTTATTTTCTTGAAAAAGAACATATTTTGCATCGGCCCTTCTCTGTCGTCCTCCTTTAAATGGCACAGTCGCAATTACGCTAGGTAAATGCCAAAGTGAACAATAGGTAATCAAATTTACCGAAAAGACTAGAAAGGAAATTTATATTAAGTAAGATATATTTTCTCTCATTTTTTCTATTAAAGTACTTTATTTCTCTCGTTTCTTTCTCTTTTTCATTTCTCCAAAACCTTGGAATATACAGTAGAAATAGGATACAAAGGTCAATGTAAACAGGTAATACAAAGGTTTTCTTTTTTACTTGACAAAAAGAAAATCTATAGACTTTTCCATTTTTTTTTTTCATTAACCATCATGGAGATAGTATGAGAGAGAGATATATCAAAAGGTTTTAGTTCTTCTCAACGTTTTCATTTGTTAGACTTCAGAAAACTTGCAAGTTACGTTGACAGGCGAGAAGCAGCTTTTAGCATTATACACGTTATAAAATCACTACCGAAATCGATAATAAATAGGATAGAATAACATTCTACATAGACAAAATACAAAACTTCCGTCTCTCTAAGTGGCATGATCGTGTAACAAAAAACTAATTTATAAAAGGTCTGTCATTAACCTATTTTCATATTTTCCTCTTTACTCGCCGATTTGTAAACTTATGTGGAATTTTCCTCTATTTTTTTTTCCAAGACAATCTACACGTTATTGAAGTTAGGGTATTCCATTATTCGATCGAGAAGCGCCGTGAGACGCTTGGTCGAAAATTTCCTTTCTGTTTTCTTTTCCCTCCAGCTACATCTTATATCTTATCCACTTTTTCCTTTCTTTTCACAAGCATCTTACTTACGAAATATTAGCATTATTTTCCTCAGATATTGTCAAGTCGAATCGCAAGTGACGCAAAAAGAGAACGTACAAAAAAGTAAAGCGAACAGAGTACTAGACACTCAGTCTTAAGGATTGACTTAAAAAGAAGAGATGATAGGATGGGAGGAAAAAATAAAAGTATTTGTAGGCTATTGAACTATTTAATGGACAAACAGTTATGGCCTAAAAGAATTTTCTTCACCAAGTGGTTGTCCACTTCACAGTCTCTATTCAATTTCAAATGAAATTTTCTCCATTTCTTAGAGGGAACTCGAATCACATCTTGAGCTTGTTACAAACATTAATCTTTATTCTCTTTTTAAATATCGTACAAGAAAAGCTTTTTGATTTCCTTAATGTTTTAAGTAATTTGAAAGAGTCTACCTAACTTCTCCTTCCTTTTCTTAGGAGTTATATAGAGGAGAACGTGGCGAATTGTATCCGAATCTTTACTTGGTTGGAATGCGGTCTTTGGTAATAGTTTATCAACAGGAAAAGTTTGTACTTTAGCTCCAATCAATCCTCTGACCATTCCTGCACTACTATTTCACTATAAGTAAACGCCGCACGTCGATAACGTCGCGAGCTGATTGGCCGCAAATAAAGGCGTTTCTGTTTCAATTCTACGCACCGTTTATTATAATAAAAATAATGTTATTTAATTAAAACTCGCAAAGGAGAAATCTACATTTCGTAGTTTTTAATTGTCCCAGAGAAAGTTAACGCCACCATGATGTGAATTTACGACATCTTTTAACTGTCTTAAATTGCTCTCTTCTCATTCCTACCTACTAATAAACGCTATTTGATGTAAGATTAAGATACCTGCGCAGAGAATTTTAATTGAACAGTTCGATTCTCTTATCGATCAAACTGCATGCGGAAAAAGTAGGACTATACAATTACTCATTTTCTCATTTCATATATTGTTATATATACTGTACATATTGTGAGAAGAATTTTGATAAAAAAAAGTTCCTCATTGATAATTTAACGGTCTGGTGAGAACTAATTTTAATGTTTAAAAGTATAAAGAGCTAATTAAACAGAGGTTACTGTATATATCTATAAAACTGTCTATTTTCTTCACCTGCCCTCCCACTTCCTTTCTTTTCAACCCTTGCTCTTTCTCTTTTCTCTTTAAGACAACCTAAGCGAGGAGTGCTCTCTTTGATTGTTAATTAATTTTCTGTTTGTCTATAAATATATAGATATAAAAAAGGTGTATGTCGATATATTTCAGCTCCTGAGTATATTACGTTGATATATAAACAAGTATAAAGAACCTACAATATTGATGTAAAAGCTTTAAAAAAAAAATCACCAACTATTTATTTTTTTAATTCTCCAAGTGTCTACAACAGATGGCGTAACCTTTATTTTTTTATTACCAGAATTTTAGGCAAATCTTATAGGACAGGAACAGACGGCAGACCATAGGAAATTATTATTTTATATTGTTAAGAGCACTATGATAATACCTTCTCTTTTCTATCTGTTTTTTTTCTCTTGTGTGATAGAAAATTTGGAAAAGTTGATTGAATGTAACAAGGAGAAAAACGGGTCAAAGCCGGGGTGCAATTAGACACGAATGTGATGCAGAAGGTTACATTAGCATATTTAGCTTCTTGTTGAATTAGTTAATTTGAATAATAAAGAAGACAATACGAATTAAATTGGCCTAATGTCAATTAATAAAGAATGACTGTAAAAAAATAATGCAGTTTTTTTTTTTCAACTTCTTCTCTGGCTAATCCGATATTTTTTTTATAGCATAGATTAACTCTTTATGTATTGTGTAAAATCAAGTCTTTCTTCTCTTCTTACTCCTCTCATTTTCCTCTTCATTTCTTTATGTAACACTTAAAATTTGTATAATTTGGGCTTAATAATCGAGATTTTTTTTTGTACAAGTCATTAACAGGGTTCAAAAAGGATTAACCGATAATCCGTATTGTAGATAATAATTGAGAAGAATTTTTTTTTTAATTCTAACGATCCATTAGGATTAAGATTTATAATAATAATGTTTTCTTTTTTCCCTCCTTCTTAAAAGATTCTACAGGGTTCGAATGTGAATGAGAAGAGGTTTTGTTTGCTGTTCAAGTTGAACGATACAATTTCTCATTGTTCAACGTCCGTCTCGGGATAAGTAAACGATCAAAACTTTCAATTCATTTTATGCAGTAGGGAAGAAAAATCAACAAGGAAAAAATATTTCACAAAAAAGATATTAAAGGGAATTGAAGCTCAGCTCAAAAGTAAGATATAGACAGTATATAAGTTTTTTCCTTCAAAATACAACAGTGCCGCCTACGTTTGAGAAAGGTAACTAAGAAAAATTTCTATACTTACATGGAACCGTTCTGAGGTATAAATTATCCCGGATCGTTTGCTGCAGATCGTGATCCGCCGAATTCTTAGGAAATCTCGTATTCAAATAGGTTCGCAAATCTTTGGTCAATAATTGTCCTGTATAGGGGCAAAAAAGAATTGAGAAAATAGCGATATTTTGTTATTTTTTTTTTTGCGGTTTATACTAGAACCAAAAAAATAAAGAAAGAAAATTTACATATAAATATACTGTATCTATATATAAAAAGTATAAATTTTTATTCAATAGAATTGTCTTGGGGAAGAAGAAAAATTCAATTTTTTTCTCTTTCTTTTAAAAATCCAATTTTATACTAGCCAGGGTCGCTTCTTGTCAAAGATGAAGATTTGCTACGTTAAGTACCCTTGCCGAGTACAAAGTGTTAAATAGCTTAATATACACTTTTTGTTAGAGGGAAATCGAATGCGATTCCATAATTTAATCTGAATGGTAATGTTGAGTATTATTGATAGAGAACCCAGTTAAAAACGTAATATTGATTACTACTTGAGAAATACATGCGAATTGCAAAGTTTATGCAGTTAATCAATGCAATGATTTAAGTATCATCTACCTTCCTCCTCCCCCTCAACTTCTAAATATATCATTTTAATACATAATTCTTTCAAACTAGGTTAAATACAAAGTAATTTTGTCTTCTATACATATTTAGCATAGTAGCTTTACTGATCAATACTAAATATATATATATATATATGGTCTTTCTCATACTCTGTTCAAGTGGAGAATAATTTAGAACACTAAAACAAAAAAAACTGCTTTCTTATCAACTTATTTCAGATAAGAGTGACGAGTAGAAAAAGATATACATATATATATATATATATATATACATATAGGCCATTATGAATGTTAAACGTATAGATATATATATATATTTATATTTAAAGATTAGTTTATCTATTTATATCTCGTAACGGATATACATGGAATTCAAAAAAAAAAATCATTAAAGCTTCGTCTAAATACGATCCAGACTAAGAGAAATGTGACTGTGCCATAGGACCATGTTTCCAATCTATTTAATTTGCAAAATTGAATTTACGTCCACTTTGGGCTTTATTAAACAATCTATTGATTTCAACTAATCTCTGTGAATTATTCATTCCAAAAAAAAGCGATTCCTTCTGACAGCTTATCATTTATAATAATTGGACAGGAAAAAAAAAGATCAAAAGCAAGAGCAAATACAAAACGCCTTATTAAACATTAAGAGTAAGAAAAAAAAACTTTTTTTCCCACAGATAAAGAAAAAAATTATCAAATCACCACAACGAACTGTTAGTGTAGATGAGAGAGAGAGAGAGAGAGAGAGAAACAGAAAAAACTGACTTTATTGCTTATCTGTTATCTGAGATGATGAATATTTAATACGTATGTGAAATTTGAGTAAATTGTAAACATACTTTAGCTGATAACACATAGTAATAAAACACATATAATAATGGATATTACTCTAAAAGAGCTAGTTTTTCTACTACGTTAACCCTTATTTCTTTATTGAATTCGTTTTCCGTAGTACTCTACTATTATTTTCAACGTAAAACGGAAAGGTGAACAATACTTATATCCGCTTTCGTTCAAAAACACCAGGAAAGAGAACATATTGAACATCACGTTTGTTTCTTTTATGTAAACAATGCTTTATTCGTTGTTTATTATTGATAATATAAGAATTAGTTGTATCAATCAACCTTTTATGAATAAATTGTTGTTGAATAACTTTAACGACAGTTTCTCTCTTGTTTCTCCTCTCACTCTCTCATTTTTATAGGCCCATTAAACATCAATAAAAATAAAACTTTTTTTTTCCGGGCTTTTTTTACAAAAAAATTTCGCTTTAACTAATAATATACGCAATCCAGACCAAGCGATTGCCTCGAAACGTGTCAACAACCTAGGCCTATTTAGAATTCAAACACGATTGAAAAGGGAGTAAGGCCTTCTTGGTATAGTATACTCGTTTAGTAGAAGAAAGTTAGTAAAGTATTTTTAAAAGACTTCCGTTTATAAACGTCCCATAGAGATTTGTTTGCTTATTTAAAACCCTATTATTATTCTTATAATAACAAGTCAAAGAAGCAAATTGTTTGTAATTATTAGTAACACCTTTTATCACCCTCCTCCTCTCCACCCACCATATTTCTATAAGAGAGGATTAACTTGTAGATACTACTAATATATATTTATGTAGATAAGTTAATCAAACGACCTTACCCTTTCTTTATTTTGATAGTATTAGATAAAATATAGGAATTCTATGGAATAATAAATATTTGAGATAATATTTAGAGATGTATGAAAAATCTACTAGTCTTTTGACAAATAAGCAAAAATATTCAGAATATGCTATTGGATTTATCACTTCTAATATTATTCAATTTATGTTTTGTTTTATTTTGTTTTTTTAAAAAAAAAAACAAAAAAAAGAATAAAACAACTTTTTGTTTACTAACCGGTTTTTGTTGTTTTAAATAAGATAGGAGCTTGATTTTTTGAAATTTGTCTTACAAGTTCTATGGCATCCTTGTGAGTGAAACCTCCAACTTGTCTGCCTTGTATTTCGAGTATAACTTCGTCTTCTTGTAGTTTTCCATTAAAGTAGTGTATGTTTGAGTGTTCAATATCGCCCAGATAACAAAACTGACCGTTATCTGCTCCACCACAAATCATAACATCCAAAATTCCTTCGCGAGTGACGGAAAGGACAGTCTCCCTTATCCTTTGGGTCCAGTGTTTGGTATTACGTCCTGGACTAGGAGATTTACTCTCCGATCTTCCCTTCATCACTATAACTACATCCGAAATTTTGAAAGAGCGAATTTAAAGAGCCATACAAAAATGAAGATTATCCTTTAAAAAGGCTCTCTATAATCTTGATGTGCTAAAAATTTTCCTCTAATCGAATTTCGCTTATTTCTGATAAAAACATGTATGCACCGATCGGTGTGAAGTATCCTTTTTCGCCGATAAAATACCAATACCTGGTACTTTTAATTGGCACTTTATCAGACTATGCTTAGCTATGCGCATGCGCGAAATGATACATCAGTAACGCCCTCTACTGTCCGTTCCATTGTAACATGTAACCTGAATTTAAATAAAGACAAAAGGGGAGTAGATTAGTTTAAGAGTGATGATAAAATTAAAGCTGATAATATTAGAAATAGTAATAATATATAAATAAATTATAATTGCGCATAATAATTAGATTCTAATCTAACATCTATATATATATATATATATATATATATATATATATATATATATATATACAGAGAGAGAGATTGAAGAGAATAAGAAGGAAGTAATTCAAAAGAAAAAACCCTCAATGAACAAATGGAATTATTCAAAATATTTCATATCGAAAGAGATATTGTACGATATCTCTCCCACAGTTGCAACACACTATAAAAGAACCAAGTTTTTTTCGTATTTATTAAATAATAGAAGAAATATTTTACAATCAATCTTTCTATTCTTTTTCCTCCTCCTCTTCTTCTTCTTCTTCTTCTCCGCCTCCTCCTCTTCCTTCCCTTTCTCTCTATCCACTGAGAATAGACAACTACAATTTATTTCTAGATATATCTAAACTTTTCTATTCATACAAACGTATAAATTTTATATGAATATAATAAAGGTAAAATAACTTCTATACGATTGATAAGAGAAAGGAAGAAAGACAGACGGACAGCATGACAGACTGTTAGAAAAATGTTAAGAATAAACATACAACTCAACGGATCTTTATCCGTCAATTTCTTCCTCAAGCTCATTACTTTTGCTTTTTGTTTATTTAACGTAAAAACGACAAAAAACCATTTTGAATATTTGAATCCAACATTTTGTTAAACGTAATGTAGAAACGAGAAAAAAAAAAAGTAATGATTCCGCCGAGGATCGAACTCGGGACCTCTCGCGTGTTAGGCGAGCGTGATAACCGCTACACTACGGAATCAACTGAAAGTATAAGCGTTATTTAGTATATATGAACTGCCGTACCGTTAAATATATACCGAATATTAGTCTATTGCTAGTACCAATGTTTTCTGATACCTTTAGAATTTTTTTCTTTTGAGTTTACTGATTATCGTAATCCTATAGATGTAAAAGATCTCGTGGGAAATTGATTAAATGGGAATTTCTTTTAAAGTAATTGAGAATAAATACAGCAAATTAGTGTACAAAAATCAACAAGAAACGCTTTTATAAGCATCATTTTAAAGATTAAATCAACTATTATTTTAGAACCTAATTACAAGTTAATAAAACAAAATCTTGGGTATTTCTAAATAGAACTTGACAGCTGATAGAGAGTTTTCTAGCTTACTTTATAAACAATGCCGAGTGACCAACGTGGGAATTTACTATGGGCGAATTTCATTTCGCTTTCGTCTGGTTGTTTTTATTATTCTTATAACTAAGCGTCGTATTGAAAATGATGGGGAAAATAATTTATTATAAGAATTCTCTGTCTGACGTCATTAGCCAGCTAAAAGAGAAATATATAGTTAAATAAGGGGTTGTAGCCTTTTTATGGGAAAGATATTGAAAGATAAACAGTAATCTTTACGATATAATAAAATAAGTCTTGTGTTACTTCCTTACTAAATTAGGCGTAATAAAAACATACCATCTATTGAATTTTTGAACGCAATTGTCATCTTAAGTTGGTAAATAATTGAGAAGAAAAGATATTCTTTGCCTGGTTTCTTCCCGATTTCAATTCTAAATTGAAAAAGGATTTTTATCCTGATCTAGGTCTATAGTACTTTCCCAAGAGTATTCTGTTTTATATAAATGTTAGATTGATTACGAGCAGACCGACAAAAGGATGAATATTCTTTACGATGCTCTATTTCGTTATTGACTAACTCTTCTTCGTGCTGTTCCTTAGACGTAGATGATATTGTCTATCAAATAAACTTAAGTTATCTTCTTACTAAATATCTTTTCTTTCTAATACTCAATCATTTATCTTTATCTATCTATTTGTCTGTCTGTCAATCTCTTCCACTCCCCCCCTCTCTCTCCGTAAACGCATTCACTTTCAAGCATTAAGGTCTTAATCAGCAAAAATAATAATTTATTGTAAAAATTGAAATCATATTTCTTACTAATAGATATTAATAATAATGAGGAAGTCTTCTTCCTATTCAACTAATTATAATACTCTACATTTTACTCAATGAATTTCTCCTCACAAGCGAACGAAATTCCATAAAATACTCGAAAATGCTAAAGTCAATAATGAGAATTGTTGAGCAACTCCACTCGAGTATATAGCGTATACTGTTGAAGACACTGGAACGACTTGGTCATTGCAGTTGTTGCCAGAACAACAGAAGATGCATGTATCATTTAATGATTTCATCCAGACGAGCACTTCGTTTCTACCTTCTTTGCTATTTTAGAAACAATACATATGTATATATACAGTATCTATACTTATACTTAATATTAATAAATGATTAAAGATATCAGAAGGATTTTCTTCCCGCAACTATCTTCCCCTCCTCCTCTTTCCCAGCTCATGCAATTCGTTCTTTTCATATATAAATCACATATAAATAATTAATATTCACAAACCTTTCATAATCCGATAAAAGCCATTTTAAAGATTGACATGATGGATTCTCTTGTGTTTTCAAGTCAACAGTACAAATACTATTTGTTGAACATCTTTTTTTTATAAAATTAAAAACAATTGAACGTTTTTTAATTAGTTAAAATATACAAGTAAATTTTCCTTACTCTTTCTTAACAGTTAATGTATTGCCCCCCTCGTATGTGTATTTACACATTCCATTACATTGTGTAACCTCTCCTTGACAATCTATATTCGTTGGATTTGCTTCCGATAGAGGAGTTTTCTTCTCACACGACATGCAGCCTTCAACTAATAAATTCATTTTTATTAACAAATCCGTTTGCTAATCCCTTTTTCCCTATTTTTTTTTATGTAAACATATTTAGATTACCTGGGCATCGCTTTGTTGAACAATAAATAGATTCCGTCTCTGCTGAGTTTCCAGTTGAAGGTGTATTGCATTTTCTAGATCTGGATTTTTTCCCTTTACCGCACGTAGCGCTACACTCTGACCATTCTGACCAATTAGTACAGTTCTTTTGACTTTCAATTTCTTTGCAGGCCTTATTTTCGCATAGTTGTTTCTTATGAGTAATTCCTGTACAACCTTCACCTCCATATTGAGGGGGTGGAGAGTCGCAATATCTAGTCATATTCGCCTTATGAGGTCCACATCCCGTACCGCAAGACGATACAGGTTGCCAATTGCCCCATTGACCGTTAATTGGGGGACACTGCGTGAGGACGCATTCTTCCAGATCCAACGATTTTCCAGGACAATATCCTTCGCCAAGAACGTCAAACATAGGCTTACAATCTCTGGTACGCTTCTTGAATCCTATACCGCACGACTTTGAACAATTAGTAAATGTACTCCATTCGGTCCAAACACCGGGATTACCAATATCTGAATGAAAATATAAACACACTTTCAAAATATTCCACTTTAAAGAATAGCGGAGCGTGGAAGAGAGAGAGAGAGAGAGAGAGAGAGAGAGAAAGGGAGAAAGAGTGAAAGAGAAGGAGAAAGAAGTGACAGAAGTGAAAAAAGGGAATCAAATAGGAATCTAACACTCTTCGCAATTATCTCCTCCAAAACCAGGTGGACAAATACATTCATAGCTATTCACTTTATCTTTGCATTCGCCGCTATTTTCACAAGGACTGCTGAAACATTCATCAATTTCTGAAAAAGTATTTATTTACATTTTAGATTAAAATGCTTGAAAAGAGGATAATGATGATTTTTTATTTATGTTTTCTTTATAACCTGTATCACAATGAATTCCTGAATAGCCTGGAAAACATCTACAGGTATAAAATCCTTCGAAATCTTCGCAAGTACCACCATTTTTACAAGGGAAAGATGCACATTCCTTCAGTTCTGTTTATTTAGAATAAGTTAATCATCGAATAATTTGTGTTAATTTAGTAAATTGATTAAACAACCTTTTGAACAGTCATCTCCACCGTATCCAAGAGGGCATTCACACTTGAATTCATTGACTTTATCGAGACAAGTTGCACCGGAAGCGCACGGCCCGCTGCTACATTCGTTAATATCTATTTGATTTTGAAATAATTTAAAATTAAATTGAATTGTTTTTACAATAAATAGAAAGGTTAATTGTATTGTTTTATACCAGTTTCGCAGCTTGACCCAGTATACCCCGATGGGCATATACAAGTGAAAGTGTCGATGCCATCTACACATGTTGCGCCATTTTTGCAAGATGTATCCTCGCAATCTTCGTTATCTAATTTGTTAAGTAAAATGAAAAGATATGAATAATAGGCAGATAATTAATAATATCTTGAGTTTGGGAAAAGAAAACAATACTTACTAATACTGCAAATATATCCCGAAAAACCTGCTAAACAATCGCAGGAAAATGAATTAATGTGGTCATTGCATGTACCGTGATGACAAGGTTCCGAGTTACATTCATCCAATTCCGTTTTACAATTAGCATCAGTATAACCGGGTTGACAACTACAAGTATACGAATTTAGTAAATCCGTACATTCACCTCCATTATCACAAGGGTTTGGGATACATTCGTTGATTTCCGTTTCACAATGTGTTCCTGTATATCCAGGTGTACACTGACACGTGTACAAATCAAAGTTACTTATACAAGTAGCATTATTATGACAAGGTTTTTCATCGCAAATATCTGTGTTAAGTTGTATGATAATACGTTTAAATCTCTTATTTTTTCAGTAGTATTAATAGAAGATAAATAGTACTTATATCTCTTTCGCAAATAAACTTGTAATATCCTTCGCAATGACTTCTCGACAAGGAAAAGTGGTAATGTTTTCCCTATTTGATTAAAAGAGATATAGAGGTATTCTTTAAAAGTTCCTATTTAGAATGTGACTACTAACAAACTCTTGGAAATATGGATCCCATGTTGTGAATGTATGGCAACTTAAGCCGGTTGAATTATCTAAAATCAATAAAGTATTAATAGAGTTTTACACGGTTCTTGTTTCATTTTTAAAAGTTTTTTACCTTCTCCTTTTACTCTGGATACCTTGAATTTTGAACTTTTCGCGCACCATTCGTTAATCCCTTCCCTACAATCATCGGTGCAACCAAATCTATTCGGTCCACCGAACGAATAGCCGTCGGAACAACCGCAATAGCCGGAAGACTGCAAACAATAATTAATATTTATAATAAAATGAGGATATTTAAAAAAGTTATTCATTATTTACGTATTGGTGAGCGTACGTATGGTTGGGAAAATTGAATTTACAGAAGGCTATACATTCATCCATGCTTGTCTTGTAATTAGCATTATAAATATCCAACTATAAAAAATTGAGAATGAAGAGGATTACTTAAGAAATTAATTAATTAATAAATAATAAAGACACTAACCAGATTAGTCAAACCACTAGCTACTACCGATTGATCAATGTATAGTTCTTTATAAATAACATAAGGTGGATTATTATTCTCATTCATACAACCGAGGTAACCATCTTCAAATCTATCAAACGAGTGCTCTAAGTAACAATAAAAAAAGGTCAGAATATAATGAATTAAAGAATGCTTTGATCAATAACATTAAAGATAACTTACCAATGAAATTAAAGTTGATTTGTACTACTGGAAAAATTCCAGTTTCTGGACACATTTTGTCTGCAACAAAACATTCGGAGATATCAGGCATATATGTCCAACTCATTAAATATAAATGTTTCCTCTCCATGACGTAATTCGAACACTCTTCGAATGTAAAGCCAGTTTTTAGAACAAATGTCGAACTATCGCATACTCCTTTGCGCATTGTAAACCTATAGATGCTTTCTGACCATTCGAAGTAATAGGTGAGTGGCGATGGGATCAATGTAGTACATTCTGCATTCTTTAATATGCAGTCTCCGTTGATCATATCAGTTGTATTGTAAACGAAACCGGTACATTGGTCATTGTTTGAACAAAGAGTTTCGCAATCAAATATTGGTGTTGCACTATGAGTAACTAAATCATTACCAATGCAATTTCCACTTTCCATAATTAAACCTTTTACTATAAATAAGCAAGAATAGAGATAAAGGATACAGATGGACGAATGAAATGGAAATATATATTAAAAGTAGATAATAGGTTATATTTACATCTTTTTCCCAGAACTCCTATTCTTTTCAAACCATTAGCGTCTTTCTCGTAATAAGAATTGAATGTTATATTTATATATGTGGCATTCAGAGGCTCAAAAGTTAGATAATCCCAACTTTTACCAGAATTATCCGCATTATTCGTTCCTGCTCGTCTAACCAGAGTGAAATGTTTGAGGCGATTATTTCCAAAATCTATAGTAATATCTTTCCAAGATGAAAATCTTCCATACAATTGCATTATATCTATACGAAAAACTTCAATTTCGTAACGAAATGTTATTTTAAACCACGCCCCTTCTCCTTCATCATTGCTTCTCCACTCTTTGAAGGGATCATCTTCAAAAGCATTTTCGCATAAATGATCACCTGGTAAAGTTGATGAAGCTTGGCATGTTGATTCTTTTACAATATCTGGAGCATAGCCGTCTAAACTGGGAACTTTGTATAAATCATTCAAATTATTTGTGCTATGACCACTTAAAATGGGATAATCAATCTGTTTATCTCGAAAAAAGTAGTCTTGGATAAAATCGTATTCCTCTTTCGTCTCTAGCGTAAGCAAATGACCGTTGAAATACGTTGAACATATATTTTCAGCTTCCGAATGCATAACTGATGTTTCGAATAGTTTATACTTTCCAACTTCACTTGTAAAAATTTGAACTTCGCATAAAATTAATATGGCGTCAGGCTTTCTTAAACCAATTATCGGATATCTTCCTGACAAAGGATTTTGACAATTGAACGATAAAAGTGTGTGACCTATAAAAATTGAATAATGAACACTTTTTGAATAAAAATAAAAGTAACGAAAATGGAAAACGAACTAATCGTGTCAAAACTTCTGCATTCGTTAATATCATCAAGAGAAGTACCAGCCGAAGGACTGGTTTTCAACACTCCAGCTACCAGTTTATCATAGTCCGATACTAAAACAATGAAAACATGTGTATAATGCAAAATCTATACAATAATCCATTGATTACTTACAACAACATTCATCTCTAAGTATTATTAGGAATTCATCAATTTCGTAATACTTTCCTAAATCAACTACCCACCAAGGATTCTTTATAAAACACGTATAAAAAAGTTTTATTAACTTTAAGAGTTGATGAATTCTATAAAAGAACTAACCGTTTCTTTTTCGGTCATTGAACATTCACCTTTCAATATAAAGTTGGTTAATGTTGCCTTACCATCATTAGCAAGGCTCGCAGAGTAAGTTTTACGAGTACTACTCTGAATTGTTGGTTTATTAACCAAAAAATCTGATACAAAACCGAATTTATCTAATGTTACTGCTCCAGCAGTTATGATAAGAGCATCTTCCTTTGAACAAGACGCATTCCTAGGTAAACAATAATCACCAAATTTATAACTGACTGATACACAGCTTTCACTGTCATCGCAAGCAGCTATGCAATCGGCCAATGTAAGAGAATCTTGATTTGGAATATCTACTTCAGATATTCTATTTTCATCGGGGCAATACACCGACCTTCTTAACTTAAAGGCGGGGCTGTCAATACATGCAATTTTCAGGTCCGAATTGAACGAGTACTGTTAGGAATTTAGCCAAAATCATGGTAAGTATTAAATACATCTTTATGGTCTATATAACGTAAAAGTATTACATATCCATTGACTTCGGAGACTGTTAAGCCAACAGGAGAAGCGGGCCCTGAAGTTATTCTCGCGTAAGCATTGCTAATTGAACTGCTACCAAGTACAGAACCAAAGTACCAATAAACACCATTTCTCCTGTAAACGATGAAGAACGTAAGAGCTATTATCTTTCGTCTACTAACAGATAAAAGATGTAATTTAACTTGCCTGTAGAGGTAGACAGTACCCTTATCAGATTTATAAAGTTTAGTTTGATCATATTCTCCTACTCTAACAAATCTTCCATTGAATGGAGTAAGTTTATACTTGGCTCCTGATATAAAGAGTTCATCGCACCCTAAACATAAATTGAATTGGTAGTATAGTTAAAGTAATCTTAATATTATTAATAACAATGACAAACTAGTTTAACTTACCTTTATTCAATTGGAAATATGCTAAATACAAAGTTAAGAAATAGTAAAGTTTCATTCTAATTGAAAAAATTCACTTTTTATTCTATAAAACTAAAACGCTGAACGAAAGAGTTCAGTATGCCAAAAATCTTTCAAAAATGTTCATTTAAACAAGTGTAAATAGTTGGAAAATTGAAATATATCAAATGACCAATTAACAACTTTCCTGGTCAATATTTTGAAATTATGTTGCAAATAATTAAGTAGAAAATGAAAGGTTATAGCCTAAATTCCTATCAAAAGCCCTGATCAGTTTGTTTCACAATATAGAAGAATAAGAATGCGCTAAGTAAACAAATAATACCAATACTTATACTGCGGATTGGCTGGCTGAAGTTAGACAGTCACCTCAACCAATTTGATAGTTTACGTTTACTTCGTATCCCATAAAAAAGAGATTATGGTTAAGGTTAAGGTTAAAACTGTTGTTAATTTTAATTCGATAAATTAACTACAGCAGCCGGTTAATAACCGTTGTAATAAAACACAAGAATATTTATTTTGAGAGGGGAGGAGATTTTATTGAAAACTGATTCCCATTCTTTCTTATTAGGACAAAGCAAACTTAGTTATGTTTCTTTTTTGTTTTTAACGACCATTGTAGCTTTCTTCATAAGCACGCAGTAGGTTATTAGGTAGGTTTTTAAAAATAGATTTTGTTTCGGATAGATTTACAAAAAATATAATAACCATGAACGTAATAGAGAATGTTAGCGATGGCGATTAGATATTTTACGAATAAACCATTCGTATGTTGATTTATAGAATCTAGAAGAAATCTAAAATAGATGAGCGACCTACTGTTACCAAAAAAAATTATCAATAATCCTATTTAGCTATTTATATATTATATGCAATAGGATATTTTAAGACTCTAATCATAATCAATGACTAAGGTTCATTATATAAATGTTTTTGTTAATTAGCAGTAAGCTAAAATCTAAGGATAAAGACTAAAATTTTATTTCTTCTTCAAGTATTTCTTCTTGCATACGGTTTAGGAGAGAAAGAGAGGAGGAGAGAGATTAATAGACAAATAAAACAAAATGTTATACAATTTCAATACATATTTCGTCAAATTCAATAAAATGTGTCATATTTTTTGCTTTCTCTTTCAAGTATATAGAAGAGAGTCTTAGAAACATGAATACAATGTTAAATGTCATAAAAGTTATGCCTTCCAATTCTTCTTCTTATCTGCATGTCTTTCATTCTTTTATGATAAAATGTAAAAAGTTATCGTCAGTAGCGAAACTAATATATTCATATTGAAGTAGTTTCTTTCCCCGTAGTTCAAGTTCAATTGAAATACACTAAACGAAGGAGGAAGCAAATTTGAATTGCAGTTACTTCCGTCGCAACAATAAATGCAAGTATCGTTGAGCTGTTTCCACCAAACCAACATTTCGATATTATCGCCTTCACTGTTAAATGATTAGAGAAATAGTTATCAGCTTAATTAATCCACATAATATAGATTTAGATTCTTTTATACCCTTCATAATCCGATAATAGCCATTTTAGAGAGGTACATTTCGGATTATCTTGAGTAGCTAATCCTGCTGTACATTCTTGTTTTGTTGAACATCTAAGGAGTTTTGAAAAGATTCCGTTAGAAATTGTAAAGTATTGATATATTTTCAAAAACTGACTCTTTTTTTATACTTAATGTACTTCCTCCATTGTATGTATACTTGCACAATCCGCTACAAGGTGAGCTTTGTCCAATACAATTCGCATCCGCTAAAGAGGATAAAGATCCCGGAGAACTTTTATCACAAATACGGCATGTTTTTTCCGAGGCTAGAAAGATATCTTTCTTATGAATGCTGAACAAAAAATTACGAATTGCTTAACTATACCTGGACAATCATTCTGAAAGCAACGAACTTTTTGAATATCTAAACTATCATCGGACAATGTACTATTACTATTGGTAGATACTATTCTACATTTTCGACCTCTAGATTTCACCCCTTCGCCACAAGTGGCTGTGCACTCTGACCATGCTGACCAATTAGTACAATTCTTTTGACTTTCAATTTCTTCGCAGGCCTTATTTTCGCATAATTGCTCTTTATGAATAATTCCTGTACAACCTTCACCTCCATATTGAGGGGGTGGAGAGTCGCAATATCTAGTCATATTCGCTTTATGAGGTCCACATCCCGTACCGCAAGACGATACAGGTTGCCAATTGCCCCATTGACCGTTAATTGGGGGACACTGCGTGAGGACGCATTCTTCCAGATCCAACGATTTTCCAGGACAATATCCTTCGCCAAGAACGTCAAACATAGGCTTACAATCTCTGGTACGCTTCTTGAATCCTATACCGCACGACTTTGAACAATTAGTAAATGTACTCCATTCGGTCCAAACACCGGGATTACCAATATCTGAATGAAAATATAAACACACTTTCAAAATATTCCACTTTAAAGAATAGCGGAGCGTGGAAGAGAGAGAGAGAGAGAGAGAGAGAGAGAGAAAGGGAGAAAGAGTGAAAGAGAAGGAGAAAGAAGTGACAGAAGTGAAAAAAGGGAATCAAATAGGAATCTAACACTCTTCGCAATTATCTCCTCCAAAACCAGGTGGACAAATACATTCATAGCTATTCATTTTATCTTCGCAATCCGCACTATTTTCGCATGGATTACTTAAGCATTCATTAATTTCTATTCAAAAAGAGGGATTATAAACTGAAGATTTATTATAAAATAATTATGTTAACTACCTTCTTCGCAGAGTACACCTGTATATCCAGGAAAACATCTGCAAGTATAGAAACCGTCAAAGTCGTTGCAAGTCGCTCCATTCTTGCAAGGAAAAGAGGCGCATTCTTTTAATTCTGGACAAATATAAATGTAATTATAGTTAATTAAGATTGGCGAGAGATTAGATAGAATAGAGTACCTATTGAACAGTCATCACCCCCAAAGCCTGCAACGCATTTGCATGAATATTTACCAACTTCGTTGATACAGGTTGAACCAGCAACGCAAGGCGAACTATCGCATTCATTAATATCTATAGTAGTGTAATAAATAGCAAAATAACAAGTATAGATTACGTGAACTTTGTTAAGAATAAAATGTGCTAAATCACACCTTCTTGGCATTTTTCTCCAGTAAATCCAATAGCGCAATTGCAGGAAAAACTATCAACTCCATCCTGACAAGTTGCACCATTTAAGCAATCTGAATCCTGACAATCGTCATTATCTGAAATGTTATTAAATGTAGTGAATATATGAAAACCCTAATTTTTTTAATAAAAAAAATGTAATTAGTTAATAATTTAATAATAATAAAATTTAATATACTTATGTTACAGACAAGCCCCGAATATCCTATTTGGCATTGACAACTGAAAGAATTAATATGATCTTGACAAGCTCCAAAAAAGCACGGTTGACTGGAACATTCGTCCAATTCTTCTGTGCAGGTATCGCCAGTATATCCATTTGCACAAGAACATACGTACTTATTACTTAAATCTGTACAATTGGCGCCATTTTTGCAAGGATTCGATTGACATTCGTTAATGTCTATCTCACAATTTATACCAGAATATCCACTTTTACATTTGCATTCATAATTATCAAAGTTTTCGAGACAATCGCCATCGTTTTGGCATGGATTACTTTCGCATAATTCTGTAACGAAAAGAATAAATAAACAAATAGAATATATAGAAAGATAATAGAAAACAATTAGTGGATTAATAAGGATAAAGATAAGAAGGAAAAGGTAAAAAAAAGACTATTTACGGCTATCTCTTTCGCAGATAAAGTTATAATATCCTTCGCAATGAGTTAGTTGTTGAACCATAAAAGAATCTTCAAATTGCTATTTAATATAATAATAATTACTATGAAATGCATGTTGTATGTATAATATATCGTTTAAAAAAGCATTAGCTTTTAATAGTCATACTTCCCACTTACTTTATTTAAATAGACATCCCACGTTGTTAATATCATACACCTCGGTCCATTAAGATTAGCTATTTTTATATAAAATGAATACAAACATTGTAACATGTATATACAGTAGATATATATATATATATATATATATATATATATATACTAATCTATTTATATATATATATTGTATACTAATTAACTTACTTCCATTTATAGCTACACATAAAAACTCTGAATCTTCTGCGCAGAATTCGTCAATTCCATCTCCACAATCTCCCAAGCAACCCTGGCTTTTAAAACCTCCCCAGCCATAGAACTGAGAACAACCACACTGTCCATTGGGCTAATATTAGAGGGAGTAAAAGGTCTTTAAACGAATTATTCATTCTAAATATAAAAGTAACTTTACATATTGATGAACGTATTTTAGATGTGGAAAATTTTCCATACACATTGCTCTACAATCGTCTATTGTTGTTATATAACCACTGTTGTATAATGACGTCTATTTGATATGACATAATTAGTTAATTAGCTAATTTATGTATAAATATTAAGAATCTACCATGGATTGTGGTCCATTTGAGAATAATCCTGGATGGAGGTATAACTCTTTGTAAACTTGGTAAGGACTAGACGACGGCTCATTCATACAACCAATATCTTCGTCTTTAAAACGAATGTACGATTGAACTGGATTGAAGAGAGAAAGTATAAAAATTAACTAGTGGAAACTATTCAAAATCCAAAGGACAAATGTACGACTTGACGATACTAACCTACAAAATTAAAGTTATACTGAGGACTGAGCGGTTTCGCAACGGAAAAACAATATAATGGAGCTATTTGGCAAAGTCCGGAAATTGGATTAAACGACCATGATTGAAAAAAGGATGTTTTTCTTTTTAATGCGAAATTCATACAGCTTTCAAAAGTATTTAGATGATTATAAGGCTTTCCTGCACAAGTTCCCGCTCTTATAGTAAAGCCATAAATATCGGTTGACCATTGAAATATATAGCTATCATTCGCCGGAACTATCGTTGTACATTCGGCATTTTTCAATTCACAACTAAGAAACGTGCTGTTAAATTTAAAACCAGTGCATTGATTATCATTGGCGCATAAAGTTTCGCAATCGTGTAAATCTGTATTATCATGACTTGATAAAACATTTCCCAAGCAATCTCCAGCATTAAAATTCAATCCTCTCCCTATATTTAGTATAGAATACAAGAAATATTAATACTAGTACATAAAGTATCAATACAGTATTACTTCTCCTTCCTAGAACTTGAATTTTTTTGAGACCGTTATAATCCTTTCCATAGTAAGAGTCAAAGGTTATCTTTATCCAGCTAGCATTTACGGGGGCTGTTATCAAGTCGTCCCAATCTTTACCTGCCGGATCGACAGCATTCAACGCGGCTCTCTTCTTTAGAGTAAAAGTGGCGTTTAATTGATCTCCGTATTGTATGGTTATATTCTTCCAAGAGGAATATCCACTATACAATTGCATAATTCTTATGCGACCAACCTCAACTTCGTATCGAAAGTTGATTTTATACCACGCTCCAACTCCTTCGTCATCAGTTTGCCAATCTTGGGTCAAATCGTCATCAAGAGCCTGAGTGCAATCAGTAGACGGATCTCTTTGGGATGATGCTTCACATGTCGATTCCTGAGTGATTTCCGGTACATAGTCTGCAGAAATAACATGTATATGTAATACAGAGTACATGCTCCCTAATAAAACAACACATTATTTCTGCTATATAAGTACTTTTAACCTTCTACGGCTAATTGTTGTTTTCATCCTACTATACATCATATTAGCAACTAGTTTATAAGGTGCTGTTGATAGTGTTTATAAATAACTATGACGTAGTATCTTGTTTGTTTAATGGTTGTTAAAAAAAGATACTGCATCATCAGTTATGTTTTATATTTTCATTATTTTAATAGTGAAGTAAATATTATAAATTGCATATACCGTCAGGTTGATTAAAGCCGTAGTAATTGTGATAGTTCCATCTATTATGACCAAAATGGAACGCTCCGTCAGTACTACTTTTATTGAATTTATTACGAAGATATCGATATTCCTCTTCAGTTTCAATAAATAATAAATCGCCTTCGTATCTATTTTTGCAGTATTTTTGAGCTGATTCCCTTGTTAAATAAAGATTTGTATTTATTTTATATCTTCCAAAAGGTTTAGCAAAAACTTGAATTTCGCATAAAACCAATGAAACGTCCGCTTGTTCTACACCAACCATAAAATATCTTGTTGCTATTTCAGGTGAGCACGTCATCCAATTGACATTTGATTCTTCAATTAAAAACGCGTTAAATCAATAATTATATAAATATTTACGTCATAAAGATTTTAATAACGAAAAGGGGAAGAGGAGGAAGAGGAGGAGGAAGAGGAAAGATGCTAAACGTAAAAGAATCATTTGAAGAGTGGTTAGGGTTGGGGAAATATTTTCTAATCAATACATAACTAATTATTACTAGTTGTTACTTTAATTAGTTTTCTTCGTAGAATCTTCGTAGAATTGATCTTGATATAATTAATAATGTCAAGTCTAATGAGACGAGATGATCTATACTTCGAAAGGCTAATACTCTATTTCTTTAAATGTAAATATATTACTATTCTATTCTATACTATTCCTTTCTTTCTTTCTCTCTTCCTTCCTTCCCTCTTTCTCTTTCTCCTTTTCTTTGCTTGTAATTATCTCTTCTCTCTTCCTCTTCAATTTTTTTTCCAAGTTAGAATTAAAATAGTACTATAAGGTTTATAATTAAGAGGCCTATTGCTATAGTTCGACTTTTCAATATCTTACTTTGCATATTTCAATAGGCAAAAGAAGAATTTTTGTAAATTATTACTTAACAATCGCTCACCTAGAGTTGAAATAGTAGCGCACTTTGTTATATTGTCCAAATGCATTGGTACAGAAGAATTAAAACGATTTCCGCCAATGTATAAATTCTTCATACTGTTTACTGTCAAAAATAGAAAGGTCAACATTTTAACAATAAATTGCCTGTTTAATACTTACGACAGCAGTCTGTTCTTAGAACTATTAGTGCGCTATTTATTTCGTGGGTAAAACCCAAGTCGACACTCCACCATGGATTTGTCTCTTTCAACGTCATTGAACACTGACCTTCCATCAGGAAGTCGGTTTGTAATACGTCTCCATCGTTGGCGAGCGAAGGGAGATAAATTGATTCAGTACTGCTCTGATAGGATGGTTTACCTTTAATATAGTCTGATATATAGGGTACTTTGTCCATTGTTAAAGCACCCTCGGTAACTTGAATTGCTTCGTTGGCTGAGCAGGTTTTCGTTCGAAGTCTACAATTAATATCAGATGAAAAGCTCATCGTAGTACAAATCTCAGAATCATGACATGCTTGAATACAATCCTCTATGCCCATGAGACTCTGTCCCGGTACATCACTAGATGGTACCCGGAAGTCATCGGGACAAATACTATTTCTAGTAAGTTGAAAACCTTCGTGTTCCGTACATGATATATCCATTTCGCTATTTGAGGAAAACTTGAAAGGGGTAAATTGTTGAATTGGTAAGTGTATTTGTTAAAAAATAGTAGAATCGTACCCATCCATACTGATTTCTTTCGTACCACGTTCCAGTTGTAGGATAGGCTGATCCGATGTATAATTTTGCTTTAATATCTGAGTAGTAGCTTGTATCTCCAAGCACAGCGCTCGAATACCAATACCAACCGACGACGCTTTAACGAGGAAAACAGCTTATTATTCATTAATGCGAATACACGTTAATTCAATACCGATATAGGAACATGCTGCCTTTCGTCGACTTATAAAAGAAAGTATTATCATGTATCCCTAGTGCAATAAATCTTCCATTCCAAGCTTTCAGACCATTTTCACTACTAGCTCCCGTTAAGAAAAGCTCTTTACAAGCTATAAAAATAATTGAATAGATAATTCCAAAATAGCACCTAATAAATATATTCTTCTATTTTTAAACTATTCTTACCTTTTCCATAAACAATTAAGATAATTAAAAATAAGAGAGAAAGCGGATGAATTTTCCACATGTTTAGTTTTAAAAATGAGGTTCAAAAGTAATTTCAAACAATTTTTAAACTACATTCAAAAGTGGATATCGCTTTACTAATTTAATTATTTGTAAGGTATGTTATTCGCTAAAAAAAAGAGGGCAAGTAAGCTAATATCTCTGTCTTGTAGGACCATTTGAAGTAAATAGCCTAATATACGTAAATATTCTTTTGAATTGGTTTTAGTTTTCAACTTTATTAATTATAATTTTCTAGTTCTTGTGGCTATAACCTCCAGATGTTTCTATAGAATACAGCGCGTTAAAGTCTCCATTCACTTCTAGAGTATTGTCTTTCTTTCTCTTTCGTACGTACTGAAAAAATTCCACAAACAATTATAAATCTATAGACATACTATGGCTACTAAAACAACTTGTAGTATTTACAGTTGTGGCGCGGTACTTTTTATTTTTTACGAGTGCAAAAAAATTCAATGTACACTCTTCGAGAGAAAGTGAGAGCGTGTAAGTCTAAATACAAGATATTTATTCTTTTGTCTTCTCTTTGCCTTCTTTGAGAGTATACTTTTATTGATTAAAAAGAAAAAAGAATTATAAATCTTATTGGCAAAGTACATTGTCTTACAATCGACACTTTCGTCTTTAATATTCATTCAACCTTACTGTACTTTACACTTGAAAAAATACTTATTAATTTGAATTAAACGCCTTAACCACCTTACTTTTAAAATTTAATTATATAAAAACTTATGAAACTCTTCATTGTAGTCATTTGCCGTAGAGATAGTATCAGAGATATAAATTAAGGGTTAGGGTTAGGTTTACGATTAGAAAAGATTTGTTGCCTGAGGCAGCAAACAGATAATCGATTATTGGATACAAATAGATGAAAACACTAACAAAAATATACAATACAATACCTAGGAGAATTTCAGAGGAATATGAAATATGGCAATGATTTATCCTCGTCTTTGGAATCAAAGCATAGGTACATTTTTTACGAATAGGTATGAGGAAATTGCAGTAAATGGTGAACCAATTACATGTAGATTTTACGCCTCTATTTTGGTTGTTAAAATAATCAAATGGTGCAGGAATAATTCGACAGTAGTCAAAACCATGACAACGCTAAAAGGAGTTTCCTAAATCAAGATTGATAAAACGGAGGAAGGCCTATGGTTATATTAAAAAGTAATAAATATTCAACGGTAGAATTTTTCTAGAAACAATCTTCTTACAAGTGACGTAAACTACTGAAATTATCTGTAATTACCTTTGGAGGGGAAGGTTTATTTTATAGTAGAGTAATATACTGTCGTTCCAAATTGAATGCAGATACTGTTCATACTGTACATAGTATCTGTACCAATCAATTTGAATAGAAATACCAAGATAACCTAATTCGGTTAAGAACAACAGCAATGAAATGGAAAGAGGTTGACGTAAATCGATAAGGTAAATGTAATGCCCTCTTAGAAACAATAGCTCAGTTGGAGGTATTAAGACAGTAGTCTATTCAAAGGGATTGGCTGGGAAAATTGTCAAGAGCAGACTAGACACTCAGCATATTTATGCAGATGAGAAAATCAGGTAAATGAGGTTTTTAGGATAATCGTAATGGATTAAAAGAATCTCTAGAGAATAAAATTATAACGTTTATTATAAATCCTGTAACATGTTTACATTTAACAAATTTAGCATAGCAACTAATCTTTTACATAAATAAATCATCGTGTACAAAAGAAGGTTTATTATTCCAGTAAACGAACTTGAAAACTTCAGAGTATCTCTTTCTAATCATTGCCGTCCCAGAAAATGTACTTCCAGGGGCGCGAATTACATTGTTGCAATTACTTAGAATATACCAATCGAGGATAACTTTCCTTAAACCATCACAAGCTTTCTGCGTTGAGGGCGTTGAACCGTTTATTTTAATTCTTTTAATATTTACAATAGAACCCTCAGAGGTTAGTAATGGCTTCTTAATAAATTTGGATAATTTAGCAATGGCACTTGTAGAATCGGTAGCAATGTATATATCGGCCGTTTTATATTCATCCCTCTCTGATTGTTCTTGAATAAATTTACCAATAAATTCAATATTCTCTCTTACTTGAACATGATACGGTTTCAACACTTCACCATCATTGCCAGTTCTAATATGAGCGCATATCATTTTTGTTTTCTTATCAAAGTATTTATTCACTTGATATTCAATCTCTGGCGTTAATCTAAATAACAAATCGAATATATTCTCATTAAACGGTAAATTGAAAAAAGTCATTGATTTAATTTTGTCTTCGTCGAAGCCCATTTCAATGAATCTTTTCTTAAATTGATTATTATGCTTCATATAGTGAATTGAGTGATAAGTGAAAAATTTCACCGATATTACCGTTAGACTTTTATTAAAGAGATTATCGTATAGTTGAAATTTAGCGCCGGAGCTTAAACTTTGAATAGAAGCGCCGCTATAGAGAACATCAACTTTTTGGGGAAATTTTCTATACCAGTTGATTTTGTTGGGTAAAAAATATTTCACCAGATCGCATGGTTCCCTCAAATGAATCGCAAACGTTCTATTGGATATTACTGATAGGATATATGCATTGAATATACCAGCAATTCGATTTCCCCATCCGTTACAGGGACTATTTGATAAGCCGCACTCGAATACCAAAAATCTCTCGTCTCCACCAGCTTTATTAATAGCGTCTCTGCCATTTTCCATAGAAACAACTTTGTCATCTCCTCCGTTGTTTATTTTGAAAGAATTCCAGGCTAAATTTTCCTTTCTCTCTAATTCATAAGTCCTATGAACTACTCTGTGCGGTCCTATTAATGCGGTTAGACCAATAAATCCTAACCATATCATCAGACCAATAGAAACGCTTCCCCATCCCCTTCTTTTAAGAAATCTATATAATTTCATAGCTATTCAATTACGTGATGAAGACTTAGTTTACCTATTCTTAGAACGAGTAAACAGTTTTATCCAGTCAAAGAGAGTAGACGATTTGTTGGCTATATTTAGAAGTTTTCTCAATAAATATTATAAATATTTATTTGTTAATGTATACTTTTCACGTAATGTAAAATCTCTTCTATATTACAAGCAACAATGTAATAAACTGGCCTTTCCAACTCGCTTTTTCTGCAACGTTGTAGCAACGCAAGCATTTTGTCATTTGAGTAGTTTCTCAATTCTTCATATTAGTATTAAACGATGCTCTTGAAGTGAGTTACATAAGAAAGTATTCCATTTACATAAAAAAACATTATAGTGTACTTGGTTAGTCGTAGAGGAAGGTCAATGGTTGTTTATATAGATGACTATAGCCGGAAACGTCGTTTAGATTAGACGAAGAAAGAGATTTTAATCTGTTATATTATATATATAATTTATATATATATATATTATGCTGTATATTAATAATATACTCTCTTCTAATCTATCTTCTTTGCCTGGTTGTACAAAAAGCAAATACTTGTTGCTTATTGTTAGATCAGGCGTATAGAAAGAGAGTACGCGCCATATACAGCATTACCAGATTCGGTAAGAGGAAAGGCGGGAGACGCTTTGAAGGGACTAAGCAATAAAAGTAAACGAAGCCTTTAATAGTTATTATAAGATGTTAATTATTTAAAAACGAAAGGCAGCCACTTTATGAAATGTGATAAGTTTTCGTTACCGGTTAAGATGGTCTATTCCACTTAGGAAGATATTTGTTTCTTTTCTTCTCCTTCTTCTTCTTCTTCATCTTCTCTTTGTTAAATTCTGAAATTTAACAACAGCATTCGAACTCTTCTCTGCTTAATTTTTCATTGTTTCCCCTTCAACAACGAACTTAATCAACTAGGAATTAATTATGTCATTTTTACTTTTACAAAAGTTCAATAACCTTCCGTGATTAATTATATTTTGTTGTTAAACAGAGTACTTGTAAGACAGTTAAGTAATTAAAACAGGTATAGTATATTTATTTTTATACATTTATTGCAATTATCTTTGATTTACATTGTGTTGAAAGCTTAAAGTAAAATTAGACGCTCCTTGCATTTAATAAATACTCATTTCATTGTTGGATGCGTAAGCTTTAATAATGTACTCGTATAAATAGGTGGTATATATTACGGGAAATTCTGAATCCGGCACTCTGACATTACTAGTAATGCGCTGTTTAGTCACCATTGGTGGAGAGGGGAAAAGAAAAGAAAATAGCTGCAAAAGATGGATATAATCAATTCAATTTTCCATTTATTTCTTTTACTTATTTATAGAGATACACCGAGAATAGAGAAGAAGAAGAAGAAGAAGAAGAAGAAGAAGGGAAATAGAATAACCAGTAATCATAAAAAAACTACTTTGGCGCCTTCATTTAATTGTATAATATATATAATTATTAATGTATGTTTACAGCCTATATATATTTAAAAGAAGTTTAGTACATTGTTGACTTCTAACAGATCTGTACGGAATTTTTTATCCTTGTAACAATTCTATCATTCTTGTTCATACTTTTAAATTGATAATAAAGACTGCAAAACATAGTCTATAACATACAATAGTATATATCATATATAGTTTATAGCAAACAATACATATATGTATATGTATAATATATATATATATGTATATATATATATATATATATATATATATATATATATATATATATATATATATATATATATACATATATATATATAATTGAAGCAAACTGGCAATCATATCCTTTGTCTCTTTGGATTGCAAACTTTCCAATATTTCAGCAGATGTTTAAACTTTCTCTTAAATATACAACTAGTATAGGCTTGATATATATATATAAATTTATATATATATTATGCAATATACAGTATACAAACTCTTTAGACAAGAAAAAGGACTACTGAATATATTCTTTCAAAAAGGATTAATGCAGTTTAGTTGATGGAAACTGGTATAAAACAACAAAAAAGAGAGAAATTATTAAAAAAAAGCACTATAGATTTCTTCCATTTATTTTGACTTCATAAGATAAATCGATAAAATATTAATAAACTTGAGGACGGGAAAGGATTTTTAGGAGGGAAAAATAATTTTCTTGCATGGTTGTTGTTTTTTTAAAAAGAAAAAGAAACAATTTCCAGATAGAGAGAGAGGGAAAGAAAGATAGACAAGCTAGGTTAGAGAGGGAAACTGAACAGGTGCTAACGACCCCGCCATTTGGTTGGGTAGAGACGAGATAAAGGGAAAGGAAAAGGAAAAAAAGATTTAGAGAAATAGGAGCAATTTATTTTTCCCTGCTTTTCTTCTTGTCTCACGTCTCTTACTGAAATTTTCTGTAAGTTCTGTTGAATTCTTTGAAATTTTCTTTAATAAAACAATTAATCACGTTAAATTTTCTTTATATGTCAAATTTTGTAGTTTTAACTGGTTTTTATCCAATTTTACAACCAAAAACTTCTTCTCTTGATCCTTAGTTCTAACCAAATGAGTGCTTTGTTGCTCATTTACGCTTATCGAACTATTCGGACAGCTGGTAAAGAGCATTCGTCTAAAGACGAAAGCGTACAATAAGAAAGTGCAACTAAAGTGAATTGTTTGTAAAAAGTTGAGCACTGATGAAGTTAATACGGGATTATCCTTTTTACCAAAAATTTCAGAGTAAAAGTGAAATATTTCGGATGGTGAGACTAGAATTGTATACATGAGAACAAGGAGAATAAGGGTGATTGTCAATTGATTCGCCCAATCTTTCTCCTTTTTATGCTCGTCAAGAAATCGACTCCTAAAAGATTTACTCTTCCTTACAGCTCTTATTAAGTTGATGTTAAAAAATGCCAACATTAAAACTGGAATTCCATAGCCGAATATCGCCCAGCAGCAGGTAACTGGATAGTAGAAATAAGGATTATTTTCGTTGAACATTGATAGGTTGTATACATAGAAAGTAGTGTTGTTTGCTGTTATAGTTGTTGGCTTGAAACTCCATATTAGGGGAAGTAGAGCAAGAGACCAAATGAGTGGAATAAGGCATATGACTATTAAAATCTTTCTTCTACTTATCCAGTAATTAACCTTAAAAGGATGGCAAATTGCTAAATACTGTATTCCTGATGTTAAAACTGTATAATGAGTGGAAGTTTTAATCCAGATGTCGCTATAATAGTACTCCAAATGAAACCAATAGTAGTGGAAGTTTCTACTAGTATGTATAAAATTTGGATGAGTGTCAATTTGCGAAAATGACGGAATTCGTCCAATACAAAACATAATGTTGCTTAAAGCCAAAGCGAACATCCCTAAAAGTGCGCATTTCGATGAAGATTTATGATTTCTCGAATTTAATTGTAATATTCTCAAATTCAGTAGATTGCCAACAATTCCAAATAATCCAGTTATAGGAATAAAATACCTTAGAATAATTGATCTGTCAACGTCTTTACCATTGAAATCGTGCGAACTTGTGTTCATTATATATCCTCGTCCAGTTTACTATATATGCATAGAATACGAATGGTTGTAGAATAGTCCATTACTACTTTCCAATACTAAGATATACAGTATATAATTATTTTGTGTGAAAAAATACCTTTTAGAGTGCTTATATATCTTTCAATATAAATTATTTATTAATTTTAAATGGAGCAATAATTGCATATTAAAACGTCTATTGCGCAATTTGCCTACATTAAACTATGTAGAAAGTGTCCATCTTAGAGTGTATTATTTCTCATTCGGTAATATCGTTAACCTATTAGATTAGTAATACTAAAAAATAATGAAATTGGTAAACAGTTTATTAATATTCAATTAATACTTGAATAGCTTACTTGGAATATTCTTAAAAATTCTATAAACACAACTTTCTACTTACAGAAGAGAATAGACGTTGAAGAAACTCCAAATCCTACAGTATTTCAACATCATCTAATTTCTCTCGCGAATGTATATCTAAATTAAAACTAGGGGGCGCGTATAACGTGGAGGAAAGCAGGAGGGCGAGGTGTAATGTTTGACGGCCTCTATAATAATAATTATAATAATAATAATAATGCTAGCAATAATAATAGTGATAGCAGCGTAATAAAGTACGTTATCGTTGATAATTGGGACAAGACATAGGGGAAGAATGTAACAAATGTGGAAAAAGAAAGCCAAAAAAAATTGGAAGAGAAGAGGAATTATTCTATTTTTACTAATCATAGATAAGATTAAAAAGTAATGATTAATTTAGTCTAATAATAAATAAATACATAGATAGATAGAGAGATAGACAGTCCTGAAACTAGTTCAAAATTTCAATCTTTATATTAAAAAACAGTAAAGGCAAATTGAGAATATCTATGCAAGGATATCATAGATGATTCAGTTTTATATTGAATTTCTAGTGATTATCTTATACAAACACGCATTACCTATTCACTCTTTCCCATACATATTCTATTCTAAACATAGATGTATATAGTATATAATGTCATCCTATTACAGAGTCATTTTGTATACTTTCTTTACTTTTTCGTATTAATATACTAATACAAATAAACGAAAAGGGAAGCGAGTAATGCGGAAAGCACAAAAATCCCTGTCGTACTTTTACTTTTTGTATAAAAGAAATAAACGCACTAAAGGCCTACAGAAAGAAGAAAACAAATTCTTAACGATAAATTAATCTCTTCTCCATTTTCATTGAATACCTTTTTATTAAATATGATAATTAATCTTATTAAAAGTCAAATGATGGCTTATTTATTCAATTTTTAATTGTTTCCTTTTACGATTTTCAATGATTTCACAAAAGTAAAAATTAAACGTTTCTCCTTTTCTCTTTCTGTGAAGAAACTATTAATTATTTGACCTGAAGATGAGGTGAAAAATATTAATTATTATGGCAAAGAGAGTATGTATGATGCAATTGTGTTTTGATAGAAAGACAGACAGAGCGTAATGTATTAGTGAGCGAGCAAGTGAAATGAGCCAAGAGAGAGGAAGTAGACAGAGTTAGAGTTGTATAGCTAGAGAGACGGAAAGAAGGATGTGACAATAGACTTGTCATATCGAATATATTATATCATAATATACATATATTAGTATATATATATATATATATATATATGTATATATAAATGTATATTTGAGCAGAATAAAAGAAAATCCGGGTTATTATAGCTATCTATCGTTAATTCCACCTCTAAGCTCTCCGATAAATTAAAGGCAAGTTGAACAAGACATCAAACCGAAAATCGACAGGTTTATCATTCTGAATAGGGAGAAAAAAATGAAAATTTTTGACTTATTCTTTTACTTACTTACCTAGTTAATTAATTAATTAATTAATTAAATTATTAATGAGGAAGACGTTTCTTTTTCTCTTAATAAATGTAAAGAGAAAATGAAATTTGTTACGAGGAAACTGAACAATGAATTATAAAGAGAGATAGACAAAACAATAAAAGAAAAGGCGTAAAAAGATGAATATATACTGCTT